CTTCTGTACGCACGCGACGATGCTAATGATAAGCCTCGATGACTCTCCACGTTCCTCCTCTAATTATTGGTCTCCTTCCAGAATCCCGGCTTTGATCTTCCTTTTCGACTACCCAGAGCGGGTGATGCGTATACTTTGAGTAGGCCTAACACTGAAAATTGCGCGGTGGTGATGTGGTTATGACATTTTTTTTAAAGGAACACAGTACCTACGAGTATATGTCCTTTATAATTATCGTGCAATAATCACCAGCGACTCTAACAACCAAAATCGAGAAAATTGAGAAAAATAGGTGCATTGCCGTTCTATCCCCTTCTTATAAATGTCTGAATTTCGAAATCATCTCTCCTCTGTTTTACCGAGCATCAAGGCAATATTTTTATATTATTACACTGAAACGTGGGTACTGGGAATATTATAATAATTGATGAGAAAACAACCCTCCCCCCTCATTCACAGAGCCATTAGGAACCATTTATATTGAGGTATTGTTACCAGTGCCGATGAAATTGAGGCTACCTATTAAATATTTTCAATTTTAATTAAGCCCTCAAACCAGAACTCTATTGTACTTTTGTTTACACTGCCGAATCATGTTCATTCACAAACTATAAGTCTTATTTTGATATAAACGAAAAGAAAAATGTAATTTCTCAGTACGATTATTGCTCCTCGATAAATTCCTATCCTTAATTTTGTTATATGTATCATGTATCTCAAAATAATACGGAAGTTTCTGATCGAAAGTCAGAATTTTAGATATTTATTTTGTTATGGGTAAATTTTATTACGTTATAAAACTTGTTTTTACGCCGGCGGGGGTAGAAGTTAGTTTCTCTGGTAACAAAAGAGGGACAGAAGGGAGATAATGTGACATATTTTCTCCCTAGGAAGTTCGTAGGTACCAACTTTACATTTTCCGCATAGCTCTGCGCTTTCTTTTGGGAACACCCTTTTCTGAAGCGAGTATAAGCTGCATCATAGAGATTTCGAGATCTCACTGGTAGCATTGAGTATAGTATAGTGTATTTAATCAAGGCTGGTAGCAAGTTGAGAATCACTGTAGAAGCAGTATCAATAGTTTCTTCGGGTTTTCCCTCGATTTCTTGTTCCATAACCGTTACCCATTTTCAAAGCTGCTTTCATAAATTTCAGTTTGATATTTGCTGTCACCATAGGTTGTCAACAATAAGATGCATGTGGTCAAGATACGAATTCCATAAACTATACTATTACTATATAATTATGACAAAACACTTGACCAAATTTTTATTCTTTCTTAATTTATGTGTTCTCGCCAGCGTAAAAAATAGTATATACACCTCAGGACAGAATGATATTTTTCCCTCGGTGCTTTATTGTATCTCTCGGGCCTCGCCCTCGAGCTGCAAATCGCACCTTGGAAAAAATCTTGCATTTCTTTCCGTTGATGTATAATGTACTATTAGTTTTTTGTCATAAGATATTTATGCCGAAATGGATGAAATTTTATCCAAATAATCCTCCTGAATCGTCGATTTGGCAGCGGTTCCCCAGAGATCCATAGAATGTTAGGTATTCATATTCCACAGAGGAAATGAGCGAAATGAATCTGTCTTCTCCACTAGTTACTCCGAGCATAAAATAGACTCAATGTCAACCAAAATCCAAAATCATGTGTGTACAAATTCTTTATAGCAGAGGAGAGCCGGCTGCAGATTTCTACCGTCATCTGATAACTAAATGATATATGTCCCAAAGGATAGTGAAAATATCGTATTTCATCGAACGGCAGCTGTGCCAATCACTATCCTGAGCAAAATGATTACAAAATTGCACTTGCCTGTGCGGAAATTCGCACTCGATTTCGCGATTTGATAATAAGATGAGAATTATGCTATCCGATACTAATTGAATGGTAGATCTCAAAAACCTATCTGTGACACCCCTCAGTCTGAGTCAAATCCAACGGCACAGCGATTTATTTGCTCCTATTATTCCGTATACAGGGTGTTTCACAGGTAAAGGGAAATATTTCAATGGTAGATAGGGGTCACCAAGGTGTTTCTGAAAATACCATATTTGATAGGTCTTAGAGTCTTCATAACGGAGATACAGGGCGATTTATCGATTTCGAATAATTATTCATTCTTCTATATGTATTGACCTACCCAGTATATTTTTCTTAAATTTGGTACGGAGCTTATACTTGGGACGTTAAATTCATTCACCTATCGGGCGGAGTGAAAATCCAGGTTCGGCTTCAGGAAAAATGTTCATTTATTCGAAATATTGAAATAACACACTGTATTTAATAATTAACACAGAACATCAAAGGAATTGTGAAGAGGAGGAAGAACTGAATTGGGTTTGATGCTTTTTGTTTTCCCGCCACCAATTCTCATCGTAACAATCATAAACAGAAAGTTGAAAGTATGTAAATTTGAAGAGTATTGAAATTATGAAACCAGTTCCAATTATGATTATTCGATATATTTTGGTCAAAAAATCGCTCGAAAAAACTCTCTCTAAAGTCTCACAGTCTTTATAATGGAGATACAGGGTGAATTATCGGTTTTGAATAATTATTCACTCGTACTTGGGACGATGGATTCATTAACCTATCAGGCGGAATGGAAATAATACCAAATAATTATAATTCGATAATTCACCCTGTATCTCTGTTATAAAGACTATGAGACTTTTCCTGAAGCTGAACCTGTATTTCCATTCTGCCTGATAGGTCAATGAATCCATCGTCCCAAGTAAGCTCAATATTAAATATTACTGCGATGGGTAGTAATACTTATGGACGAGTGAATAATTATTCGAAACCGATAATTCACCCTGTGTCTCTGTTGTAAGGACTGTGAGACTTAGTAAGTTCTTTCGAACGATCATTTAGCAAGAATATATCAAATATCAATAATTGAAATTGACATACTTTTAGCTTTCTGTTTATGATTGTTACGATGAGAATTGGTGGTGGCAAAATAAAAAGCATCAAATCCAGTTCAGTTTTTCCTCCTCTTCACGATTCCTTTGATGAACTCTGTCAATTATTACAGACAGTGTGTTATTTTAATATTTCGAATAAATGTAAATTTTTCCTGAAGCCGAACCTGGATTTTCACATCTCCCGATAGGTGAATGAATTCAATGTCCTAAGTACCTATAAGCTCCATACCAAATATCAGAAAAATATACTGGATAGTTCAATACTTATAGACGAATGAATAATTATTCGAAATCGATAAATCGCCCTGTATCTCCGTTATGAAGACTCTAAGACCTATCAAATATGGTATTTTCAGAACCACCTCGGTGACCCCTATGTACCATTGAAATATTTCCCTTTATCTGTGAAACACCCTGTATACTTCGGTCATATTGTGATAACGAGTTGAATAATGATTGGGCAGCATTGTCTCATTATCACAAGATTTTTTATTTTACCAGAGAGTATACATTCCCTAATCTCTGCTATGTTCTATACCTATACAGGGTGTCCCATAAGTCATGGATCAAAAGAAATGGGGTGGTATGGAGGATCGTTTCCAATCAAACTAACCATATATGTGGTCATCCACTTGTTGATGGTTCAAAAGTTATTAATTTTCTTCATTTCTATAAAAAAATTAACTGCAATAAAACTAGGTCATATATTTGTGATTTTTCCTTCTACACATTTTACCCACGTGGGTGCACCTTTCCCCAGGAATAATTTCATGACATGTGTTACTTCTTATCAATAACCTGAGAAAAATATTGTTTTCCTCAAGTTTTGTCATTTGATGAAATATTTAAGTTGATTTTCATATGCAGCTAGCAGATTTGAAAACTACCCCACAAATATTCCGAAATGGTATAACATATGGGGTTATTCAAAACAGCCTTTTTTTTAACTAATTTATTTCAAATGGGTTGATAACCACATATACCGTTACTTTGATTGCAAATGATGACCTCCCCTATACCACCCCACTTATTTTGATCCATGACTCATGAGACACCCTGTACAGGGTGGGCCACCAGTAACGCCTCGGTCTCTAGAAGGCTAACCACTTATCTTCTTGGAATTCTCCCTCTCTACGAAGTTGCATGTCAACATAGGCTACCATTTGAAATTATTTTGAAACATACAGGATGTCCCCAAAAATCACAAAACACTGAAGTTGAACTTTTTTCAATCGAACACCCTATATATTATTTCATTTTGAGATTCTCCCTGGTGAGCTGATTTCAACAATCCATCATACTTGGGGTCTAGCAGTTATAATTACTGAGATATATAGGGTGTGAGAAATCGAGATTTTCCAAGTTCAAGAATTTTTTGTGTCGAAACTATTCATAATTGGTCAAAACGGCTTACATGTCTCTATCTCAACTTTTGATCAACTATCTACTGACATTTAATTGAAACAAATACAGGGTGGTGCAGAATTCAGAATCTTGATCACCCGGTATATGTCCCAATTAAATATCAGTAGACAGTTAATCAAAAGTTGAGATAGGGACATGTGAGCCGTTTTGACCAATTATGAATAGTTTCGACACAAAAAATTCTTGAACTTGGAAAATCTCGATTTTTCACACCCTATACTCCAGTAATTATAACTGCTAGACCCCAAGTATGATGGGTCGTTGAAATCAGCTCATCAGGGAGAATCTCAAAATGAAGTAATATATAGAGTGCTCGATTGAAAAAAGTTTAACTTCAGTGTTTTGTGATTTTTGGGGACATCCTGTATGTTTCAAAATAATTTCAAATGGTAGCCTATGTTGACATGCAACTTCCTAGAGAGGAAGAATTCCAAGAAGATAAGTGGTTAGCCTTCTAGAGACCGAGGCGTTACTGGTGGCCCACCCTGTATATTGTTCCTCTCTTCATTATTCTGAAAACGCATCGTTTCTGAGATTCCTCTTCGGGACATTTAAAATGAAAATAAAAATGTCGGTATAGTTGAAAACTCCGCATATTTTCATCATTGCAGAGATTATTGCCTAACTGATGTTTATAGGTGTAAAAGTTTTCAAAATGCCAAAAGGGGTGAGATTTGTCGAATTCCCGGATGTTCTGTATCACCAGCAGCCCCTGGGACTCCTACTCCTGTTAGACTACCTCAGACCCCGCCAGAAACTTTCAAGCAGTTCCTTCTATACGTGTATACAGGAAAGGTCAGTGAATTTCATATTTTCATTTACAAAAATATATACAGTGTGTCCCACTTACCATGCTCACCATGGGTATCTTTTTAACGGTGAGAGATACGAGGTCGGTTAAATGACACCAAATGTGGAGTTTGTCAAGGCCAACTAAAATGTGAAAAAATATTTTGATAAAATCTATTCGTTTTTGTTTTATACACAAAAAACAGATCTTGATCATTTTCATGTCTCCTCCGTAACTTCTTTATTTATGAAAATATTCAAATAGGAACTTCACATTATCATGGCAGTTTTTCAAAATGATTTCGAAAGAAATATGAAATTTATACCAACTCTTCTAGAATTTGAGATATCAGCACCAACTTTAGTTTTTCAAATTTAGGTCATAGCTCACTATGACTTAGTTACAAATACTTTTTTTTCTCTTACAGATGATGTGTCGCAGTAATAGTTTTGTGTTGATAACAACGGAGTTATCGTCATTTATACAAAAACAAAAAATGATTTGGATGCCGCCATCTTGAATTCATAAATTTTAACAAAAAAATCATGATCTCCGACCACAAAAACCCCCACTTACCAATTTTGAATGTAATCGGACCAAATCTTGTCCGCCATCTTGGAGCAGCCATTTTTTTTAATTTCAGCGAAAATTCCATAACTTCGATTAACTTGAAATTTGGCAGGTGTTCATAATTTCGGTGACAATTTATTATGGAATTTTTGTTGAAATTAAAAAAAATGGCTGCTCCAAGATGGCGGACAAGATTTGGTCCGATTCCATTCAAAATTGGTAAGTGGAGGTTTTTGAGGTCGGAGATCATGATTTTTTTGTTAAAATTTATAAATTCAAGATGGCGGCTTCCAAATAATTTGTTGTTTTTGTATAAATGACGATAACTCCGTTGTTATCAACACAAAACTATTACTGCGACATATCATATGTAAGAGAAAAAAAAGTTATTTGTAACTAAGTCATAGTGAGCTATGACCTACATTTGGAAAACTAAAGTTGATGCTGATATCTCAAATATCAGAAGAGTTGGTATAAATTTCATATTTTTTTCGAAATCATTTCGAAAAACTGCCATGAGAATGTGAAATTCCTATTTGAATATTTTCATAAATAAAGAAGTTACGGAGTAGACATGAAAATGATCAAAATCTGTTTTTTGCGTATAAAACAAAAACGAATAGATTTTATCAAAATATATTTTCACATTATAGTTGGCCTTGACAAACTCCACATTTGGTGTCATTTAACCGACCTTGTATCTCTCACCGTTAAAAAGATTCCCATGGTGAGCATGGTAAAGTGGGACACACTGTATATACAGGGTGTCCAGAGATAAAAATTTGGTAGATGAATTAATCTCAAAGGCTTCACCAAGTAGCCGCCTGAACGAAACCAATATCAGGACCGGAATATATTATTTTTTCCTATGGTGACTTATTGTGAGTATAACTCACCCTGTATAATAATTAGCGAATATCTGAGGTCATATTATGAGTCTACCTGAAAGATACTATAGGAACTTGTTGAGAAAGTTTTCTGGATAACTGAAAAAATCGTATAGTAAAAGTATTTTTTGACCTATTTTTTTTTGTATCTTCATAAATTCAATTCATTAGTAAGCAAATATAAATCACAAAAAATTTAGTCCAGTTCGTTCTCAACACATTCCTATACGATTTTTTTAGGTGATTTCGAATCTACGATCAGATAAATGTTAATTGTTATACTAGGTCAGTTATACAGAGTGTCCCTAAAAGGTCTGTTGAAAATCTTAGCACATATTCCTGAGGTCAAAATGAATTTGAAGCAACATACTTTCGTCCGAAATTGCTCCGTTTCCCAGATACACGGTGGTGAATTTGAAAAATAAAAATCAACAAGTACACCCCAAAAAACTATTTTGAAAAATCATGAACAAAAAAATTAAAAAAGTACATTCAGAAAAAAGTTATGACCTGTCTGAACCATAAAAAGTGCATTGGTGAGCGCCCTCTAATAGCCACAGTTAACGTATCCCAAAGATCCCCTTTGGCTATAAATTTTAAAAGTGATATACGTTCAAAAATGATCATTGATTTCGAAAAAAATCGATTTTTATTTCTTAAATTTTCCACCCTGTATCTCGGAAATGAAGCATTTTCAGACTGAGATAAGTTGCTCAGAATCGGCGTATATTTAGACCTCAGGAATATGTGCTGAGACTTTGTAGAGACCTTTTAGAGACACCCTGTACTTACAAGATCATGAAAGAGTCATTTCGGTCCTAAGACGAATCAATTCTTTAGTTTTTTAGGTTGCGAGAGTGATTCATAAAATATTTCTACGAAGTAATCAAAGAGAATAACAATGTATTAGTTACGTAAATATTCTTCGTATTTCCATTATTTGAAAAAAATAATAATTTATTATGGAATATGACTGAAATTGTGCCAGAAACATTCTCAACAAGTTCCTAAAGTATTTTTCCCGTATAGATTCATAATATGACCTCTGATTTTTGATAATTAATTATGCAGGGTGAGTTATTCTCACAATAACTCAAAACTCAACAAAAACATATTCCGGTCCTAATATAGGTTTCGTTCAGAAGGCTACTTGTTGAAGCCTTCGAATTAAATTCATGTACCAAATTTGAACCACCTCATCGGGTAATCCCTGCATTAAGCAGATTGAATTTTTGTCAAAATCCACAAATCACTCAGTACTCAGTCACTTACGAAGAGTCTTTGGACATTTGTATAATATGGCATTTCCCAATTATTATATTTGCAGGCCCTATAACCCCATAAGTTTTGTCGGTTATATCTCAGGACACCCTGCATAAATTTCTACAAATAATAATATATTATCCATATAGACGGTAGATACAGATTTTGTTAAAACTGTTGTATGAGCCTTTTTTAACCATTATTTTCATCTACCTTAACTTCTTGTTATGTTTCATGTAGATTCTATTACAAGATAATAGCGTTTTCGAAATGATGGCTTTGGCTCAAGAACTCGGGGTGGAAGAACTTCGAAATGCTTGCGAAGATCATGTCACTTCTACGTTATCTGTCCCTTCCGCATGTACATTTTTAGCTGCCGCAATGGATATTCAAGAAAAATCATCAGGTAACTACCTCCAAAATAGTCATCTGAGTATTCTGTGGTTATACATTATACAAAGGGGAAAGAGCTAGTATAGGTAGTAGAATTTAGCTCCAGGTTGTGTGTTGTGTCGTAAGTGTCGACATGAAATTAACAGGAATGACACCTGATGCGTTGCAGGCATCTTTATCATTCTTTTGAATTAATCAAATATCTGTCATTCTAATTCTGTAATTTTATTTCAAAAAATTGCGAATTTAGTAGTTGTTTATTAGTAATTTACGTAACCGCGAAGTCAAATGCATAGATAAAAGGACTTGCAGTTCTTCCTCGGAGACGGTGTAATTGACTTATTTTTCGAAACTATAGCACAGCAAAAGCAATCAACAGTGTATACAGGCTGATTTTAAAATAAGTGCATATATTCAAGACATATATATATGAGAGAGTCTAACAAAAATTACTAAAATATTTGATTTTTCCTAAGTCTTCACATTAACGAGGAATTTCATTTTGAAAATTGAACATAAAATGCTTCGAAATTCGAGTACGCCACTGGGAAGCAAGTGAAATCTGCGGAATCCCAGGGAATCCCCAATTCGTCATTCACTAACGTCAAAACAAGACAGTTATGCCAGATTGTTTCAGAGACGAATATCCTGATAAAAATTTGTCACAGAATGAATATGAATTGGAATAGGTTATGGAAACTAATAGAGGTGAATGTAATATGTACAGTATCCTTATTTTTTAAAGTTTACTGAGAGAACTGTGGGGTGATTATCTCCATGGATCACGAGAGACGGAGAGAAACATGAGGGGAATGATAGAACGTCCCCCTTCCTTCAATTCGAAAATAAGGCCCCAGCGGTTAGATACAAAATTAGCAGACAATAAATTAATAGGTACACAACATACACAAAGTTGAAAATCGACTCACCTAGTAGATTTTCTCATACCTGCTCGAACAGCAAAACAAATACTAATATCGAGTCCATTCCAGACTAATATCGTCCTGTGTTCTTGTTGGTTCATATTCGCACTTAAACCATCGAAAACGACTCGACGACGACATATCCTTCCTGGCAATCTCACGTTGAAAATCAAGATCACGACCATATCACGATTATCACGACACAAGACACAACATCCAATTATTTTTTTTTTACGTTTACAATTATTTTACAAACCAGCAACCACACAAACAAAACTATTATCATATGATCTGTCAACATCATTTCTCAGAACAGTAGTATCTACTGTGACCATAGATTTCCTCTTTGCTGTGACCTTTGACAGTACTAACTAGGATTGTTCGCGTTCAGAAAATAAACAATCCGAAACCGTCAGAAGCATGCACAAGTCCACAGAATCCAAAAAAATCATACAGTTCTGTGAAACTGCGCATGCTTCTGACCGTTTCGGACGCAAGAATTCAGATGACCATGAATTACTAATAGGTGATTTCTAAGGATCAATCAGAAACAGCAAAGTAGCGCCTGCATGGTTGCGATTCATCCTGATTGGACACAGCATTGGATTTGTGAGATTAGTGTATAGTGAGGAAGTATCATTTCATTGAATTAAACTAATAGATGTTTTTTCCAAATTAGTTTTTTATGAAAATGGTAGTTTCATTTGAAGATATGATCCTTCCTCACTAATACATTAATCTCAATCAGCTGTGCCCAATCAGGATGAATCGCAACCACGCAGGCACTACCTTGCTGTTTCTGATTGGTCCGTAAAAGTCGCCTATTAGTAATCCATGGTCATCTGAATTCTTGCTGGTATATAGCACACCATAAGCCATAAGAACAATCAAAACAAAGATCCTTTCTTGACAGTTTGTTGTTCTGAGAATGTATGTTATTTTGGAAAACGTCAAAACGTGATACTATTAAATGTAAAGTTTTGTTTCTGACAATTTGCTTGGAATGTGACGATGCATTTCTCAAACATTGAGCTGAATGATATGGTTCTTATGTCGGGTCGTTATTGTGCGGGGCCCATGAGACTCCTCGAAGGACACGAAATTGTAGCGATGCAAGGAGGTGGAAGGAAGGTTCTAAAGGATTTTTCAGTAAAAGAACTTCCAACCGTGAGGTGTTAAGTTATACGCTATTCGAGCTTATGTGTAGAAATCTTGGTCCATTTTAAAGTTTTTGTATTATCTTTCTGAAATTCAAGACCAGGGTTAACTTCTTCCCCATGTACATTTTCTCGATTATACATTTTATTTAATATCTCCTAATTTTCATGTAGAGTGGCAACGTCGCTTCGTTCATCACGGTCGACTGCGAATCGCAAACGATAGTTGTGACAGAAGTAGAAATCTGGGCGGAAAAAGGGTATTTTGCCCCAAATCTATTTTGATCCTAATAATATTTTTAATAGTGCTATTCGGTAGTATACCTCAAGCTTTCTTAGTGTTTAAAATATATGCACTTATTTTAAAATCAAATATATACATATATATGTGATGTACATCTGGCTGGAAAGAACTTTCTTTTTCCCCGAGGGAAGAGGGAAAAAAGTAATTTATGAAAAGTGACATCTTATATCCTGTCAACAGAGATGAAATTCCAAACTTTTTTCCCGTAAGAAAAAAATATTTGTCACTTCCGGTTAATACCGGCTCAACACCGGAAACCATCACCCGAATTTTTTATTTTCAAAAATAGGAGTTTTTCATGTTTTAATTCAGCTGGGGATCGTTTTACACATCATCATCATCATTAATCATTCAAAATATGTTATTTTTCATTTTGGGTCCCCTTTGATGATATTATTTTCACTGATGGAATATGGTTTACGATAACTGTGACCTGCTCCTTTTCGAAGACACCCCTATATATGAATAGGTCCACAGCCGTGAAATTCTTCATTCTTCTTCAAGTAATGTAAGTCAATACTTCTGAATCAAAACTGTATTAGTTCTGTACACCACAGAAATTGTTGAATAATAAAATATTGTTAAGGATACAGATTTGAATTGACCGCCACAGCTAGAAACGTTCTGATTAGTCTAAAAATGCTCATAACGAGTATCATGGTGTTTTGAATTCTTACGTGGTAACGCTTATGTGAGGTGAATTCGAAAGAAGATGAAGAATAATAATAAAAAGAAGAGATAATCTCGTTTGACGTATGTCCGACATCGGAAAATCGTTAAAAAAAGAAGAATGTACCACTTGGCTGGATTCCAAACTGGACAAAAGGCCAAGAAACGTAGAAGAAGAAGAATAGGACGAGAAGTTGTCAAAGTCAATTGTCAGTAATGTCAGCCTTGTGCCTTAACCACAAATACGTTTGTTAACGGCGTTGTTTGACCATCATAATAAATAATTTAATATTGCCTAATAATGGCGTACAAACCCCAAAAAGTGCAAAAGGTGATGGTCCAGCCCATCAACTTGATATTCAGATACCTGCAAAACCGTTCGAGAGTACAGGTTTGGCTGTACGAAAACATTCACTTACGCATCGAGGGGCACATCGTCGGCTTTGACGAGTACATGAATTTGGTGTTGGACGATGCAGAAGAGTTTTACGTGAAAACAAAGAATAGGAGGCCCTTAGGAAGGATCATGCTCAAAGGGGACAACATCACTGTGATACAGAATGTGCGGCCCGAGGCGATTTAATGTACTTTGAACATGTTTCGATTTTCTCTGTGTTTGCATTCAAGTGTATGAACTATTTTGTCTGTATGATGGTTAAGATTAAGATATATCCTTTCTCAATAAAAGTTTTTCTTATATTTGGTGTTTTTCAAATCTTTAACTTAGCTTAGGAAGGCTATCTGATAAGTACCTCAATATACCAATTTTAACTTTGTTGTTTGCATAGGTGGTAAAGCTGCTTCTGGATTTGTCGAGAGATGTGTTAATTATGTTGGTGAAAATGCTGCTGAGTGTGTTCGCACTAACTCATTTATGAATCTTTCAAAAGAAGCAGTTATAAAAGTGATATCTTCAGATTATGTAAGTACTTATCACCTCATTATTTTTGAGCTTTTATCAAAATTTTCATTTAATTTCACAAATCTGAAGGAAGATGGAAAAAACTAACAAAAACAGTTCCTCCTTAAAATAGAAAATTGTTGTACTCATGTTCAGGGTGTTATTTTTCATTTGATATGAACCATGGGCGCCACCAGGATTACTTTCAGGGGGGTGCATTTGCATATGATCTGCATTTACACCCCTTAATATTCACTAATGAAATATAGATGAGTACCTGTATGTTATCTCAATTAACAAACAAATCTAAACAGCAAACTAGAGGCATTGGATTTTCATCCAAACAGTAACTTAATAAAAAAATTCTTAATCTTTTCTATGCAAATTTGTATTTTCTCTACTGGCAAGTGCACCCCCTTCCACCCTTCTGCCAGCGCCCATTATCTGAACATTATTTTTGTTCACTATGATTCAAGAATTCCAAAACTATATTAATATATGTTTATGATGACCCATTATATTTTTTGATAATGCATAAATCTAGGAGCCAATTACATAAAACCTCTCTGTTAACAGGGGCTCAACTCTACTAATAAATAAGTATGAACTTATACAGGGTGTTCACATATATTTTGAAACCCTCTCTGTTGAGTTTTGAGTTCATTACACAACAAAAACGTTGAGAGCAGAATTTTCAGAGGATTTCTCTAATCATCATGAGAAGAGTTATCATAAGAAAACATAATATAAACAAGTTTGTTTTTTAGTGTACATAATAGTTCACCCACTATAATATATATTTTCTTTCTTAATCATTCAAGAATACCATGTTTGATAGGATAAGGAAATTTGAAACCAGTAGATTGAGTCATGGAAACATCTAACTGGTCCAGTATTTTATAAAACAAGAAAAAATCAACTCATATTTGGTAAACTACAAAGTTTTGTTATATATTACACCAAATGTGTTCTATTAGGTTTGGCATCACAGCCATCTTCAGACACAATAAAAAAGAAGAATAATTAAAAATATCAGCCCACATATAAAAAATATAAATATATATACAGTGTGACCCATTTAAGATGGAAGCACCCTTATAAAACTTACATTTTTCAACCAATTGGAATGATTTTTTTTTTGTTAGGTAGATATTCAAAAAGTCTATTAGGACACCAAATATCATGAATAAATCTCCATTTCCAGGGCCAACTAATCTGATTTTTCAAGGTCAAAAATCTAAAAAAATTACTAGCGATTTTTTTAGAAAAAATCTGACTACACCACTGGATTTGTGACATTTTCAAATGGGTAACATGTAAATTACGTTGAAATGCGTCAATCAATAAAAAAGTTATAAAGGAATGAAATTTGAAAAATATGCCGTTTAAAATCAACCCACCAATTCATGTTCAGGAATTTTATGAAAATTCTGTATACTCCACTGGATTCAGGATGTCTTGAAATATTACTGATCACAGTTTCATCGAAATCTGTTCAGTAATAAAAATTGATGGGTTGATTAAACGGCATATTTTTCAAATTTCATTCCTTTATAACTTTTTTATTGATTGACGCATTTCAACGTAATTTACATGTTACCCATTTGAAAATGTCACAAATCCAGTGGTGTAGTCAGATTTTTTCTGAAAAAATCGCTAGTAATTTTTTTAGATTTTTGACCTTGAAAAATCAGATTAGTTGGCCCTGGAAATGGAGATTTATTCATGATATTTGGTGTCCTAATAGACTTTTTGAATATCTACCTAACAAAAAAAAATCATTCCAATCGGTTGAAAAATGTAAGTTTTATAAGGGTGCTTCCATCTTAAATGGGTCACACTGTATGTAAATACCCAGTTAACACAAATTGATCTCAGAGATGTCAGTACACTTCACATTCATGATTGAGATCACACCCGCGATTCGATTTGTGAATCACGTCGACATCTCCAGATCCTCTATTCCGGACCCTTTTGGTCATTTTTCGCTTCACATTTAGATGCCGAATGGGACTCAAAAGTTAGCTGAATGTGACTCCAGATATCACGTTGAAATAAGACTCACATTGAGGTCACATTATAATCAGAATGTGAGGTTTAGAAGACCATCGACCATTTCTGAATGTGAGGTTCTTTTCGATTATTATACTGGTATCGTAGCGTCCCTGGAAGAATCATATTGTGCGTCTCAGAAATGCTACATACACATTGATTTTTGATGTCTCAAGTGAAATCACATCTAGATTGATGAAGGTATTCAATGAGAGAACTAATCGGTCTCGAATCTCTGTCAAATAGATCAATCAAGGGTTTCACAAGGCAACTCGATTTTATTGAAAATTAGTCTCATTACACATCAGAATAGGTAAGTACGTACATGTTATGTTGAGCAAAACTACCTAGATATAACAATGATTGAAATTAGAAAAACAGCGCAGGCCTAGACTTTTTCGAATAATTATACAGGGTATATATCTCCATGAGTTAACGCAATGAATATGGAGAACTGAAAGTAACACAAGAGAATCCAATATTTGCTCCTCATATCTCCTTCCGTTGTAGCATGGTAACCAATCCCTGCTCAGAATTTCAAATTGTTCCAAGGTTGTCCAGATGACTTTTGTGATTTGACATCTGAAAATGAATATAGAAACAATCAATTGATTTCATTTTGCCCATTTCCTGTTCAGAATATCTTATAGAGAGTGAGTAGAGAACCATAATGAGAGTATTGAAAAATGTTCAAGTCAGTTTCATATCTACGTGGAGTCGTGTAAGATTGAAATTATTTATGAGAAGATGAAATCACACTGCATACCTACTGTTCTATACCGGGTGACAAAGAAGATAGAGAATAGCTGCGGCGCATTTTTTCATTCCATTCATAATGTTTTGCAATAATTTTGTTCTTAATCAGACTTTCCCAATATACAATCAGAATATGCATGTTCACTTATACCCTGATCCCAAAATGATATATTCCAAGGTATCATTGTAAGTATCATCATATAGTCTTGAAATGGCGACGTGGTGTCGTCTACCCTGTCTTCATTGTCAACCAGTATATAGGTATATTAGGTATTGTATCAAGTAATGAACGTTGTAGTTACTCACCCTGTAACTTAGATGAGAAACACACAGTATCTTTAATCACCAATCATGATTTTCGATTAGAAAGAGATGCTTATTCAGTCTAAGCAATAACGCCAAACACGAACTGCATACCAACACCGAATGAACTAATGCACTGAAACAACGAAATGGACGAGACAAAAGCATGCCGTCGCTAAAGAATTCACAGACACGTGTACATCAGTCAGACCGACACTGACCGAGTGTGTACGAAACTTTACATAAGTCACATTGTGCGCTACATTCATGAGTATGCGAGTACACTGATATTTCCAAGTATTGTTCGATATTACTTTCATAAATGAATTTCCTTGAGATGTGAGAGAGATTCACATATTGAAGCATATTTTCGTTTCTTCATTCTGCACAATGTGAATCAGTTTGTCAATTCAGATACATCAAATTATGACTCTCAACGATTGAAATTTCAGATTCTGAAATTATAGTCGTTGTGAAGTTACGGGGCCTCATAAATATTATATCCATATTCGTCTCAGATCCAACAGAATGTGATGAAATTTGCGAACTATCTGTCACACAAGGAATTCCTTGTAGATATCAGCGATGCAATATTGTGATTCGCTTTTGTGACATCAACTGCCATGAATGCGACATCTCATAGATGTTTGTGTTAACTGGGTATATGGAAGAGTCTATTTTGGGTCATATAGAGATAACCCTCACCCATTACCCCTTGCATTACCCAATACAACACTTGCATGTGATGATTGCAGATTCTTTATTCTTCACAAAAACTAGAACTTCTGCTTCCCTAGATTTTTGCTATCTATGATAATAAATCTTATTCCTAATGGAAACCAGATTTTTAGCTTCCCTAGTTTTTTGCCATCTATGATAATAAATAATCTACAGCCAACTATCAAAATATGTATTCTATTTTTTTTTTCTCAGTTAATTATTCTATCATTTATATCATTATTATGTTAGGTATACACTCAGGTATACATATCTCTTATTGTAATACTGAATTGTTTTCAATAGGTACCTAAACTATCATGAATACACACATGCGCATTTTTTTAGAAAAAATGGTTCATTTTTAAAACCAAAAATTATTTAGAGCATTTTTCTAGATGAAAATCTGTAATATATACAGTGTGTCCCTAAAAGGTCCTTACCGAAACTTACCTCACCATATACCTCAGACTAAAACAATTTGATACAAGCAAACTTACCTCAGTACAAAAGTGCTTACTTTGGGTGCTAGACGGCTCTGAAGTTACAATTTTCAAATCGGTTTTGCTTCATAACTTTGAAACGGCTCGTGAGATTTTACTCAAATTTGCCATTGGGTAATAAAACCCCTCGTAAAACCCATATCATGGTTATTGGGTTATTGAGATGTTTATAAATTATAAACATCTCAATGGTTATGATGAATATGATTCCATAGGCGTAGAACTTGATTTTTTCAGTAAATAAACATCTAAAACGTTTACGTCAATGGAAATAAAAGGGTTTGAATATGAAATTTTGACTGTGTAGCATCTTTACTAGAAGAAAGGTACTCTTGATAAAATTCTATTACTCTCATAGTTTCAACAAAATTTGAATTTCAGTAGTTCCCAAAACGATTAACAGATATTTCATAAAAATTGTTCAAATGTTCATAATTTTCACGTATACAAAGGTTTATAGGACGAAAAGAATGGATACAACCACACTCACCTCATTACAAAGTTTCTCAGTACAAAAAAAAAACAACAAAAAATAGGATAGCACATTTCAATTTATTTCGTCATACAGGGTGCGCCTCTTAAAATGGAACCCCCCTTAACTCTTTTGTTTTCAGAGATGTGAAAAAATGTTGAAATAAAAAGTTGTTTGAAACGACCCAAACTTTTATTTCGTGAAGTTGTTTCATATACAGGTTCATTCGTTTTTCCGGAAAGGACATTAACTTTGATTTTTTCAATGGAACACCCTATATATTTTCTAACATGTCGATAGAGCATTTTTTCTGATTTCAAAAATTGATTTATTGATTATGCATAATACTTTCATGAAAGTATTTTGGTAAATTTTGATCATCAATAACTCAACTATTTTTCATACAAATATGCAACTCATATATATTTTTGAAATCAGAAAAAAAGGTCTATCGACATGTCGTAAATTATACGAATAACCCTGTATATGAAACAACTTCACGAAATAAAAGTTTAAGAGGCGCACCCTGTACACGTACGTATTTCGTTTGTATAGATGGAAATAATGAGAGTTTTGAACAATTTTTATGAAATATCTGTTGATCGTTTTGGTGTTGACTGATGATTAGAATTACTAAATTTCAAATTTTGTGGAAACCATGAGAGTAATCGAATGTAACAAGTTACGTAATCCAAATTCCATATTCAAACCCATTTCAATCTATTGGCGTAAAAGTCTCAGATGTTTATGTACTGAAAAAATCAAGTGCCAAATTTGAGTAAATTCTCATGAGCCGCTTCAAAGTTGAGAAGCAACAATGATTTTAAAAATTGTAACTTCATAGCCGACGTCTAGCGTCCGAACCAGTCCAAACTATAAAGTCTTTGTACTGAGTTTGCTTGTATAGAATTGTTTTGATCTGTTGAATATGTGGTAAGTTTTTGTAAAGACCTTTTAGGGACACCCTGTAAATATCTTGCTAATAACTTGAGCAGCAATCTACTTGTTTCTATAGTTGTGTTTAGAAGAGGAAGATGTATGGAGAGCAGTCCTGAACTGGGCAAAATACCAAGCAGGCGTAACACAGCCTACTCCACATTGGACTGAAGAAGAAAGAGCAAGGGTTTGCCAGCACCTATCTCTGGTGATCAGCCACGTTCGATTACTTTTAATAGGTATGAACAGTCTCTAGTCAAATTTCCATGAAGTTTATACTCACTCAACAATGAATTTCTCATAGATAGCCGAGTTTTTGCCGAAGAAGTAGAACCGACTGGTGCGGTTCCAATGGAACTCAGTTTGGAAAGATATCGGCATGCAGCTTTGCCCAGTAAATACCCTGCAGAATCTTCTAGCGAAGACAAACGCTTGCGTCCACGTATTTCCCCTCACCTGTTCCCAGGATCGACGATACTGGGGCAAGACAAGAGTCATTATCAGAGGATTTTGAACGCCTGGTATGGAAACGCTAAGCAGACCTGGAGATTGGTTTATAGGGCGAGCAGTCATGGTTATTCTGCGTCAGCGTTCCATAGACATTGTGATGGGGTTTCTCCGACTTACGTCATAGTACAGGTAAGTTTCATCCAAAGTATTTCAAGTCTCAATACTTGGATCAATTTTCACCTTGATGAATGGTCCCTCGAAAGTTACAGGTACAGCTTTTAGTTCTCATTATCACCCGGTGAAGAATAATACTGTCCCAAAATTGATTCTCAAGGCATTCAGATTCCTCATCTGTAGCTTTGGTTGCTTTAGAACTGAAAGTGAAAAAATGAAATTGAACAAAAACCAACCCCCATTTCAGAAAACCAGCAGAATACAATGTTGTCAATTTACTTCTACGGGTAGGTGAAATATATTGGCTCCAGCTATTTGTTACCGTTGATATACCTATAAGAGCCGTGCAATCCACGTTACGGCAAACAATCAAGAATCCAGGGAAGTAAAAAATCGCTAAAACCTGTTGGATCATCTTTTCCTACTTCTTTTGATTCGAAATGACAATAAAATTTGAATACAATTTGAAATGTATCTGAAATAAAAAAGATTTCTTATGTATTTACCTCCCAAAAAAATGATCAATTGCTGGTATAACCAGAATGTAATCTTCAATATGTCCAGACAAAAGTATCTAATGCAGTTTCCATCAAATTTATTCATCGAATTTTCAATATTGCAGGAGAATCCCTATAAATAATTTTATTTTAAGGGGGCTAGAGGTGAAATTTGTGGAGGATTCAGTGATGCTGCTTGGGGTCGACCACCAGGAAAAAGCCATTATGTTATGTCAGAGAGGGCATTCCTTCTTACCCTCTGCAACCACCAAGATTTACCTCCAACACAGTTCCATATTGTGAAAAAACCTTTTGCTATCTGCTATCATCCTGAGTGAGTACCTATACAGGGTGTCCGGGAACATGTGGGAAATCTCCCGGATATGAAGAAAACACGTGAAAAGAATACTATAAGTTCATATAAACTTCTTTTGTATCGGCCTCCTCTTCGGAGATATGTGCTCCCAAAGAGCTCCCATGGAATTAAGTTTTTGACACATAATTCTTGAACCAACAGGTATATTTCAATTTTTTTTTAATATGATGTATACTAGGTAAGACTCTTCAAATTACTATCCAAGAAAGTGTTGCGAATTACTCACAGCTCCAGGGACGGACTAGCTGTGACACTCATGGGCCCATTTTTTTTACGCCCTGTATGATAAGAACTCTGGACAACGTTTTTTACATACCTCTAACTATTGACTAAAAATTAAGTACTCTTCATTCATGTCGCTAATCATAACCGTTTTCGGAAAAACGTCATTTTATTTATATCATGTATTTAGCGTAATTTTCCACGGTAACCAACATAGTTTCAATAAAAAGTTGAACTTTAACTGCTTAGTTAAAAACTTCGTAACAGCCCAGTTAACACAAATTGATCTCAGAGACGTCAGTACACTTCACATTCATGATTGAGATCACACCCGCGATTCGATTTGTGAATCACGTCGACATCTCCAGATCCTCTATTCCGGACCCTTTTGGTCATTTTTCGCTTCACATTTAGATGCCGAATGGAACTCAAAAGTTAGCTGAATGTGACTCCAGATATCACGTTGAAATAAAACTCACATTGAGGTCACATTATAATCAGAATGTGAGGTTTAGAAGACCATCGATGTAAGGTTCTTTTCGATTATTATACTGGTATCGTAGCGTCCCTGGAAGAATCATATTGTGCGTCTCAGAAATGCTACATACACATTGATTTTTGATGTCTCAAGTGGAATCACATCTAGATTGATGAAGGTATTCAATGAGAGAACTAATCGGTCTCGAATCTCTGTCAAATAGATCAATCAAGGGTTTCACAAGGCAACTCGATTTTATTGAAAATTAGTCTCATTACACATCAGAATAGGTAAGTACGTACATGTTATATGTTGAGCAAAACTACCTAGATATAACAATGATTGAAATTAGAGAAACAGCGCAGGCCTAGACTTTTTCTAATAATTATACAGGGTTATATATCTCCATGAGTTAACGCGATGAATATGGAGAACTGAAAGTAACACAAGAGAATCCAATATTTGCTCCTCATCTCTCCTTCCGTTGTAGCATGGTAACCAATCCCTGCTCAGAATTTCAAATTGTTCCAAGGTTGTCCAGATGACTTTTGTGATTTGACATCTGAAAATGAATATAGAAACAATCAATTGATTTCATTTTGCCCATTTCCTGGTCAGAATATCTTATAGATAGTGAGTAGAGAACCATAATGAGAGTATTGAAAAATGTTCAAGTCACTTTCATATCTACGTGGAGTCGTGTAGGATTGAAATTATTTATGAGAAGATGAAATCACACTGCATACCTACTGTTCTATACCGGGTGACAAAGAAGATAGAGAATAGCTGCGGCGCATTTTTTCCTTCCATTCATAATATTTTGCAATAATTTTGTTCTTAATCAGACTTTCCCAATATACAATCAGAATATGCATGTTCACTTATACCCTGATCCCAAAATGATATATTCCAAGGTATCATTGTAAGTATCATCATATAGTCTTGAAATGGCGACGTGGTGTCGTCTACCCTGTCTTCATTGTCAACCAGTATATAGGTATATTATTGCTATGATTATTGTATCAAGTTATGAACGTTGTAGTTACTTACCCTGTAACTTAGATGAGAAACACACAGTATCTTTAATCACAATAATGATTTTCGATTAGAAAGAGATGCTTATTCAATCTAAGCAATAACGCCAAACACGAACTGCATACCAACACCAAATTAACTAATGCACTGAAACAACGAAATGGACGAGACAAAAGCATGCCGTCGCTAAAGAATTTACAGACACGTGTACATCAGTCAGACCGACACTGACCGAGTGTGTACGAAACTTTACATAAGTCACATTGTGCGCTACATTCATGAGTATGCGAGTACACTGATATTTCCAAGTATTGTTCGATATTACTTTCATAAATGAATTTCCTTGAGATGTGAGAGAGATTCACATATTGAAGCATATTTTCGTTTCTTCATTCTGCACAATGTGAATCAGTTTGTCAATTCAGATACATCAAATTATGACTCTCAACGACTGAAATTTCAGATTCTGAAATTATAGTCGTTGTGAAGTTAAGGGGCCTCATAAATATTATATCCATATTGGTCTCAGATCCAACAGAATGTGATGAAATTTGCGAACTATCTGTCACACAAGGAATTCCTTGTAGATATCAGCGATGCAATATTGTGATTCGCTTTTGTGACATCAACTGCCATGAATGCGACATCTCATAGATGTTTGTGTTAACTGGGAGGGTTCAACATGGGCTCCATGAAGTCTGATACACTCGCGAGCACGACGAATTGAGGACTGCTGTACCCGCCACAATAACCCAGCATTGTTCCTTATCACATCACAATGAAACGTGATTCTCCGTAGAAGTTCCTCCCTAGTATCGACCGGAGTGGAATACACCAAGGTTTTGAGGTGTCCCCACAGGTAAAAATCTAATGGCGTTAGGTCGGGAGATCTAGGAGGCCAGGCAATAGGTCCTCCTCTACCTATCCAACGGTTTGGATAGACGTTATTCAGGTGCTCCCGCACAGCAACGCTGAAATGAGGTGGTGGTGCCCCATCATGCATAAAGTACATGTTTCGGCGGGTTTCAAGTGGTAAGTGCTCGACTAAATCATTAAAAGCGTTCTGGAGGAACTCCAAATAAAGTATTCCATTCAATCGTGCCGGCAATACGAATGGTCCAATCAAAAAATTGCCAACGATTCCTGCCCAGACATTAATTGATTGGAACTGATGTTGGCGATGCGAAACAATAGTGGCATGAGGATTTTCATCAGCCCATACATGGGTATGTTATGTAAATTCATGATACCATTTTTGGTAAAACCTGCTTCATCCGTGAAGAGAATAGTGCTAATGAAGTTTACATTATTTCGTTGCTGATCCAATAGCCAGTTTGCAAAATGCATTCTACGGGGAAAATCTTCAGGAATCAGTTCATGCACTTTTTGCAAATGATATGGGTATAACAGTTGTTCTTGAAGAACTTCATGTACTATTGTTTTCGACGCATTAAACTGCGCTGATAATTTTCGAGTGCTCGTTGAAGGAGTATCATATACAGCATTTAAAATATTTTCCTCTAATTGCGGCGTACGTACTGTTCTTCCCTGACCAGTATTATTACTTCTTTTTCCAAAATTTCCTAAAATTATGAAAGAAGTAAATAATATTACCTTATTATACCTTATTAAGAAGAATCGCCCACCATTCTCCCTTAGACGTTGGTCAACTCGTTGAAATGTCTTCTGATCTGGAAGAGTGCGATTAGGAAATCTGTCGTGATATAACCTTCTGGCTTCCAAAGCATTGGAAGATGCAAGACCATACATCAGATGCATATCTGCATACTCAATAAACGTGTATTCCATATTTCGAATTATTTCACAATTAATTTCACAACGAAATTCAAAAATCAAATATCAAAGTAATAAGGAATCAATGTATCAGTAATGTGAAAGTTGACAAGTTCTAAAATGAAGGATATTTATTTATTTCTAACCTAGCAACGTTTGCAAAGGTAACTCGAAAAAAAAGTATCTTTTATCGAAATACGCTAAATACATGATATAAATAAAATGACGTTTTTCCGAAAACGGTTATGATTAGCGACATGAATGAAGAGTACTTAATTTTTAGTCAATAGTTAGAGGTATGTAAAAAACGTTGTCCAGAGTTCTTATCATACAGGGCGTAAAAAAAATGGGCCCATGAGTGTCACAGCTAGTCCGTCCCTGGAGCTGTGAGTAATTCGCAACACTTTCTTGGATAGTAATTTGAAGAGTCTTACCTAGTATACATCATATTAAAAAAAAATTGAAATATACCTGTTGGTTCAAGAATTATGTGTCAAAAACTTAATTCCATGGGAGCTCTTTGGGAGCCCATATCTCCGAAGAGGAGGCCGATACAAAAGAAGTTTATATGAACTTATAGTATTCTTTTCACGTGTTTTCTTCATATCCGGGAGATTTCCCACATGTTCCCGGACACCCTGTATAATTATGATTATAATACCTATACATTCTAGTAAAATGTTCAGCATTATATAATTCATCACAATTCTTAGAGAATTTTGAAGAAAATCGAAGACACCTGCATGAATTTCCCCCTGATGTTTGTGATGAAATATAAACTTCATGATTTTGTAATTTTTTCAGTTCAGGTCCAATTTTTGGTGCTGGTGCAGACCTGCTGATTTCTAGCAATTGTAATAGCAACATGGACAGCTACTCCAATTTGCCGCATACTTATGATGGAGAAGGAGCATCTCCTTCGGTTCTGATGGGTGATTATAATTTCACAGTTGCTGATTACGAAGTTTTCACTCCATTGAGTTCGTCAACTACAAAAATCAATAAAACCGAAAGATATCAATAATGTAATATTAATTATGGTTCATAAAATAAAAGTGCTCAACTTTGCACATCACTTTATACATTTATTATTTATGCAATCATTGCAATCAACCCTATTTTTCCGATTATGGGTAATAACAAATATCAGAAAATGACAATGATATTCCATTCAGCAGTGAGAAGGGAAAAAGTAGCACATGCGCCATCATGTATGCTATCTTAGATGAAATGTGTAGCGCTACTACCAATAAGTGATGAAAAATATTAGGACACTCTGATATCAGTGTCCTAATGAGTTAAAACTTTATCAAGCATTGAAGTGAAGAAATTTCCATATATAGACTTTTACCTTTCTCTTCTTCCAATCGAAAACTGAAAACAAATTTCAACATTAAATATCAGGATGTTCTGAATATTCGAGATAATTCTGTCACTTCATTTTTCACGAAATTATGTTGCCAGGCAACGCTGATAGATCAATCAGATACATGAAATACAGTGTTTTCGCGAAAACATAAGTTGTCTTTGGATTTGAAATTTTTGATACAAATTTTAAATTTGTATCAATACACCGATTTCATTGAATTGTGGAGCTTGAAAACCTGTCGTACCTAAGGATAAAAAAATGTTTCTACAAAAACCCAGGCCTACTGCTTATATTGAAATTGGAAATTAGCAAATTTTTATAAAAAAATGATCGTTATAAATAATTTTGTGGCCAAATCAATATATAATAATTGTAGAAATCGCGGTGCTATATGGAATATTGTTTTATAAAATTTGATGGGTTGCTAAATGCTAAATCCAATGGTGATTTCAAATTTGTCAAAAAAAAAATTCACTTACAAGATTTCTTGAATTTCAACTTATGAAAAAATATTTGCAGTAGGCTTTGGTTTTTGTAGAAAAAAATATGTTTCCTCCATTTCATTGAGGTGTCGCACTTTCAAGTGGATCACACTGTATATTAATTTGATGTAAAAAAGTACTAAACTTTTAAATTCATAATAATAATTATATTTCTGGCTGCCCTAAAAATTTTGTAATGCACTGCACTGTCCTCGTGTGTGACGTCAAGGATCTTAGATTCTATGAAGGATTTATCCTATGCATCAGATTGGTTTTGACAGTTTGACACCTTTCTGACAATCCACGAAATCGAGATGAAATCTTGTTGTTCTGTCATTCTGTGATGTAAGTATTTGTAAATTTTTGAAAATGTCAAATTAGATCAAAATTCACCAAAATCGTCAAATCATCAGTTCATACCCACTTCTCCACATATTTTTGTGTTTCAAAATTTCAGCAATGCTATAAGCCCATTCATGTCATGTCACGTCGTCCATCACCTTTAGATAATGACCAGTGCAGACAATGTTCAAGTTTTTCAGAATATGTAAAAACCACTAAAAAGAAAGTTCAAGATGATAGTACAAGCAGTAGTTCTTCAACTGTGAGTGGTATAATACTTGTTCTTCATACTTTGAACGTGCTTTTGACTTTTTTTAAGGAAACTGAGGATATCCAAGTGAGAAGATCAGACTGTCCCCTTGATAAAGATGAATTAGGAAACAAATCCTGGGGTTTGTTACATACAATAGCAGCTAAATACCCAGAGAAACCTTCTAAGCAGCAACAGTGTGACATGAAAGACTTTTTCAAACATATATCCAATTTTTATCCATGTGATTACTGTGCTAAAGATTTGAGAGATGAGTGAGTACATTGATGACAGGAATACAACATAACTTTTCAGCACATTATGATTTCAGACTTAGAATTGATCCACCCAAAGTGGAATCTCAAGATGCCTTGAGTCAATGGTTGTGTAAATTACACAATAAAGTAAATGTTAAGACAGGCAAAGAAGTATTTGATTGCTCAAAAGTTAATGAAAGGTGGAGGGATGGATGGTTAGATGGATCATGTGATTAGATGAAAATGACCAAAAATGTAAATAAAATAATAAATGAAGAACATTAAAATCATTTGGGACTTTAATTTAATACCTAATCAGATACTATACCTAGTTGAAGATGGAAAATATTGGTAAAATTATGAAAAAGTTGGAGAAACAGGTAAATAATGATACTATTTTTGGAAGGGGTAGTAGTCCAACCCAGTATTGTATTTGAATTTAGGTTTATCGCCTTTTTTAGACTGTTCAACAAGAGCCAATACGTCTTTGCGGTATGGTGGGGGTTTCAATTCATCATCTAAAGTGCATTCAAATTGCTCTGGTTCTATTTTTTTGTATATTCTTCTTCTTATGATATCAATGTCTCTGCCATACTCATCCAGTAGTTGATCTATTGAAGTTGGTGGGACATTAAATTCATATAAGAAGTAACTGAAATAATAATGTTCAACAGTTTAGCAAATTGAACATCAAAATGTCATTCATTGAAAATAGGAAGACACAATATACCTTGCTTTATTGTAAACTACCCCATGTACACTAGTCTTATAAGGCATATCTCTAGTACCAAGATTTTCCAGTTTTCTAATAATTCCTCCCTTTTCGAAAATCATATTAGCAGTCCTTTTCAACACTGTCTTCAATTCTGTCTATAAATATAAAACATTCAGAAACCTGTTCTTGTATGTATGAAATACAATTAATACCTTTGGCATTACTCTCAATAAGAGCATCAATTCATAATGGATCATGGTATCGGCTAATATTTTTACAGTTTATAGAAAATTATAATTAATTTTCTATAGGCAAACAATACAAAAATATCTCAATTCAGTCGATTCACCATGCTAGCGTAATCGTAATGTGAATGTGTAATTCAGAATTCAGCTGTCAAAGAAATGTCCAATTCTTCTTATTTTAGTAATATTGTTCCATTATTGTATTATTGATGGCATTTTGCCTGTATATGCCAATGCCAGCCACTTTGCACTTATGAAGATATGTATTTTATGGCCACTGGAGTACAAAGCGATTAGCCAATAAAAACCCATAGTAGATAGATGTTAGATTTTTAAGGTTATTTGAAGTTGACTGTGTAAATTAAAACTGGAAATTCTGATAATACCACTAGGAATAAAGGACCAGCTACATAATTAACTGATATAACAGAAAAAATTCAAAGGAAACAAATGGCAGACGAAGATTCAGTAAACGGTAGCAATGATGAAGTGCCAGAGAAAGGTCAACAAAAAAAGGTGGTCAAATATGATAGTGGGGCCGCAGACCTAGAGAGAGTCACTGATTATGCTGAAGAGAAGGAAATCTCCACCCAAGATGTGGCTGGAGCAATATCGGCAATTGGAGACAGGCGTAACAAAGATGCCTTGGAAAAACAAGAACGAGAGAAGGAGTTGATGAAAGTCTCTATAAAAAAAGAGGATGTTGATTTGATAGTTCGAGAAATGGAAATAACTAGAATTCTTGCCGAACGTACCCTCAGGGAACACCATGGCAATGTTGTGAAAGCCCTCATAGCATTGACTAATTGAAAGTTTCATTATAAATCAAATTCCCTAGTTGTATAAATTTTCAAAGACATATAAAATTATGTGAATCTGAACATTGGTATCAAAATAAAATGAAGTTACCCAAACCAAATTTGTGACTTGTGTAAACTTTGAATTTGCTTTAAAATTTTAGAAATATGGGCTGACTTCAATGTCATGGTTTCAACTCCAAATTTTTTGAATAGCACCTGGAAGAAAATACATTGGTAGGTATGATTAGAGCTCCTAAATGTACTTGACAGTGCTGTTTTGATGTTTTTTTGTATATTAGGTATGATGAAAATATAGCTAGAAATAAAGTGATATTTGGTTTGATAAGTGGATATATTTATGTATCTGAAGATTTGAACAAATATGAAATGTGAATATTAAAATACAATCTACAAATATTCTCGATCCATTGGTGTCTTCTTTGCTTTTTTGTCTCTTGATCTAGGAAACCATCTATGTTTAGTAGTATGTGTCAAATTCATGAGTTCCTGCCTGGCCTGTTCTGGAGTTTTCTTATTGAAAATATTCAGTAATTCTGGAGTAACTGTAGTTTTCAATAAGCTGCTCTCAGCTTCAATTTGGTCAATTTCAGGAAGAGGCTTGGTGCATTCATAAGGAAAGTCTTCCTTTGGATGATATGCTAGTATTGTGCTTCCTTGATCAACAACAACTATTTTATGATCTTTTGAGATATTTCGTATTGCCGCCAATCTCATGGAACTGAAGTGAGATGATAACAATTTGAGATACATTTCTAACAGCAGATTAATTAGATCAATGATAGTTTTTGAAGAAAAGATTAGTCCAACCTATAGCTTTCTGTGGACCAAACTTCGGTGTGCTTCGGTTCTTCGGACCATTCAATTTTTACCTATTGATACAATCAGGAAACCAGGTCCAACAAAAATCTATTAAAATTTCCAAACCAAGCAGTCCAAGCACAAGCACTTCTCCAAATCACAACATAACCTTAATGTCCTTTCTACTATGACACTGGCCTAAAAAAGTAGAAGACAAAATGAAGAAGAATATAAAATAGGAAAAGAAGAAAATGAGAGAAATGAGAAATGTAAACTCAGCAAACTTCGGGTTGGACGCCATTTTCTCATTTTCTTGATATCTTGTATGTGAACTCGTCTTCTGTGAAGTTTTTCAAGATCTAGGTTCGAGAGATAGAAACAACTAATTCAGGTACTTTTAACTATAAGTATTTATGTTAACAGTAGGAAATATAATACAGAATATTATGATTTGAGCAATCTTCCTAAAAAAATTGTTCTGAAAATTGGTGTGTCAAGAACGTCACTTTTCCATTGATTACCTAACACCCTCTTGAAATCGGAGCGCAATTTTCTTTGTCTGTTTAGTACGATTTCGAATCGAGCACTCTCCATTCTTCAGCAAGACGAAACATGTGTATTCCTATAGCATTTAACTATACCTGCAAGTTCTCTTGTAGGTCACATCATACTTCCTACAGTCCTACAGATGAATCCTGCCTCCAGAATATGGGATATCCCTCCTCCGCCAGGTACGGAGGAATTCGAACTTGAGCTGTCCAAAAAAAAGGATTCTGCTGAGAAGCCAGAGGAGAAGATTGAGGAGAAATCTTCACTTCGTGCAATTGATCGTATTGATCCATACTTGAAAAACCCTGATTATATTGATTATGAAAAGAGACATCCTAAAAAAAATCGATCCCGATCAAGAAGTAAATCGAAAGATCGGCACCGCAGGAGGAGGTATTCTCGCAGTAGGTCAAGGTCAAGACACCGGCGATCTAGATCCAAGTCCAGACGTCGTAGAAGACGATACAGTTCTTCTCGCAGCAGGTCACGCTCTCCAGGTCATCGGCGTAGCAAACATAAGCGAAGCAGAAGGAGACACTCCTCTTCTTCCAGACATTCTCGATCGAGGTCACGAAGCACTTCTAGGTCACGGCACAGACGCCATAGGACTAAAAGTCCCAAGGAAAAGTCTTCATCTACTGCTAGAAAATCAGCTTCTGAGGAGAGACCATTACCAGATGCAGACATTAATGAGGTAGACATGAAGATAGAGGAGGAAGAAGAAGAAGATGATACCAAGGACAATGTCTTCAAAAATGATGGATCTTTCTTAGAAATGTTCAAAAAGATACAGGAGCAGCAGCAGCAAAAAGTAAAAGAGGAACCTGTTACCAACCCTAATGAAATTAAGAAACCAATATTGCCTGCATTTGGTAAAAGGAGAGGAGGAAAAGTGTTGAAAACTGGAATGGTTCAAAAAATAAGACAGCCAAGTGAAGAAGAAAATAATGCACAAGATGCATGGTCAATTTATATGAAAGAAGTGAGGAGGTATAAGGAAGCCCATTGTGATGATGATTCGAAAACTAGACCACTTGTTAAATGAAGGTGTTGATTCATTGTTTAATTAAGATTTTTTTATGATAGGTTAAGATAATGATTTAGAGTTCTGGATTTTATTCAATACCAATAAGTTGGTAAAGGAATATAATTGTGAAAGTAGTTGGGTGATAACCTATTTATTTATATTGCAATAAAAGGTGGAATTCATTCACTTTCTGATATTTTACAAAACACTCAATTTCCATTCAGTAAATTGAAATATTGGAAAATAGAAATACCTACTCAAATTAAAACACAAGATGGAAAATTGATTTATATTTTGAAGCCAATACACATATTGTTTTTTCTTATCTATTTACAAAAACATTTTCAATTCTTCCAGAATTATCTAGAATTTGGGTTTCTGCCATTTCATCATGTTTTTGTCATTTTGAAATTTCAATATCTAGTCACAATAAAAGCAAAGATAAATGGGGGCAAATTGGATCTGTGTCACCCAATATGATATCTTTAGTTGTCATTTCCACCTAGATTGGGTAAGAATTGGTGTGATTTGAATTATTGTTTTGAAATTATGGAATTTTTTTATATGTAAATTGCAAGTATGCAAGTAGAAACAAGTATCAAGGTAACTCTCAAAAATGAAAACATTAGATGTTTCTTCTCATTTATCACATAGAATAGTGGCAGATACAAAACTTTAATTATAATTTTCCATTGTTCAGGCAATATATTGTAATGCCAGGAACTTTTTGAATTCACCACTGAATTTATTGTTGTTTCATTCAAAATAAAATAGTATTTTGTAAAAAGTCTGTAAGTATTCCTCTGGAGAATGGAGATGTGTATTGTGTTTAACAATTCCAATTTATGTGCTATTATGTTATTTGTGTAAGGTTTGAAACTTCTCATGGCATGCACAACATCTTATTGACAATTTTTCACATTTTCGAAACAAAAATCTGTTGGTGGATTTTTTTGATGTTCAAGATGTCACAACAGTGGTAACACAAAGTAGTAGGAGAAAATGTGTATATTATATGGAAAATGTACACATGTGTATAAAACAATCTAAAAGTATAAATTATCAAATGAATCATAATGTATGTATTTACAAAATCAAGGTACCTACCTGATTCAGAAGGATTCATATATGTAAAAAAAAAATCAGCAACCAATCACCAAAAGTTGAAAATTTTGATAAAACACAATTTCATGAATACCTAATTATGTGTATCTACTGGTTGATCAGGACAAACCCTTATATCAAGGTAATTCATCATGAAATCTGAGGATTTCTAATAACTTCACAAGATTTGATTACTTTGTTTTGAATACAGTACAGTCGGCAGAGAGTATGATTTTCATAAAATTCGACCAATGAAAGAACACACTAGATGGTTTCGTTAACTAATCCTGTTTCTTGGATATACAGTTCTGTATTTTTTTGTCCTACCACTTTCAATGAACTGGTCTTTATATTGAGTTCATTGACCACTATTGGCCTTTCGAAAAAGGTAAGTGATACGGAGTTGGTTTGCGTTAGATTAAAGCGGTCCTTATTGATATTTCCGTTTTCAAAATATACGGGTAAAACAAAACTGCTGATTTTTTTTCTATGCGCTGTCGCCTCCATTTTCATGAATAGTGAATCATTTGCTTTGCATCATTTACCGTTTCCGAGATGCCCATACAGTAATGTATGGATAATCCAAACAAAATTGGCAGAGCCCGTTCGGTTTACCAAAACTTCGGGATTATAGAATTTATAATGAATGATATCACGCGAATGAACATCCAGACTCCAGCTGACGTAAAATTAAAGCCTATTTCAGAGGTTAATGTGATATTTTCTAGTTCAGGTGCATTTTTTATTAAATATGCACAGACGTACAGCCTACAACTCACAATACAACTAAACAACGTGGCGAAGTTCCTTAAACTGTGTTCTTGCAGACTTGTATTAGTTCGGATTGAAGAACTCAGGGTGATGGGATTATGGATATTATTTTACGGTAATGGGGTGTTCAGAGTTTGGATTATACCCAGGCAACCAGATGACGAATGGTCACGATACTGTTACGTACCCAATTGGTGATTTTTTTGTCAGAGACGTCACACATGCACCAATTTCTAATGTTACTATTACGTACTTTCTATGATGCGATCACGTCATTATTACGACGTTGAGTTAACAGCACTTGGAAGGGTGAAATATGACGTCAGTTTAATGACGTTGCGGGGACGTCGTGTCACCGTCATGTTTCTCTATAGTTCGGTATGTGTGTGTGAAACAGGGTGTCCCAAACTCGATGGCATATTGAACGTTTCTGGAGAACGGGACATAGGATCATTTTGGAAATTTGGTTTCTTGGGTATTCAGTTCTGTTCTATCGATCTTAAGTATTTCCAGCGCTTTAGCGTTGCCGGTTTCTATCGAAAAGTAGCAATAACTTTGTTTTATTCAATTTGTCTTATATAAATTGAAAATTTCGAATTTAAATTTAAATGAAATCAATTCATTACATAATCATGGAACAAGACAATTAAATTTGAAAATGGTAAATACGTATAAGTCAAATATTGGCAAACAATCCATTTTTCAAACAGGAATCATTCAATACAACTCATTACCAAGTCAATTGAGAAATATACAGGAAGCAACTAGATTCAAAATATCTGCTTCAGAGACTTGATAATTGAACATCCATACCGATACCCTATCTATCCATTGATTTGGAAGATCTACAGAGACAGAGGGTGATTATAACCCCCCACAAAAAATAAAATGACGAAATCCAGGCGTGGAAATTAAAAAACGTGTTGATTTCCATTGAGCTAAAGCATTGAAAGTGTAATTTTACTTTTATTCCTGAAATATGTGCATTGCGGAGTAAGAGCCGCCTATAGTTAATCGTTTTTTGAAAAATTCAGTAGAAGTGTGGGGAAAATTTTGAATAATTTATTTTTGATGTTTGTTTGTGACCTCTGAAAATTCCCTGTCACAGTTCACAAAAACCATGCAAGATGAACTTTTTGATACAAACTAAACTATTGAAAATGTTCAAGAACGGTCCTGGATTTTCCCGATTCTGAATAAATCAGTCGATTAGAGAGTAGTGGCAGAATATTCTATGAAAAATTCAGACGAATCGAAGAACCCGTTGGAAAGAAGAGAAGAACACAATTTCTGATGGTCATTATAGGTATTCCCCTCAGGGGGCTCTATTCGTGGTAGGAGTATGTAGAGTTCCTCATGACTCACCCTGTATATTTAACTTAAACTGGGACAATCCTGTATATTCATGGAATCTCAATTAAAACGAGCTAACCAGTGTTATGTTCACCCATCACCGTTGGGTCCACATTAATAAATCCGTAGGTATTTTACAACCTTACTTGAATCAACAATTTGGTAAGTAACCTTTTATTGTAATTACATTTGTAGGTACTCAATTGATAGATATTATGATATCTATTTTTATCAGTTAATACAATTTCGGAAATTGGGTGAATTTGTACCGTTCATACTCATTATCCAAACTTGACTATCAAAAAATCATTCACGGCTGCTACTTTTCTATGAATTTATTGTTTCACCTAGGATGGAAACGCCTAGTATTTTCATTTGCACTTAATGAATAATAGTTCCATATTAGTTATTTTTTAAACTAGAGCGCGAAATGCTACTTTGGTGATCGAGATCTGATTTTTTCAACGAGGCGTAGCCGAGTTAAAAAAATTGTCGAGATGACCAAAGTATTTCGCGCTCGAGTTGCAAACAAAATTTTTTCTACAAACGTCAAAAAATATGGTTCTAAAATAAAAATATGCTCAGCTTGATGTAAAAAATAGTGTTGAACTGGCTTAAAACGCCTCTCCCTATCCTGCCTAGGTACGATATTCCACGAACATAAAAGGAATTTCGTTTCGTGTGCTCCAAGAGATGAGACAAAGTTATTGTTGAAAATTCAGAAATAAATTATTTCGTGGATGTTTGCTCGATTGAGGACCATGAATAAGTTGAAATATAAATATCTCATATATTTTACATAACAATGCGCGGAGTAGCTACTTCGCGCATTGTTTTCTGCAAGGTATCATGGTAACGTAGGAAACTGAAAAAAAGTGTCACTTCGCAATTTGTTATCTTATGACGTTTGAAGAAAAAAATAATTGAGATCTCTTATAACCGATATTGTTTTTCATTCGATGTTATATAGTGATGATGAATGAAGAAGTGCCGAAAGATATAGTATATAGTTACCAAAACGAGATCAGCGAGTTTGGTACCGTTATGATTTTCTATAGTTCACGTACCTCTATAACGATATCGCTCGCAGAATCATAGTCCTTGTTCAATATTTTACAAACAAGTTTTAGAATGATTAACAGAACTGTTGAACCTCATGTCTAACAAACAACTGTTTCGCCAAAAAATGTTATTTTTTATTTTCTCATATTTCCGCACTAGTGCGGGAATTGGACTTGGGTCCGGATATGTTCAATTCGTAAGCGATTGTAGAAAATAAAGTAAATTTAATATCCTATTCAAACCTCGTTTTCATTAGCTCGCTATCTCTTATTTTGGGTCAACACCATTGAACAAAGTTCTGAGGGGGCAGAATATTTTCATATGGTGCAGGGTCTAGACCAAACAGTTGAACATACTCGTAGTTAATATTCACCACTTAAAATATCGATGAGTTTGCTAACTTTTTTAAAGCCCGATTTTTTCATTACCGCATGGGCGGTAATTCATGCATAAGCAGAAATTTGGCATTTTCAAAAACTAAGCAGTAACGTTTAGTACAGATACCTCCTACTTAGGCTTTGCTTTTGCTATACTTTTGCATCAAAACTTTCACCCCTGACAAACAATAAACGACGTGTTTTTGGTTTTTCTCGAAAAGTTCCTCCTCGATCAGTCTGTACTTCATCGATATTTTGAGTGTATCGATTCTAGAAGAAATCACAACAAACATATACCAGCACCCACTAGTGCCTAGTGAATTGTCATTGTTATTGGCGGAGCAGTAGGTATTTCCAATTATTGCATTCAGTGCATTCCCAATAGTGACCAAGTGGTTAATTCTCACACAAAGAAAAAACTTCTCGTAACTATTCAGTTATACACATCTGATTTAGTGCAACTACCAAAAATCCTTGAATTCCCTTCCTGTTGCTCAATATTAGAATCTCTGGAATTTATGGAAATGGCCAAAACTCGATAACTCCTTTTATTTCTACATCTGAACTATTTCTGAAGTCTATAATGATGTGAATGAAATGCACGACAATATGCACCTCATATAGTTCAATGGTCCATTGTGATTTTATATTGATGACTTGATATATTTTATATCGTTGAATCATCGTTCATCGTAATGTTCCATTGATCTTTGAGAAATGGAAAATATAAATTGATTCCCCATATCATCGTAAAAATTATGTAATCTTGATTCACATAAATCTATGCAAATTATACAGGGTGTCCCGAAATTAGCCCACCAAACTTCACCAGCGGCTTTAACTACCAAAAATAGAAAGAAAACTGTCAATGAACATGAGTCGAGAAATGTCTCCTAAGGGAGCTATGGCTCCCCGAAAGGGGGCTCCTGAAGATGGTATTTCTTGAGTATTTCCGAAACTCCAATAAAAAGATGCAATTTGGTACAAGAACTAAAATTTCCATGCCCAATGCAGTGAAAATGAAATCATTTCAAAATTTCAATCAGGAGTGTATAATACAGGGTGGGACTATATTAAATATTGCTCAAAATTTTTTGTACGCATATTTTTCGACAATTTAATCTCAGATTATGAAATTTCACACCTCTTTACAGAAAAAAGGTACTCTTATTATTGTTCCGTGACAATCAGATGTATTGTTATCGAGTAAAAGCAATTTAAAAATATTGTTACATCCCAGATATTATGCATATCACTGCAATGAGACGTAGTGGAAATGAAACAAAATGCACGACAAGTAGTTTTTTTCATCATCATTTTTTAATTTTTCGCGCTTTTATGAGATTGTTTGATAGAAAGAAAGAACTTGATTTTTTTATAGCCACTATGATTTGAAAATTGGCAACGTTATGCATAAGATGTGAGTGCATCAATATTTTTAAATCGATTTCACTCGAGAATGATAGATCTGATCGATGCGGAGCAAGATAACTTTCTTGTGAAATGGTGTGGATTTTCATAATCCGAGATTGACTTGTCAAAAAATATGCATACGAAAAAGTTTGAGCAATATTTAATGTACTCCCACACTGTATTATAAACTCCTGCATTGGGCATGGAAAGTTTAGTTTCGGAAATATTCAAGAAATATTATCTTCAGGAGCCCCCTCTCAAGGGGCCGTAGGATAGATTTCTCGACTCATGTTCATTGGAACTTTTCTTCCTATTTTTGGTCGAAGAACTCGCTTGATTTCGGGACACCCCGTATAATCGTCCTACCAGCAAAATAAAAGTGTGACAAAAACAGCAATGAACAAGTAGTACCTATCATCAAGAAATGAAGTTTCAACATTTTGCCATCAATTAAATCAATGGGCCAGCTATAAATCACGTGTCTGCTATGAATCATTCAATTCAGGTAGACACCTGCATATCAAAATTGCATCCCACAATAATTTTAATATCATGGTGTCCCACTAAGCAAATGTGGAAGCTATATATATGTTGACGCAAGGTTGTAGCAATAACCGAACCATACGTTCAGCAATATTTCAAATGTAAATTTGTAAATGTAACGTTCCAGCAATGTCACAGCAACATGTAATATTGATGCAACGTTGCATTAGCAAACTTCACCTTTGCAATAGTGCTGAACGTCCGTTTCAGTAATTGCTTCAACATTGCATCAACATAGCTTTCAATTTTGCTTAGCGGGTGTTCCCATAGCGCGTAAAACGGCTTACTTGATTCAATTGAAACGATTCCTCCCTTTTCAGACATCATGCCAGCTGCCATCAAAGCCGAAGACATCAAGACGGCCCCCTTCGACCCCCGCTTCCCCAACACCAACCAAACGCGTTACTGCTACCAGAGCTACGTCGACTACCACCGTTGCCAGAAAGTGAGGGGCGCCGATTACGCCCCTTGCGAGTACTTCTCCAAGGTGTTCCATTCCGTGTGCCCCAATGGGTGGGTCGAGAAGTGGGACGGCCAGAGAGAAGAAGGAACATTCCCTGGAAACATTTAAATTATTATAATATTCCTTAGTTTGATAGTTGCGAATGTGGACTGTATTTGTATAAATACTTTCCTATGATAGCGTTATAATGTACTAATAAAAAAAAACGGTTATAAAATGAGTTATGATGATTCATATTTAGTAAGGTAGTGTCCCTAAGCACCTATGGAGAAAGCAGATATATAAATGTAGATAGGTATACCAGGTGACACAGGAGACATATGTAACAGCCTGTAGTTTTTTTATTTGATCAAGAGATACAAATTTGAAATTCACAAGAGTTATATTATCGACGATGGCGCTTCCCTTGAACCCAATGACAATTTTCTTCAACCACCTCTTTGATCGAAAGTAGACCCAACTTTTTTGTTTGTCATATGGCACCTTGTATACTTCTATAGCTTATCTCATTTGCCTTGAAATTCTCTATTCAACTAAAAAAATTGTTCTAAAATAGTTCTATCCGTCATTCGGTTGCCTCCTTATACGAGCAACCCTCAGAAGTCTTCGAGAGTCTTGTGCCAGCAAGGAATGACGGGAGCCTTACCTTTCAACGTGTGATTCCAAACACTTTCTTGGGCCATCAGAAACATGTCTGCAGTCGCTGGGAATTGAACCCACGACCGGCAAGCGAATGCGGATTAGAATATTGACACTCTGTCCGCACGGCTACCTGGCCCCATCGTGCTGGCCCCCCACATATATGTATTGGCTGTTAAATTGCATTTTATTAAAATACATGAATACGTTGGCTGTGGCCCGAATGCAATGACATTTCGATGCTTGATATAGGCTTAGAATTAGAAATCCAAAGATCATTACTTAGAATATTTTCCATACCTATATATACCGCCCCAATCGGCCCCATGAGATTGCCAATAATTTCATATTGAGTTTAAAAAATCATCATCTTTGGATTTCTAAGCCTATCAAGCATCGAAATGTCATTGTATTCGAGCCATCACAGCCATCAACTTCATGTATTTCAATAAAATGCATTTAACAGCCAATTTTAATTAACGAATATCGAATTGTGATACATAGTTGAATAGAGAATAAGATAAACTACAGAAATATACAGGGTGCCATTCGGAAAAAAAAAGTTGGGTCTACTTCCAATCGAACAAGTGGTTGAAAAAAATTGTCACTGGGTTCAAGGAAAGCGCTATTATCGATTATATATATGACCCTTGTTTATTTCAAGTTTTTGTCTCTTCAATTAAAAAAACTAGAGGCTGTTACATGTATCCTGTGTCACCCGTTAGATTTGATTCTTGAATTATTATTTCATACAAGTAGGTATAATCGGACACTGATGTAGACTTTTTTCATGAAATAATTTCAAATTCAAGCTTATATTTAGCTTGAAGTATATAAGTACTTTTCATTATTTTCTCTTACATATCTCTGCTATCTGCCATCTGCTTTATATACACAAAAATCAATCACATAGAAATAGTAATTTTTTGAAAAAATATTCGCGATGACTAAAATATTTAGCGCAGGCAGGAGTTGCAAACAAATTTTTTTCTATGTCAAAAAATATGGTTCTAAGTGTTATATTAATATGCTTTTAGCTTTATATAAAAAATAGTGTTGAACTAGCTTAAAGGCTTTCCTAGGTACGCACTATTTTCTTTCCTGCACTCCAAGAGATATATAAAACAAAATTATTGTTGAACATTCAGAAATAAATGATTTCTTGGATGTTTGCGGAAATTATGGATGTGTGTTGGAAAATTTTAAATTAATCCAATGATTTGTATTTGTTTATAGACTACCTTCTTGTACCAATCAATGAACTCAATATAATAACACCAATACCCAATGAACTATTTTCAAAATAAAGCCAAGTTTAGCTGAAGTTTAGCAACAGTCAACCTGGCAGAGGTCAGTTTTAGCTGTGTCTCTAAAAGTCTCCGTCCTAGTAGTCCTAGTCTATGTTTACGAATTACAAAATAAAAGGAAGATAAAATCTTTATTAACCATTAACTGGCATTAACCTATAAAAAGTGAGCGAGTGTCATGTAGAATGTTTTGATTTAAATATTTTATTTTAAATTCATAGGAATGCAGGTGTAATGAATGTTTCATCTAGTTCTATTTATTCATAGATTATGCTAAAGTTATTACTACAATTGACTAAAAACAGTTTGGCCAACGGTCCCAGTCCGAATGTTTTCAATAATTTGAAATGCATAAACTGTAGTAGGAGCAGATCCTTCAGTAAAAAAGTAGCTGATCACATCAATGAAGGTAGAAAAAGAAATATTAGATCAACACTTTACTATGTTACTGCTGCGGGTGTAGTGACTGTTGGCTTAAGCTATGCAGCTGTGCCACTTTATAGAATGTTTTGCCAAGCATACAGTTATGGAGGAACCACTGCCATAGGACATGATGCCAGTAAAGTCGAGACTATGTCTAAGGTGCAACATAAACCAATTAAAATCAAATTCAATGCTGATACTGCTGCAAGTATGAGATGGAATTTCAAACCTCAACAGAGTGAACTTACTGTAAGTTATCAACATCATTGTCAGTGAAGATTCAAACATTTTCCATAGGTTTGTCCAGGAGAAACAGCACTGGCATTTTATACTGCTAAGAACCCAACTGATACTCCAGTTATAGGAATAAGTACTTATAATGTAGTTCCCTTTGAGGCTGGACAGTATTTCAATAAGATTCAGTGTTTTTGTTTTGAAGAACAATTGCTCAACCCACATGAACAGGTAAATACCTAATAGGGTATATTTTGTTGACCAGGGTCATTTCCAAATGCAACATATTCTATAATAATATAAAATGAGTTAGATATAAGATGAGATATCTTATATTGTTAAAAAAATTGTGTACAAAAACTATCACAAGTCAATGCAGGCAGCAAACTTCCATAAATATACCTTGTGCCACCTTGTACACTGAAGGGTCCAATGTCTCATGCATTAATATATCAAAGTTGGAGTTTGAAAAGAACAATAAATTTGAGGATTGGAAGGGAAAGAGTGAGAATTTGCTTTGGGCAATTATAAAAAATACTATTTGAGAATTTTTTTAAAATGTGCCTGTGGAATATTATCTAGATTGAGGAAATTGATCTTTTACTGACATACATACATACTTCCACATAGTTCCATAGAAAACACTAATTGTAAAGTTGTTAATTCTATTAAGTGTTCATCCATTGCAGTATTCAAAATTTCAAAATATTTTTCATTCAAGTATATTGAATAAATATACCAAAGTCTCATTGGTCATGAGAACAGAAAATACTACTAAACCCATTCCTTATTTTTATGATTCAAATGGTAAATCTAAGTATTAGGTACAAGAGGTGTGTTACATAACTGTCTGTCCCTGATGATATTAATATAATTATGATAAATCAATCAGAATTAAAATAATCAGTATTAAAGTTGCTGCAGATTTTCCATCTAATGAAAGTATTCACATTTTTCATAATTAACATTTCACAAAATTTAACCACTTTGATATGGAAATTTGAATCAAATTATTTTCAGGTAGATATGCCAGTATTTTTTTACATAGATCCAGAAATCACTGAGGACCCATACATGGAGTACGTGAGTGAAATTACTTTGTCCTACACATTCTTTGAGGCCAAAGATGGTCTTAAACTACCTCTTCCCCCTCATATGAAAGCATGAGAAAGTTCTTAGTCTGTTGATGAAATAAAGTATATTTATTCTACCACCTCCTCTTCAATTAACCTACAGACAGTAATTAAATAAAGTATAGTTTCATTTGTAGCTATTAGTTTATTCTTGTTTCTAAAACACTAGAATTTACATCCATGATGAGAATGAGTTTTTATACAATTTCAATATTTGATTGTGGCAGTTATGGGAAAAGATCGTCTCATACCCATGCATTTCTCACGGTCAATGAACAAGGAGTTCACTTTGTTATGTAGATCAGATTCAAGATTTGATCTGGTTTTGAGTAGTTGCTGATGCTGAGCTTCAGCTTCTTGCAGCTTTCTGTGCAGCATTTCCACGTTATCTTGGAGATCCCTCACTTCATACACCAACCTATAATAATATATAGATGAGAGATGTAATTTATAGCAGTGTGGTTATGTTGTCCACTATTTTTAATTTCCACCCTGGATAAAATGGAAAAAATTGCATTATTGGATCAGATGGGACAAACTGTTGTTGATGTTTTCATGTTCTGGGTTTGGTGGTAGGTATATATTGTTTTTTATTATGAATTAACATTATTCATAAATGGCCAGAAATAAACAGTACTCAAATATTTGTTTGTTGGAGCAGAGTTAAATTCACATTTACCTATCTTGAGCAGTATCCCTACAAAGTTCTACTTCTTTTCTATGGGTTCTTGCTTCCAGTCTAGTGTGGGCCACTTTCATAGGATTGCTCTTGTCCATGATAGCTTTTTTGAGGAGTTCAATGTTCTTTTCCAAGTCGAATATTTCCTGCTGTACCTAAGTAAGCCAAACTATGTGTCAAAAATTTTATCATCATCCAGAGATGGTGACAAAAATGATGCCATATTGTTAAATGTTGCAGGGAAGGGAGAAATGACACTTTTTCTAATTTTGATATGTAATTTGACACTTCAAAACTAATGACAGAAAAGTAAAGTAAAATATTACATAACTGGTGATGAAATGTTCACCAGTTAGGTAATAGGAGCATGGATGGAGGAAGATAATAGTATATTTTGTGCTGCTTTCTTGATACCACTGGGGAAATCATATGAATCAGTCATTTTCCACTAATGAAGAAAATATGATATTGAATTGATAAATAAATTATATACTGGAATATTGTTCCAATTTGGTAAGGTCAACAAACAAATAATTTTAATCTCCATTCAAACGACATACTAACTTTATGCAGGTGCATCTGCAACTTGCTCTTGGTCTCCAAAGTCTCTGCCGACCTTCTCGCTAAGGCGTTATTCGTGTTGCTCCATGCGTCCCAAATCTCTTGGGCGCATGTGTTTATCAGGTTGTCTATATCCGAACGCATTTGCGCCGATTTGCCCCGTTCGGCTTGAGAACGCTGTACGATTCTGTTGCTGTTCTCCGCCCAGGTCACAGTTGTGCTCACCCTGAAGATTTTTCAGAATTTATAAAGCAAATGCAACTCTGAGGATAACACATTGAATTGAATAAACTAGGCAATAAATAAACTGCGATTTTTTTTGCCCAACTTTGAATTGGAAATCAGTTGATATAGAAAGTGGTAATCTCTGGCTATGTTTCATAGCGATGAGTCAATGATATAGGAAGTAAAATAAAGTAGCCAGTCAGATATTAGATCAGTCATAGGTACCTATACAGATGTAGGAAAAAAATTGCCGGCATATAACATTCTTAATGCGTTTTGACGAAAGATCCTGTAGCTAGTCGACCAGCACAAAATATAACTGATATACGTGACGGCTAATCGAGTATTCAACTGGACCACTGTTGTCCTTCCTGCAGACAGTTTGCCACATCTTCACTAAAATGTTCATTCTGCTGAGCTTGCAAAGAGTTGAGACCACCGACATACCTATACCGCTAATGCCATAAGACGAAAGCTCATCCAGTTTCGAGATGGAGCATGATTTAGCACCTGTCATACTATATATCTTACTCACTCTTACTCATGTATTCGAACACCAAGTGTCATGAATGATAGTTTGGATCCTTACAATAAGGGCTTTGGTTATCGCTCACCAGTCACCCTGCTTATTGAAACGATAATGTTCACTTTGAGCCCCACTTCCGGAATCAGATTTTTTTACTGAGAATAAGAAGGCTTTGGAGATCCTTGTTGTTTACCTTGTACGACTTGTACAGTTGAAAGGTCATTTAGTAGCCTCAAGAAAATCAAAACCTGGTTGAAGAGCACCATGTCTGAAGCTCGACTCAATGGCCTCGCAATGAGGAGTGTACACAGGCAACACAATTTCATAAACTTGAACGATTTCGTCAACAAAGTGACTAACGAATTCGTAAAGAATCATAGAAGATCATGTTTCAATTGATATTCTATATAGATATCTTGTTCGCTTTTTATTTTTCTTATTAAAACCACTTGAAACGTTTCTTTTTTGATTTTTCTCTTTAGTTCTTTTATGATGCCCCCCCTTCTAGCATTCCGGCTGGCGACCTCCTTGGATCCTTGGGCAGAAGCGTTTTAACGCGAGCAATTTGGGTCAGATTTTCGGGTTGTTGGGATAGAACACAGCGGTCTTGATAGTAGGTTATGTGGCCCAACGCGTATTACTGCTCTATTTTGTACTGTTCGATTGGTTTATAAAACGTATATGAAGCTGATTTTATTCTCAACCTATGTTGTTACACATGAAACAAATTCAACTATGTCTGATTCACTTGAAAAACATAAACTCATGATTGTGCAACAGCATGCTAGTTTTATGGGATCCGGAATTTATAATGAAATCCGATTCAATTTAAGACGCCTGGTTACTATATCTCTTTGAAATGCTGGTTTTAATAACATACAATGGAAATTGATCTTTCAACCTTCATATCTTATTGGAATCCATTACCTAATTAATAACTTTGAAAATGCTTTGGAATATATCTCACCACTTATGTGAAAAAGAAACAGTATGAAATGTGATGCATCTATTCAATATTTTGTAATGGCAAATTTTCTTCTGGTTAGCTAAGTAAAAACTAGTCTATTTAATTGAAGTCTGAACATTTGCAGCAAAGTGTCCCCAATTTAGAAACACAAGTTTGCAGTTTCATCGCGACTTACGTTGGATCGAACTTCTCAATTCCGCCATAATAATTAATTCCTTTGGAGAAATTGTTGAGCTGGTGGCACATATTATCGATTCCTAGAGCAGAATCCTTGCTTTTGACGTCCGTCTCCAGTTCATGCTGAGCAGCTCTGTTATTCCGCATCTGATCTTGCACTTTGCTATAGAGGCATTTGAATTTCTCTTTGCAGTTTCTGTAGGTCTCGATTTCCTTCAGGAGAGATTGTTCCGCCATATCGTGCACCAAATCTATTCCTGGAATTCGATTGAACGGTTGTGATGCCTATTTTAAGTGATAAAAATTGAATTTGGAAAAAACTGACTCCAGGGTTCATTGGTTACTTTGAATTCTGTGACTAAGTTTCTACTCAATTTTTTTTTCAATGAGAGACATTACATGTGCTTGAAATTCTGTATGATGAAAAATTGTTGTCTTCCTTTTTCACCTCATAAATTTAACTTACATAGATTGAAGATAAAAAACCAAAACAGCAAAATCGAGTTTTATTCACTTTTAACACATTGATTGATTCATTACTAGATATATATATTTTTAATGAAATGAAGCACAGTATTATAAAAAACGCCGCATCATGTTGTCCACTAACTAAATTTATTACCTATGTAAAAGCTTCACAAACGATAAGATTTCCACAAAATTCTTAAACACACAACATGTTTCGCTAACACAGTAGCTTCGTCAGGTGATATACTGGTACAATGAACTAAACCAACGTTGGCTTGCTTAACTTGTATATATCCTACTTTCCCAACTTGAAGGATTAGTTACCTGTGGACAAGTAGGATAAACCTTCATTTTCGGAAATTAGGCACAATATCTACATTAAAATACGGTGTACCGGATTAACTTGAAAGGGTTGATAGCAAATAAATATTATTACCTACTAAGAAACAAATTAAACATTGGTGAACTATTGAGGTCTTATTGATCGTTGAGTAAAATGTCAAAATTTTTGAGTTTGTTGATTTCAAAATGATTCAAACTGATTGAGTTTCATTCCTTCATTTTCTGCGTGTAGAATTTCGAGATTATAATGAAAACTATGGTTTTCTTCTAATATATGGTTGGCGTATGTTGAATTTGTTTTCTTTCAAAAAAAATTCATCTTATGTTCATGAATGCGCTGATTAAACGTACGACCTGTCTGACCGATATATACCTTAGGACAAGATCCACAGTTGAGTTTGTATACCCCTGATTTTTCGAATTTAGAAGTTTTGTCTTTATTATTTTTGATAAATCTTCCCAACGAGTTATTTGTTCTATATGCTACTCTCAAGTCCTGTTTATGTATAGAAATGAAGCTAATTTTTCAGTTGATGATCCGAAATAGGTTAAAGTTTTATAATTTTGATTATTATTATTGATGGTAGGATAAACTTCTTGCTTCATTATGAAGTTTTTTAGAAAGAATACTTTCTATCAAATTAACGTTGTATCCGTTGTTGACTGCAATCTGCTTTATGATATTGAGTTCTTTATTGAAATTTACTTCCGAAAGAGGGACATCATACTATTATATGCTGCAATTTTATGTTGACAAGGGTGTGTTGAATTATTATGAATAGTGATATAAGTGTGGGAAGGTATTGTCAAATCTAAGAAATTGATTGACTCTTTTGTTTTCAATTTCCATTGTGTAACTAATCCTTCAAGTTTGGAAAGTAGGATGTATAAAAGTTAAGCAAGCCAATGATGGTTTAGTTTATTGTACCAGTTTATCACCTGACGAAGATACTTACTGTGTTAGCGACACATGTTGTGTGTTTAAGAATTTTGTGGAAATCTAATCGTTTGTGAAGTTTTTACATTTGCTATGGATTTCCATCAAATAACGGCCGAGTCAATTCAAAATTTAAATTTATTATGATATCAGAATATAACCATATATAACTATCCAAGAGCGGAGTGGTATAATATTTCTCGTTCATTTTTAAAACCTGATAATTTACCTGTGGTCAAAAGTCAATAATCAACAACCTTTATTTTTTCCTAGAATTAAACATGTGTAGAACCATAGACTAATTTGTTCAATCTATGGTAGTACTCTGTAGTAGTAGGTGTAGTACATTCAAGGTATCATACCCTGCCTTTTTTCCCTATGGTACAAACATTCTTGAGCAATATGAAGTGGTCCTTCGATATCGTCAATAGCTTTTTTGAGAGCCCTTCTAGAATCTTGCAGTAAACTAGCTTCTGTCAACAACCTTTCTAACTCTGTTCTTACTTCGTTTCTCCAGAAAGTTGTGTCCGTAATCCTCTCGCCCAATCTTCTTCCAGATTCTCTCTGACCTTGAGCTGTATTTTCATCGGTTTCTCTAAAATATTTGTCAATTTGAGATCGATGATAAAACGGTTCACGTTAGAGCTTTTGATGTGGAAAAAATTGCCCATTTCCCCAGTGTCATAAGAATTGGGGGCATAAAAAACCCACGCAAACCTAAAATCTCCGTTACTGGCATAATTGAGACAAAACAACTTATTAGAGCTCAGAAAGTATAGTTTTTATTAATGGATGACATATTATCAAAAAAGACAAATATCTTTGGATTCTCATCTTCAATTTAAGAGAGTTGACCAAGAAAAATGAAAATTACATGTGGCAGTATTTGTTACCGTAAAATGGGGCGACTTGAAATTTGGCGGCGATTTGAAATTTCTGTGTGCGCTCGAACCCAACCACGTGCTACCATCTTTTTATCAACAGAAAAAGCTGGAAATTTTTTGTATACAAATCATTTTCAGTCGATCGCACCTCGCACCCCTGTGATGCTGAAGGTTTGTGTGACAAAAATTCCGTTAGGAGGGTAAGAATAAACACTTGTTTTCGTTCTGTTACTACTTCCAGTTAGGTGTATGCCTACGAACGAGGGTATATTTCGAAACATTTTTTTCTTATTGCCAATAATATACTTGAGTACAGTATCCTAGTCAGAGATTTGCGTTACATTTTTTTCGTTATTCAGTGGCGAACCATTTGATTTTTTTTTACATAACTGGGGAGACTTGGAATATGGTTAGAGCTTAAAAAAAACCTGGAACGCAGAACTATCAGAATTATAGTCAGGAGTCTCTGCATTTGGCTGTTACAGATTACAGGAACGGAAATGGAAGCCTGATGGCAATGTCAGTATACGCTCTGAAATTCCCGTGACTACCATTGACAATAATCTGAAACAATGATATTTTATACTTGGTATCAGGTATTTTCTTCAACTGGCAAAACTCAATTATTTTGTTCAATTTTCTTCATTATATGTCGCCTCCATGCGACTATATCTTGAAAATTAGCCCGAGAATTGACGATTTTTCATGTCGCCCCAGAGTGGGGCGACTTGAAATATCAACTTTGAATTTTTTTTACAAAAATTGGCCATGCATGGAATTTTGTCGATGCCTGTCATATATTCCTTTTGGTTCGAAGTAATGTATTATGATTTTTATATGCACTCAATTAACGTATTCGACGGTTCAGGGCCAATAATCTGACGGAAACATTCCAAGTCGCCCCGTTTTACGGTATATTTTGGTCCCAGCTTCCCTAGATACGAAACTTGCGATACCCCACTGTTATAGGTCCTTTTCAAATATCATCGTTTACCAAGATAACAACAACCATCGGCCCAGCATTTGTAACGTACACCTCTCCCGGCATTTCATGTACAGGTTGAACAACTAAGAACGGCTGTCATATCTATCATCCTTCCAACTTTGATAGTTAATATCTTCCGTTGACGACAAGCTATCATGTTGCGGTTTTAGTTGGTCTATTCAGATTTAGTTTCTCTATTACGTCGTGTAATAATATGCATACCAATAGATCTATTCTATCTCAAACTTGTATCATTAGGTAGAGGAATCAGCAGGCAAATATGCAACTGGATCAAAACCATGATTGGAAATCGGTACGTCATATCATCACTGCATGGAGGGTCGATCAGGTTTAGGGCGGCAAAAGGTTGTCCACAGGGCGGGGTACTTTCCCCCCTTATGTGGTCATTTTTGGTTGACTCTCTGCTGAGCGATCTCTCCATGCAGGGGGTGGATTTCCAATGCTATGCAGATGATCTCGTCCTAATAGTAAGAGGGAAATTTGAAGCGACGATCTCAAACGGCCTACAAGAAGCCCTCAATACTGTGTACAGGTGGTGCGAGAGGGAGCAGATGTCTGTGAACCCCCGGAAAACTGTAATTATCCCTTTTACCAAAAGGCAAAAGCTAGATAAGCTTCGTCAGCCTGTCCTATATGGAGAGAGCATTCCGTTTGCGACGGAGGTGAAATATCTAGGGGTCACCCTAGATAAAAGACTCACCTGGAACGCCCATATGGCAAAAACTATTAACAAAGCCAGATTTTCCCTCTGGAACCTCAGAAGGGTATGCGGCAAATCATGGGGAATGAACCCCAAACAGATTTACTGGATTTACCAAACAATGGTAAAACCAATGGTCACGTATGGCTCGGTAGTCTGGTGGACCAAAGGTCTGCAGGGAACAGCCAGGGCAAAGCTTGCTGGTCTCCAGCGGCTGGCGTGCCTGGCCATTACAGGGGCGATGTCCTCTACTCCAACGGCAGCGATGGAAAACCTCCTGAACCTCACTCCCCTCCACATTGTCTTGGAGAGGGAAGCCAGGATGGTTTCCTACAGATTCCTGTCATTGGAAAATCAAATCAGAGGGGGGCGACTGCTGGACCACTCCGGGATACTGTGTGAAACAAAAAATCACCAAACTCTAGGAATGGTTTCCGACATGTTGGCCACTCAGACACACGTGAAAAAGTCTTTCAAAGTCCTCTTCCCGAAGAGAGACGAATGTGCAAGCGGATCAGTCCGATTCCCAGAGACCGAACACGTAATGTACACAGATGGTTCGAAAACCCCTCGTGGAGTGGGAGCCGGTGTGTTCAGCAGAAAACCGAAGACGGAAATTTCCGTCAATCTCGGCAAATATGCTACAATCTTTCAGGCGGAGGTATTCGCAATTGAATTGTGTGCTAGAGAGTTGTCGAATAAACCTCTAGTAAACAAAAATATCAGTATTGTATCAGACAGTCACGCTGCTCTTAAAGCACTGAGCTCCAGCGAGATAAATTCCAAGCTTGTATGGAGCTGCATTGAATCCCTAGAAAGCCTGGGTGCTAACAACAGAGTCACTTTGCTGTGGGTGCCTGGACACCAGGGGGTGGAGGGTAACGAGAAAGCCGACATCCTCGCCAAACAGGGAACCGAATCTGTGTTCATAGGACCAGAACCATATTTTGGGGTCACCGCAAGTGCGGCGAAAACAACTATCTCGGGCTGGGCGGAGGGAAAAACACTCACGTACTGGTCCGAATTACCAGGATTAACCCATTCGAAGGCGTTCCTGCCTAAACCATCGGAAAAAATAACCAGGCAGATCCTAGAATGGAGCAGGGGTAACCTGCGAATTCTGACTGGACTGCTTACGGGACACTGTCGTCTACGATACCACCTGGGAAGGATGGGTCTGAACCAACAAACGGACTGTCGGTTCTGTTGTGTGGAAGACGAAACGGCTGAACACATATTATGCTCATGCTCTAGCTTAGAAAGACTAAGGTTCGACACATTTGGCTTTACCAACCTAGAACCTATCGATTTCAGACAAATCTCACCCAATTCAACCATGAACTTTGTAAAAAGATGTGGATTGTACGGTGAACTGTAACCTCTAGGGGTGAGCCACAATAGACCCATCTGGGGTCGCAGTGGAGGGGAGGTGTTCGCCCCACTCACATGGAACCTAACCTAACCTAACCTGTATCATTATTCGTTTCCTAGATATGGCCGACAGCCGTTCTTAGTTGTTCATCCAGTAATTTCAATGCACCATTGATTGAAGCGCTCAGCCACCAACGTATATGCGCAATACGCTTGCAAATCCGAATTAAGCAGGATGAGTTTTTCGAGTACTTTCCAATTATCTGACCGCGAACTACAATCGTTAAATGCCACAGTTTGTAGTACGCGGTCAGATACTTGGAAAGTGCTCGAAAAACTCATCCTCCTTGATACTAATTTGCAAGCGCATATACGTTAGTGGCTGAGCACTGAATTAATTCAATTTAATCGCCGGTAATGTGTAGGTATATCACGGCATTATATTTCAATAGTCGACCGTCAGTTCTCATGGAGATCGGTGTTATCTGGGTAATTACCTCAACCCAGAGGATGTTAAAAAGATTTGGCTTAGGAAGATGGTATCTTCTGGTCGTGAAATCGGCTTTCTCCATCCACTGATTTGCGATCCCAGGAAATGTGGGTGGTGTGTGCACAATGGGCCCGAAAGGGTGGCCTAAGTGCATCAGGTTCCGGACCGCCCATACACATACATTACCTACATTATATTACCTCATGACTCTGATGAAATCTCCTCTCAACCGTTCAGAATAATTTCTGTTCGTATCAGCCTCATTGTAGAATTTCAAATTGCTGTGAGTCCATTCCAGCGGTGTGTATCTGGTATACAGTGCCGCCCTAGCAGCATGACCGGGGTTTCTCTCGAATCCGGTAACGAGATTGGGGAACTTCAGAGGCTCTGTTGCCATTCCATAAGGAGTATAGCAAGGGTCTATCATGGCGTTGGTGGTATGTTGTGATGGGCTAAAAACCGTGGTGAAATTGTTTATGTCCTTTGTTTGTTCGGGTCCATGACACTTCGTCAAATGGACAAATCGTCGATTTTTTTTGACAAAACGCCGTACTGAATCGGTGGACACTTTGCCGAAAGTGGTCACTATGCCGAAAACCGCCACTGGGCAAGTTGCCGATAGTGGTTCATGTTGTCGAAACCCATAAAACGACGCTGCTAAGATCGGGAATGCAGTGTCGACACAGAGCTCAATTTCGCTTAAAATGTCAAGAGAATTGTTTGGATACATCGCCTAAAGCGGTCGTCATTACATCGAAAAAGCTCTTCGGACATCTGGCCGAAAATTGTCAATTTTCGGAACAGCAATTTGGACATTTCGCCTAAAATGGTCATTATGCCGAAACAAGATACTACTTCCAGATATTCTGCTGGAAGTAGTAAAATCGCCGAAATAACTTCGGATTATTTCTCGCTTCGAACTTGGGCGATGAAAAAAATACATTTGTTCGTGTGACCCTATAATGAGAGAAACAAAATAGAATACTATAAACGTATACAAATTTTCCAAAACGCTTTCATGTATATCAAAATACCATACACGTATTCACTAATTCACTGTTTTATTTTGATATAAAGCATCCTTGCCTCCCCCTGGCATTTAGAATTTCCGGCTCTTATGCCTATACATACGAGTACCTAGTGTTATATTCATAATAACCAAAATAATTATCGTATTTTACCTTGAACATGATTATTTTTTTATATTTACCTCTACTTATATATTCTTAGCAGCATAATTAATTGAGGTATTGGTTGTATGAAATTATATCTGGGACACCCGGTATAGAATAGATTATATTATATTTATTCGTAGTTGATGATGACCCGCGCCATATTCATGTATACTCCACTTTCGACAATGTAGTGTTGTTCAATGAGATGTACCTATTTCAGCAATTTGACCGTTTTCGGCGAATTGTCCAAGGTGTTTCAGCGCGTTACGACCACTTTCGGCGATTTGTCCACAGAGTTGTTTCGGCAATTTGACCACTTTCGGCTATGTGTCGAAAGAATTCTCTACATTTTAAGCAAAACTGAGCTTTCGATTTCGACCAAGGTTCTCGACGCTGCAGTCGCTGCATTTCCGATCTACATTCGGTGTTGTTTTATACGTTTCGGCAACATATGACCACTTACGGCAAATTATCCTCTGGCGTTTTTTCGGCTAATGTCCACTTTCGACAACAGTTTCCACGGATCTGTTACGGTGACTTGTCCATTCGGGGAAGTGTCCGGATTCCGTTTGTTAAACTTACAGCGGCATAACTTCCACATTTTCGTATCCCAGTGTGGGCCTCCATGGATGAGGTCTGGGGGTTTGATAATACTGACCGATCCTGGTCGGCATAGGGGGACCAGCGACTTGCTCCATACATGGGGTTGCTGCCACCGTACTCCATGGCTGGAGTTGCTGGAAATTATTGATTATTCAAGGTGTTTCTAATTTGGAATATATGTGGTTTGTACCGAATATAGAACTGTCTCATTCTGTTCAGGCATGGTTTCAAATAAAGCTGATGGGTTGTTTCAAAAATGTCACCCTCGTAATTTATTTCAAAAATATCAGTAATGATAATTTACGACAGGACATGTCATTCACATGTCATATATTAATAAACCATCACCCTGTATAAAACAAAAAAAAATGTTTCTGATCGAACCAGAGAAGTATCTACAGGGTGTTTCCGAAATCGGAACGATAATTGAAAAAAAAACCAGAACGAACTGAAGCGAAATGTATATCACTATATAAGATAACAAAATAGGTTTCTTCAACTGTAAAAGTTGGAAAACTTCTATAATGTGTGGTTTACGTAAATCATTATGTATATGTCAACCCTTTTTAGTCAATGAACTCAATATAAAATATTGAGTTCATGGTTTTTAGTGAGATAATGAGGTTGCATTGGACAATATCAAAATTTTCAAATTAAAATAAGAGAATTTTCAAGGAACCACCCAATTAAATGGTTATGTACATACATAGCACGGATAGAAAAATGCAATGGACAATGTCATAATTTGTCGAAATGCATAAAACCTAAGAAGAATGAAGAACTTAACCTTGTTTCAAATTTACAAAAGATAAATAATAAATTACGAGATCATAATCAGAAGCTGATATCATTAGATTTCAAGATCCTTATTTTAAGGAAGTGTTATTTGTAGAAAACACAAAAACATGTCTACAGGAACTGTACTTCCAAATGAAGCACCAGAACGTAAGGGATACAAATATCTTCACCATTCATTTGGTATCTGAAACTGTATTTTTAGATTGTCCTGGTGTCAACAGTGAAAGTGCAGGAAAAGCCTCTGCTTGTGCAGGTTGTCCCAATCAGAATATCTGTTCAGAACCAAAGGGTCCTGATCCAGGTATACAGCTGGTGAAGGAACGCCTCTCAGAAGTTACCAATAAAATACTGGTGCTTTCAGGGAAGGGAGGAGTTGGTAAAAGCACAGTTACAGCTTTACTAAGTAGAACTTTAGCAGCTGATGATAGTGAAAGAAATGTAAGTGCTGACTTGGTAATTTATGAATGAGTCATGGTAATTATTATATTTCATCATAAGAAATGTGGTAATCTACTTGGGCAAATTTTTGTGAATTTCTATGGACTCAAAAATAATTAGGGAAAGTAGGTACCTACTTCTCAAATACTGAGTTCAAATAGTGGAATACCAGCTTAAGAAATCTGAAATAATAGTCACATAGGGAGGAGCCAAGGGATGCTTGAACTATTGAGACTGAGTTATTTTTGTCTATAATGAAACTGTTGTTTTTTTCATGTTAGAATGATTTATTCCTGTTTCCATATACATTGAAAACTTACTCTGTTATATCTGCTTCTTCTTTCCTTCTCTTGTCCAAATATCATTTGCACAATATTTGTACAGTCACCTTTTATCTAAAACACAATTTTCTTCAGACAAAAGTTATATGACATTTCATATTCTGTTTATTTTATCATAGTATTTAGTGGATCTAATAATATCTCTGGAATTCTTGTTGTACCAGGCTGTACCATTATAATAGGTCTTGGCCTATACCTCTTAGTTATACCATTGATGCAGGCAGTTGACCCACATTTGTCAGATCAATATCCTAGGAAATTTGTGATTTAGCAATGTTTATAGTTCCTATAGTTTATTTTCCTTAAATCATTATTAACTTCATTGGTTTAGGTTGCTGTACTTGATATAGACATTTGTGGACCTTCTCAAATTTGTGATTTAGCAATGTTTATAGTTCCTATAGTTATTTTCCCTAAATCATTATCAACTTCATTGGTTTAGGTTGCTGTACTTGATATAGACATTTGTGGACCTTCTCAAATTTGTGATTGAGCAATTTTTATAGTTCCTATAGTTTATTTTCCTTAAATCATTATTAACTTCATTGGTTTAGGTTGCTGTACTTGATATAGACATTTGTGGACCTTCTCAAATTTGTGATTTACCAATGTTTATAGTTCCTATAGTTTATTTTCCTAAAATCATTATTAACTTCATTGGTTTAGGTTGCTATACTTGATATAGACATTTGTGGACCTTCTCAAATTTGTGATTTACCAATGTTTATTGTTTATAGTTCCTATAGTTTATTTTCCTGAAAACATTATTAACTTCATTGGTTTGGTTGCTGTACTTGATATAGACATTTGTGGACCTTCTCAAAGTGATTCACCAATGTTTATAGTTCCTATAGTTTATTTTCCTAAAATCATTATTAACTTCATTGGTTTAGGTTGCTGTACTTGATATAGACATTTGTGGACCTTCTCAAATTTGTGATTTACCAATGTTTATAGTTCCTATAGTTTATTTTCCTTAAATCATTATTAACTTCATTGGTTTAGGTTGCTGTACTTGATATAGACATTTGTGGACCTTCTCAACCACGTGTTTTAGGAGTTGCTGATGAACAAGTTCATCAATCAGGTTCAGGATGGTCCCCTGTGGTGAGTATACTGAGTGTCAACTATAAACTGTTCTTATAAAAATGATTTGAAATTTACCATGAAAAACAGAAAAAATACATTTATTTCCAATTTTGATTGGTTTTAGTATGTGGAAGACAATTTATCAGTGATGTCTATAGGATTTCTCTTGGGTTCTCCTGATGATGCAATCATCTGGAGAGGGCCCAAAAAAAACGGGATGATTCGTCAATTTCTGAGTGAAGTAGACTGGGGGAAACTAGATTTCCTGTTGATTGACACACCACCAGGTAACTTTTCAAGAGTTGTAACAGTAATCTCAAGATTATTTTATGAGATTGATCTATATTTTAGGTACATCTGATGAACATTTATCAGCTGTCACTTATTTGTCAAAAGCTGGACTTTCTGGGGCAATAATTGTAACAACTCCACAAGAAGTGGCTCTCCTGGATGTTAGAAAAGAAATTGATTTCTGTAGAAAAGTCAATGTAGAGATACTGGGTGTTATCGAAAATATGTCTAGTTTCATTTGTCCTAATTGTGATGTAAGTAATAACACCATAATTTCTTCAATGTAGGACTATTTTGTGGATGCCAAGGTCATTAGATTATATTGTGATGACATGAAAACCTATGGTGAAGCATTTCTTTTTGAATGTCATCACATCATCTAATGACCTTGGCAACGGTGAATTACTTGAACACTAAATAGGTTTGTTAATCTGTGACTAAATCATATATGTTTTCATAAAAATATTGAAATATGATTTTAATAAATTTCTGAAAATTGATTTTTCAGAAATCTTCGGAAATATTTCCTGTAACCACAGGAGGAGCAAGGAAAATGTGTGAAGATTTGAGGGTTCCTTTCCTTGGCAGTTTGCCTTTGGATCCGAGAATTGCTAGATGTTGTGATGAAGGGAGAGATTTCATAACAGAACTTCCAGATTCTCCAGCATTGAAAGCTTCCAGTGAAATTGTTAAAAGTGAGTAAAAATAATAATTACTCTTGATATTCATTTTATTATTTACAATGATTTCTATTTCAGGGGTACTTGAGTCATGCAAGCAACAAAAACAGTGAGGAATGTTCAGGTAATATGGTGATCTGAATAACTCTGTTGTCATTTTACTCAATAGATTTATATAATTATTTTCCAATAAGTACTACATACTTGATTAAAACTATTTAATCACAATCAAATAAAATATTTCATAAGTCTTAAAATCAGTTCTTATTGGTAACTATGAAATAAAAAAGGCTATCCTCTTGGCACTTTTGTTCTTTATCACAATACTAAAGGGATAAAGGAAAGTACACTTATGTGAATTTGCAACATTTATGTCAATAATTGCTGAATTGAAAGCATAAAAAGTAATGGTCCAAATTTGGCAATGTAATTGCTTGTGTGAGGGTGTGATAATTTTCCATTCATTTTTTCTAATACTTCCTTTTAATAGAGCAGAATGCAGATCAGCTGGAGTTGAAAGAGAAAAAAAAGTATTTCCAATCTATCCTTGTCTACAGTATTCCAACATGAAATAATGAAAATGTTATGTTGGCAACACTGGAAATGAGAAGAAATGGAGAAGAAGACCATTCTAAACATGTTTATATTGAGCTTAATATGATCTCAATTTTTTCCCATTTGCACTGAAGACAATGACATATGGAAAGACCTTTTTTTCTCTCTCAATGCCAGCTGGACTGCTCTATTAAACCAAAGAATAGTAGGTTAGTATTAAACTGCATAATAGTACCGAGTACCGATTCGAGTGTGAAGGCCTCAATGATACTAGTAAATATAAATCACCCTAATCCAAACCGTTTTTCATGGTAGGTTTTTATACGACTTCACAAACCATATCAAATATTGTAGTTTTCAGGGCATTTTCATGTGCTATTTCTTTCACAAAGGTTTTGTCAAATTCGCACAGGTACTTACCTTGAATTACAATCTATAAAATTTCGCAATTAAAATCTTTGGATAAAATACATAATTTGCATGACACATCATATGTAAAGCTAATGGTTGAAATGGATGGATTCCTTCCCATATTTATGTGATAATAAAATTACAACTTATTATTCACTTCCAGTTGATAAGAAAAGATTTCTTCAAGTCCATGTCCAATTCATCAATTACCAAAAACTAAAAAAAAAAAAAAGGTTAATAATTCAATTCTTGGAGCATTCAGGGGATATGGGTAGGTTCATTATGCGATAGACAGAGCGACAGAGCCACTTTAAGGCTGTATGACACCTGTTGTTTATTAGGATTAGAAATGACACTTGTGATCCCAATGAAAAAATTTGTTCTGCGATCACAATAGCTGATATTTGACTAATAAAAAGTAAGTGAAGTAACCACCATTATGCCCAACTTTAGCACGTTAGCGCCAGCAGCTATAGTATATCATATCAGCTGACTCATTTTTAGTACCTAGGAGCTAAACTTTGATTTTAGCACCTCGGAGTATATTTTCCTATGATTTTTGTTCTGTGATCTGGAATTTTGATGAATAAAAAATAATGAAATGAGATCTGTAGAAGTTCACTGAGCAAAAACTACAGACAAAACATATTATTTCATTTACCTTATTCATGGTATCATACTGAAAACTTTTGTATGCATCACCATTTACAGTAACTTTGGTAACTGAATTTTCTATTCCTAGTATGATAATTGAACCCAAATTCGGAGGCATCTCATTACTGGCAAATAAAACTTCTGATCTCAAAACGGCATTCCCCATTTCAAAGGATATCAAGGAATACTTTTTCTCTTCATAGGAATCTGAAATGGTGAAATTAATTAATTTTAGCCATTCTGCAAAAAAAATACTATTTGAAAAAACTCCTCTAGAATATATGTATGTATGTAGGTAACCGACTCTTTGGACTCAATTTTGACCCACTTTAAACGGACCAATTGATTTGAAATTTGGCAGGTATACATATATGGTTGACAATGCATCAAAATTTTGTTTTGTTAGACAAAAAATCAAAATGGCGGACGATCCGATTCTATTCACAATTGGTATCTGCCTTCTGTTCATTTGACACAATAAAAGCATTTATTATTATTATTATTATTATTATAAAAATTCAAATGGTGATTTAGGTCCTTGAAATGAAACATACTCAGAGAATCTCCATCATCCCAGTAGAATTCTCCAGAAGCATTGCCATTCTGATCTGGTGCAATCCAAAGTTCAATTTTAGATTTTCTTGATTCTGTTGTGGTTTGATTGGGTGCTTGACATGGTAGGACATAACCACCCCTGATCAACAAGGGAATGGTGTCCAAAGGTGCTGGTAGGACAAAATTTCGGCCTGGACTGTAAAACCCTGATTTTGTGTAGAAGTCATACCATTTGCCGTTCGGCACGTAAACGGTTACATTCTCTTCATTTTCCTGTTGAAAATCGGCAAATATTAGAATGAAGATTTCATATAAAGTGTCCAAAATAACGTTAGTTTATTTGGGGATTTGATTCTAGCAGTGGCGGCTCGTGACTTTCATGACAGAGGAGGCTGAATGATATGAGATTTATTGTGAAAAACAACTCTCTACGACTCACCCAAATCAATAGCTTTAATGACATTCTGTTTACCAGTTAACCTGAACTTAATACTGGAAGAGATGTGTTCCTGTGATTTGCAGTGTCTATCCAATCCGCGAGGCAAATTTTTCAAATCATCATATCCTAATCGCCCCCATAATACGCAGTACCAACAAATAGCTTATTCCTTACCTCAGATCCCGTCAGCCAGATATATTTTTTATAATTATCAGAATTGAACGAAAGATTTTGTTTGCTACCTCTTACAATCAGATTTTTTAATTCCGGTGTCGGACGTTTGTTTTTCACAATCAATTTATCTTCATAAGACAAAGCACTGAATGGGTTCACCAAAAAGTATTCCACTAAATCGCAATCGTTTAAAACACTCATTTTCCAGAAATTTATAGAGCCCCTAACCATTAACCTAACATAAACATAAACAATGCAATGCACAATCCACTCGCCGCGCCACAAACACGTGCTATTCGGGCGAATTCGGGCATTTGCATTGCGCGCGTGAGTTGCGAGTTGTGAAGGAGTCTAGCCTCCTATAGATGTTGCCAAGTTGAATATTTTACGCGTGATTTGCAGACTTCAACGTGTGATGCGTGGGCAAGCACTGTTGCCAATTCAAAAATATTCACCTAAAGACAGGAAATGAAATCAAACTCCATGTATTTTGGTGTCCTCTTAATGAGAAAGTATAGATAATATCAGTTTGAGGAGAATCTCTGAGGAGGCTCAGCCTCCGTTGCCTCCTTTGAGGAGCCGCCACTGGATTCCAGTAGTATACCCAAAAAATATGAGGACAAGTTTTTATTTGCACAAGTCAAAATGATTGCTGAGTGCACTACAACCCCTTCAAAGTTGACTTTGAATATAACTCAGCTCTTTTTATGGAGCATTTTCGACTCTAAATATATTAACTGTTCTTCATATTTTTTTAAGTAGAATCACCTCCCGAAATGTATTTTAGAGTCCGACCACGATAACTTTTGGACAGCACGTGGTCACGAATGCATTGAATATGCATAAGCGTTGCGTCACGTGGTCGGAATTAATTACCAAGTTATTCTGGAACACCTGTATAATAATGTATCATGTAATGTGTAATAATGTACTCACTTCAAGTACTGGGTTTATCATTAAAGCAGGGCCCCACAAAAATTGTCTGTCAATATTGTATGTCTTGGTGTCTTCCAGAAATCTGAAAACAAAATGCTGATGACTTTCAAAACGTCCAAGAAGTACATTTCAAGCTGAATGATTTAGGAACATTATTATAAGTTTACATGTTACATCTCAATATAAGCATTACACAAATTGATAATGTCAAGTTCAGCAAAGTAAAGTTGATTATTCACACATGAAATTGGTAGTTGGATTTCTAAAATGTTGTGAAATTGTTAACAATGCTCTGTGTGAAAAATCTACTGCAAAATAGTATATTCAAAAAATGCTCACTCAAAAAATAGAGGTCTTGCTACCGTTTCCCCATTGACATGGGCTTTGTGAAACAATGTATACAAGTAGGGCAATAAATAGTATCGAATCGTCAAGGCCTTTTTAGATGAAGCTACTACTTGTTTGCCAAATGCTACAGGATCTTGATCCTGTAAAAAAACAAATGTGTTATTGAAAATTTTCAGACCATTGGGGATATTTCACTTTTGTATATTCATGTTATGGAAATAGGTATCCAACTTACAATTCCATCATCAGTATTGTGATTTCTTGAAAAAGGATAAAAAGCACCAAGTTGCATCCAACGATTACATAGAGGCTCCGTGGTGTTGCCATTAAATCCACATATATCGGCTCCCATTAGCGGAATTCCGAATAAACTGAAGCTCAGCATCTCTGAAATATATTTCAAACATTTCACTTCAACATAAAGTAACATTTTATATTTTCAAAAAGAAAAAAAGAAAAAATATATCAAAATATTCCTGTAAAGGAAAAGTTTGTATACACTATTTTGGATCCCGCTTGACTCGCAAACTATTAAAATCAGTCAAACGTTTCCACCGCGTTATGATTCCATAATGGGCACAGCGCGACAACACAATATAAAAGCCGCTCGCTTTATTGTGATCCAAACGGGTGTGAAAGCAGCAACAGTTTTTCTGGCACCGGTTTTTCAACTTTGTTTCTGGTGAAGGAAGAACATTTTCTATTGCTGGAGATTTTTTTATGTGAGTCCACTAATATGAAGGAGTTGAAGAAGGATCCTAACAGTAAAATAATTTGTGATTCCTAAACCACCCCATAACTACCCCACAAAACAAAAAAACATCATGAGAATAGTTGGAAAATTTCTTTATAGCGATTTTATTATGTGTATCAATAATTTTACACTTATTGAACACCCTCCGTACAATGAAATGATGTGTGAAACAGAAACTAACCCTTAACAACCCTCCAGAGCAGAAAAATCTAAATTCTGTAGAAATACCCCTTGCTGCCCGAGGTTATTTGATGGAAATGAATAATATTTCCATCAAAAATCCTCGGGCATGGGTATTTCAACTGAATTTAAATTTTTCTGCTCCGGATGGTTGTTAAGGGATAGTTTCTGGTTCACAAATCATTGTATGGAGGGTGCTTAACAAGTGTAAATTTATTGATTTACATAATAAAATCGCGATCAAGAGATTTCCTAACTGTTCTCATTATTTGTCTGCTTAGTGAGGTAGTTATGGGGTGGTTTAGGACTCACAAATTATTTTACTGTGAGGAGCCTTCTTTAACTCCTTCAGTTTAGTGAAGCCGCATAAAAAAATTTCCAGCAACATCAAAAAGTCCTTCCTTCATATACCACAAGCGAAGTTAAAAACCGTTGCCAGAAAAACTGTTGCTGCTTTCACACCGGTGTGATCCAAACAATTCTTATTGATGTGTATACATTTAAGAATATACGTCCTATGAAAAACGAGGATAATCATAGGTCAGTGACAGTAACAAAGTAAGTGATTGTATTCTCCAGCAATAGCAAAAAGTCCTTCCTTCACATAACATAAGCGAAGTTAAAAACCGTTGCCAGAAAAACTGTTGCTGTTTTCACACCCGTGTGAACCAAACAATTTTTATTGGTGTGTACGCATTTAAGAATATAGGTAGTGTGAAAAACGATAATAATCATAAGACAGTAACAAAGTAAGTGATTGTATTAATTTCTAGGGTTCATTCATCCTTGTCCCGTATTTCGCGGTCAGGTATTTTTCCATTTTCATGCTTCTGAAGATCAATTGGTTGTGTGTATAAGAACTATAAGGCAATAGAAACTGTCGTGCGTTTAGAGATTTCATAGCATAGCATACTATTGTAAATCCTGCAGCTGACAGCACTGTGAGTGGCGCTTCTTCACAGGTTTCAGTTTGAATGAAAACTTCGCAGGTACTTTCTCAAATGGTAGACTAATATACCTTTTTCTTCACACTCTTCTTCCATAAATCATCATGTTTATTACCTCAGCTAACAAGTGATGTCTTATCTTGAATTTTTATTTCAATAAGTATGGAATTACATTACCTGGAACAGTATACCGCATGTCTTCCCAGGCTGACCAAACGTCACCACTCCAATGACCAGCAAAATTCCCATGTCCAGCAAACGTTGATCGAGATATAATCATCGGCCTTTTAGCTCTTATTGAAGCGAGAGCACTTTAACAGAAACCAACAGAAATGAAATAGGCTAAAATTGGCTTATTTAATTAATAAAAATCAGTGTCGTATTAAAAGGATTTCAATCTCTTCCGTATATGAAACTTATCTCCTTGGCGGGACAGAAACGGTAAACTATGTAAAAATAGTAGTTGATAGTACAATGGGCGTGTACACCTTAGTAGAACTTTTAACTCAAAACATGTTTATAATGATCCTTTTATACATAAAAAATGATTGACGACATAATTCGATCGAAAAATTAACCGGAATGTTTTATTTTTGGACATAAATAATAGTACCTTCTGAAAACGGACCCTCTTATAAGGTAGAAACCTCATCTCGCCTCTGTCAGAAATCATGTATCATTCATCTCTGTCTGGAATAGTCTTGTTTCAGTATTAGGGTTTTGACGTCACATCATCGCCTCGTTTTCAGAGGTCCGAAAAATCTGGGATTTCATTAATTTTTTATAAAACGTTGGGAGCTCACAGCAAGAAACGGTTTGCGGTGGTGAGCTAGTTTGGGTGAGGAAATACAATTTTTTTGTGATATAAGCCCATTATATACAATACCCATTTTTGTGACTTCTGTCTCTGAGAATTGTCAGAAAACAAAAACGAAAGGATCAATCTCAATAATTATTTTCTAGTTTTTTATTGAAAACGGAAGCAGATTCGTTCTCGAAACGTAAAAAAATGAGTGAAATTTGGATTCTTCTTTTTCAAACAATTTTTAAACAATGTGTCACTGACTCTCGATTTAATTTTTGTGTTAGGTTTTCTTATAGTGAAATTTTCAAATGTATTGACCCTGAGACAAATCATCTGGTTTGTCCATACTACAGTAATTGGAATACATAATATATTTTTATTTATAGAAAAGAAGTCTAGAGAAATAAGTTATCACTTTTCCTGAAACCTCAGGGGTCTTCCATTTTCCAAGGCTGTGAAAAATAAAGGTTGCTCAATTTCCTCCATAATCTTTCATGAACGAGAAGACTGCTTGGATCAGCAAATCAGCCTTTTTTTAGTGCACTATTACAATTGTTTATCTCATTCCAAACGTTTAGATCAAGGTGGATATATAAGATGGTGAAACACCCTTACTACATAGACAAAAAAAACAGATAACGAGTGATGACACCATCTGGTAATTTTGCACACATCATGCCACTGTTCTTCGAAAAATGCTTTTGTTGTTCATGTATTTTCGGCTGAGGAACACTAATTTCTTAACAACACAACCACGCCAGTTTCAAATTTAACCATTTTTTTTCATCATCATTCAATTTATGTGTATACTCACAATGTACTTGATTGACATGTTGTATAAATAGTAATTTGTTCACATTTTCATTATGAAATTCGTGTTGTTCAGACAAAACTACGTAAGTAACACAAACAAAATTCGAGAAAAAAAAGTCATCGCCTTATAAGTGCAAAATTACCTACCATCTTTTTAATACCCTCCTAGATCTGTGGTATAGTTTGTAGAATATTCCATTACTCACAAATTAGTAGCGATAGCTTCGGAAAGCCCATACAAATTATGGACATCATAATGCCGTCCTGCGAACTGCCTGGCGCTCATGCACATGGTTTTGTAGTTGATGACTCCACCGTCGATCTTCGGCAGGTAGGGCGGCTGATCCAGGGTCGAATTGGGGCAGCCGTCGAAAGACCCCGACAGGAAATTCGAGGGCTCGTTCATGTCGATCCAAGCCCCATCGAACTCTATCTGTTCGTGCAACGAATTCAGCATCTGGGTCCAGTAATCGACGGTGGTGGGGTGCGTGAAGTCCGGCCATACTGTGGAGGCTCTATTCCATACCTTTTTAACATCCTTTTATTAGCTTCATAACTTCTAGACCATTAGGTGTATCAAAATGAGATTTGGTATTGTCACGGAAGGATATTTTCCAAATTATTTTCAAATATTACTACTACTATTATTATTATTTCACTGTTCTAATTTATCGAGTTTGTTTTATTTCTCAGCAATTCAACTGTCCTCATTCGTGACAAAACATTTTCCACGTACCTACAGGGACTTGACTTTCGGTCCGAATAGCGGACGGTTGCTTGTGGCAACGGGGATGTCCCAATTGGGACATCCCCAAGTTTTTGTGTTAGATTATTGTAAGTACCATTTTTATTATTCATGAAATCTTCAACCTAATGCCTCTTCAAGGAATGTCAAAATTGTAATTTATCATTAATAAATCCATATATGTTTTTGTTGTTCGAACTTAAGACCTTTTACTGAATATCAACCCTCTGCAAATCCCAACTAGCAAAGGCAATAAGTCACATTCGTGACAGTATAGGTAAATGGTATGTGGAGAGGAGATTTTTCACATATTTTTCACTTCCCGGTCACTTCCGATTTCACCGGATGGCTCCGGTTCTAAATTTTTAAATGGAACACCCTGTATATTGTAACATTTTTGGATTTCTGAGACAATTCTAGATCAGAATGTGACATTTTCGACATTTACTTATACCAAATCTCATTTTGATCCACCTAATGGTCTAGAAGTTATGACTTGTCTAATAGATTCGTTGACACCCTCCTCTTCAAATTTTGAGGCAGTGGCGGTTCCTCAGAAGAGGCAACGGAGGCTGAGCCTCCTTAGGGATTCTCCTTAAACTGATATTATCTATACTTTCTCATTCAAAGGACACCAAAATACATGGATTTTGATCTTATTTCCTGTTTTTAGGTAAATATTTTTGAATTGGCAACAGTGCTTGCCCACGCATCACACGTTGAAGTCTGCAAATCACGCGTAAAATATTCAACTTGGCAACATCTATAGGAGACTAGACTCCGTCACAATTCGCAACCCACGCGCGCAATACAAATGCCCGAATACGCCCGAATAGCACGTGTTTGTCGTGTCGCGTCTCGAATTGCGGACAATCCAGCGTGCTGCGCGAGTGCATTGTTTATGTTTAGCCATCTTAGTTGATGGTTAGGGGCTCTATAAATTTCTGAAAAATGAGTGTTTTAAACGATTGCGATTTATTGGAATACTTTTTGGTGAACCCATTCAGTGCTTTGTCTTATGAAGATAAATTGATTGTGAAAAACAAACGTCCGACACCGGAATAAAAAAAATCTGCTTGTAACAGGTAACAAACAAAATCGTTCGTTCAATTCTGATAATTATAAAAAATATATCTGGTTGACGAGATCTGAGGTAAGGAATAAGCTGTTTTGTTGGCACTGCGTATTATTTTCAACCGATAAGTCATCATGTTGGGGGCGATTAGGATATAATGATTTGAAAAATTTGCCTCGCGGATTGGATAGACACTGCAAATCACAGGAACACATCTCTTCAAGTATTAAGTTCAGGTTAACTGGTAAACAGAATGTCATTAAAGCTATTGATTTGGGTGAGTCGTAGAGAGTTGTTTTTCACAATAAATCTCATATCATTCAGCCTCCTCTGTCATGAAAGTCACGAGCCGCCATTGTTGCGAGGTCGGGTGAAATTCAGGCAAAAAGGTATTAAAATGGTTGTGCGGTCACGTGGCCTAGTAAGAATGAATTCTAGAATCAATTTTTTCGTGTCAATAAGTCAACGGTGAGCATTTTTTAGCATTTTTAGCATTTTTGAGCATTTGTTACAATTGTTTCTTCGAACTTTGTTGCAATTAAAAGTTATTCAGGTTTATTAATGAATAATATTATTATTTGAAGCAAATTTCAAACGCTTTTCATTCTGAAATGTCTTCGCTGATTTGCACAGATGACCCGTTTTGGATAGAGAATCGAAAGACCTTCAAAACAAGGTACCACGTGACTTTAGAAATAAAAAAGTTGATATTGTCCACTTGACACTAGGCCATGTGAACACAACCATTTTCATGCCAAAAAGTGGTAAAAAAACTTTAATCAACATCCGATAACTAATAAATTTGGTCTGAATATGGTCAGATCAATTTGGTAAGCATACCCTAGGGAACCTTGATGAGATATGACGTATTTGTCATCTTATCATAACAAATACGTAAATTTTCATCAAGGGACCCTAGCATTCCCATGCATACCAAATATCCACACGGTATAAACATCGCCACTAGTCCTTGACGCTGTCAAATTCAAGCACAAAATTGACATTTTTCATTAAATATTATTTGACATCATTTCCGCACGTGGGATGAGCAGACAGTTGTAGCTTTGAATCTTCTATTCTCCATCCAAATTAGTCAAGAAAGAAATATGAATGGGCTTATATCACAAAAAAATTTTATTTCATTATTCGATAGAACTCACCCAAACTAGCTCACCACCGCAAACCGTTTATCGCTGTGAGCTCCCTACGTTTTATAAAAAATTATTGAAATCCCCGATTTTTCGGACCTCTGAAAACGAGGCGATGATGTGACGTCAAAACCCCAATACTGAAACAGGACTATTCCAGACAGAGATGAATGATACATGATTTCTGGCAGAGTGAATTAGCGCGAGATCACAGTTGAAAGAATTAATATATCAGTTGCCTCAGTCTCCATCCGGCGTTTGGTATTTTCTTTTAACTATGGCGAGATGAGGTTTCTACGTCATAAGAGGGTCCGTTTTCAGATGGTTCTATTATTTATGTCCAAAAATCGAATATTCCAGTAAATTTTTTGATCGAATTATGTCGTCAATCATTATTTATGTATGAAAGGATCATTATAAACATGGTTTGAGTTAAAAGTTCTACCAAGGTGTACACGCCCATTATAATTATCATTCATAAATGAGGGCTAACCAGTGACATAAACTGAACTACTCTACTCTAGATCGCTAATGCCATAAGAAAGAAGCTATGCAACTAACGAAATAGAACTGGCGAACATGACCTGTCATATAACTTACTAACTCTTACTTAATTATGTTTCTGAACACTAAGAGGCATGACTGGATGTCATGAACGACAATTTGGGAGTTCCTGCGCATTGAGCAGAAGCGTTTTCATACGAGCAATTTACCTGAGATATTTGGGTTGCTGGGACATATAGCGGTCTAGATAGTAGTTATGTAAGTGGAGCTAACATGTTTTGATTGTCCAGCATATTGCACTACTCAGACGTGAGAGTTGATAAAACTGATAGGTAAACTTCTTCTTTTCATTTCATTTGTCCTCTTATGATTTATACTTCTCAGTCAATTTGAAAATTGAGCTTGAAGTTCCACAATAAGGGTTATAAACGCAAGTATGCTCAAGTCTAACCATTACTTGGGTTTTTCTATTTGTTAACATAAGCCACAGTTTTCGAACAAACAGGCTTTAGCCTTCAGGGCTCCCCGACAAAATTTTTGGACGTTCAACTAAAGAGTCTGCGAATGATAGTTCTCATTGGTGCCACTCCACAGAACGTATTGCTTAATTTGGAGAAAACTGAAGTTGTCAAGGTGAAGTATACTCTGACCTTCATGTAATCAGAGATTAGTATTTATGTAGTCATTTAGGGGCCTGAAGCGCAGCTTACCACGCAGCAGGTCCGGTATCCAAATAGAAAATAGCTATTTATACTTCAAGGGAGGAAAGGTACCCATTTCCTCCTGCGTAAACACACATGGGAGGAAATGAACCTTTGCTTGATTTCATCAACGAACGCATTTTTTAAAGCATCATTCTTGAAATTGTGCTTTAGGCGGTCTATCTCTAGATCCAAATAATTATGCATTACAGTATCCGCGATAGAATATAAGCGTACGCCACCTATCGGAGTTCTTGAAAGCTGTCAAAGCGGCCTGTTTACTTTGTTTTCATTATTTTACATAACAAACCGCTTAGAAGTGTTCAAGTTGTTGCCGTCAGGTGGGACGACGTGTTATTTTTTATCGCGAATAGTATAGTGTAGTTACAGGGTGGTTACAGGTAAGTTACAGGTGTAGTATACCGTGGACAATTGACGAAAGTCAATGTGAGTCTTCTGTCATCATGAATTAATGTATTTGTATATTGTGTAACTGCATTCGAAAGTTTTGATCAAAAGTATGTTCTCGGAATATGAAGAAGCATATGATATCATTTGAATCCAAAAGGGATATTATGGTTAATTGTTTATGATAGTGATAAAGACACTGATTACTTGGATTGCACAGATTTTATAGGTATATCGACGCTAATATATCCTGAAGCAATTTATTTTACCTTCCACGGGAGTTGATATTATTTATATTAAAAGAGGGAGCAAACGCCTACTTTCGACTCAGTGAGTAGATATAAACTGAGCAAATCTGTGTAGTGCAGTTTACTAATTTATTGTGCGAATTCGTTACCTGAAAAAACTACTGTGTTAGCAGTATATGACCTATTTCCAAGAATTTTGTGGCAATCTTTCGTGAAATATTTCTTGTAAATTTCAAGTTTATGTTGACAGAAATGTTAAACCATGTGCAAAATCACACAGAATGCCTATTTTTCACTACATACAATTATTTGACAATGCTCAGAAACCCTTGAAATTACCATAGTTCAAATTGTGCTCATCATAATTTCAAAATGAGCATTGTTTCTTACCTTTCCTATAAAAGGTTGCCCACTAGAATTCTTGACAAAGATGTCCATTTTGATCCCAATATCATAAGGTGGATATGTCCCAGATGGTTCGCTCGCACTGACTCCAGGATCAATCAATGGTATGTAATGCATGCCTCTAGAGTGTAAATCCTTCACAAAAGCTGGTAAATCTTTGAAATTTTCCTTGTCATACGTGAAATCATTGCTATCATTCATGTAATCCAGATCATTCCACTGAGTATCCTGCACAAAAATATTGCAAAACTTATCAGTAGAAAATTTTCAACCCTCAGTATGCACCCACCAATGGTATTCCAGCATCAATGTTTCGTTGCATTACTTCCTTTGTCCTATTCAACGTTTTATAACCGAAACGGCACAAATGAAACCCTAGACCCCAATATGGCGGCATGAATGGCTTCCCTACCAAATCAGTGTACTGATTCACAACATCTGCTGGAGATGGCCCCAAGAAAAAATAAAGATCTAATACGCCACCAATTGGCCTGAAAGTTATAGCAGGTGTTGGCTGAAGTATAACATCTGAAAACAGTTTTCTTTATTATACATGATGTTCGATACTATGTGGGACAAACAGCAAGGAGACATATCAACGAAGTGAAAGAGCTCGCCCATGAACAAGAATGTCCATTAACCAGTGTCGATTTAGAAAAGGTAGTTTGGACTTTTCTTTCTGTAAATACTTGAGGAGTAGGTAATTCACATCTTTCACAATATCATTGTGGCTCAACAGCCGAAAGGGCTTTGCAATATGACAATAAATATTATTTATATACACTATTAAACTTCATCCAGTAGGTTTTGATAAAAACAGAATTGCCAAAGGTAGCTCAATATTTTTTAGCAAAATGGAACTTCTCAAGTAGGTCATCATTTTGCTTCAAAATGGAAAAGAACCGTTCACTACTAACATTTGTGATAAACATTATCAAGAAACAATTCTAAGACAAATATTTATATGAAAGGAATATAATAATATACCTAGTTATTGATTCATTTTCTTATACATACTTAAAGAACCGGAGATGAATTCAAAGGAGTTCTGTTACAATTTTCGGAAGAAAACAATAGTTTTTCCGGATATGAGAATACTCGTCAGGAAATAAATACCTGATTCAGGTCCATATCGAACTTTTCTGTAGTTCAGTTGCAAATTTGATCTAAAAGTGCTTCTAAACAAGATATGTAGGTGCAGCACCGACGAAAAGAATGTGTAGTGACCAACGAATTATACAGGGTATCCCAGAATAACTTTCGTATACTCCGGGAAGCAATTCTGCAGATGAAAATATGATAAAATGTTCCTGTCAACATGTGTGCGAAAATGATTCCTAAGAGCGCTAGAGCCCTTTGAAGGTAGGTCCTTAAATGCAGTTTTCTACAATTATCTTTGTTATCATTGGTCCTAGAAGCACGAAATTCGGTATCAGAGGGTGATTTGATCTCAGAAATCGTTTCGTCGTATGAAAAATATGATTTAATATACAGGGAGGTGCGAAACTTGTAACCGATGATAGCAGAAAAATGCCCCAAGTTTTTTTTGTATCAAGATTCATCCCAATTGTGCTACCAAAATATGATTCTTCAAACACTTCTCAATGAAAAAGGTATTCTGGTTGGAATGCCGTAAGACGAACCGTTTTCTAAAAGGGTTATTTTTCATTTTGATGTACAAAAAATTCACAATGATTTTAAGCGTGTGTTCTTGAGGTGAAAAAATTAGAATTTGATAATTAAAATTTCACATCTCCAGTTACTTTTGTTTTATTAGAGTAATCTTCGATAGAGTAATGGTATCTGTCGGTTTGCATGATAGGATTTGATTCGAAATAATATTTCCAGTGGCTTCACAGTAGGTTTTTCCGAGTTTCATATTTTTCTAAAAGTTTAATATGTTTTACCAAAGAACAGTCCGTTCTTAGGCTGTACCTGTAAATGAATGAATTTTGATTTCAGACTACGCCTTATCGCCTTGGATATCATTTTTGCAGTGTTTTACGAATACCTAATATTTTCTGAATGTAGGTATAATTTTTTAAATGGTAGGGCATACGCCTCTTCTTGCAATCCCTCGCATCTTTGCTGATGTATTCACCGATTTTCCCAATTCGGCCTCTTCACTTTCCATGTTCTAAGTTCATTTGCATTTGTTGGAAAGCTGACTAATTCAAATTTGCCGTCTAAGAGCTTAACGCAGCACATTTTACCACTTCCAAACAGAATTGAATAATATCCTATCAAGATTTTTTTTAAGCCTATGAATGTGATGTGACAGCAATGTCATGTTAGGGTTGCCAATACACAAAACCAAAGTCACTATATCATTAAAAGAGAACAAGATGACAAATACGTCAATCCCAAAAGAAGGTTCCGATTAAACGAATATTTCATTCAAACTCGAAGTGACCGTTTAGGTATATCATTTTTCCTTGTCTCCCAGGAAACATCTTCCATGCAGGGTAAAACCAAGAAAGATATAGTTCGTAGGTCACAACATTAATTAAACGAGATTGCAATTTTATGTTTGGCTTACATGCCTCTAAATTATTTCCTATTGATAGTATCAGTTGCATCACTCAATTTTAACTCCCTTTTTGAATAGATATTTTTGAGTCAACGGCTCTGAAATATTTGCCGCCTGTTGCTTTAGCACCAAAAAGACCCTTGGTTAAACTGGCACGGGGGGCTTTATTTTGGGGATATATGGTTTTAGTTTGTCCCACATACTATGGAACACCCTAACACCCTGTATAACACAATGAACAAAGCTGATACTGTTGATTAATCCGAAACAATGATTCAGAAAGCATAAACATCAGAGATATACTTACCCATAGCATTGCTATTCAATAAAAATACACCATGGCTACTTGTCGAATTTTCTATCACCAAGTAAAAGGGATGGCTTCCATACAAATTTCTCTGAAATCAGTTATTTTTCTGAACTATTTTTTCGAGAATTGTCATTAAATTAGCTATTTTTTATCACTTTGTGAGTTTTTGGAAGCAAATGACCAAATTCGCATGATATATTATAATGTATAATGTAATCATGAGTAATGATATACATATTTAGACACACTAGTGCGGTAAACAACCACTTTGCCGACACACATATCATTATCGTAATTATTAACCATTGTCGATCTAAATAGAAACCTAGTTATTATGGCTCTCGCGTACTGACTACCTATAACTAGGTTGTCATTTAGAACAATGGTTTGACATTATAGTAAAACAGTAACAATAAAGACCCCATGTTGGAAAAAAATCAAGTGGTCGGTTTCTCTGGGGGGTGCTGAATCTAAATCTAAAGTTTGCAAACAAAATTTCCTGGGGTGTTCCGAGAGATATTCTCAAAAAACAGCGAAATTTTCTCACTTTTTTCCGTTTTTTGTTCGTAACTCAGAAACTATACATTCCAGCGAGAAGACCACCCTATGAAAAGTTGAAGTAGGACTAACGGGTGAGGAACTAGAGCAAGTTAAAAATTTACCAAATTTGCGTATTTTGCCAAAAACGGTTTTCTTCGTCGGTGCTCGTAGATAATTCAGTCTACGGATTTCTAGAAGAAACAAACTACACTGCCTAATCTGGAGGATTGCTGCCCATGTGAGTTATTGCTTTTCCAGCGTGTAACTCGATTATTGATTTGTCACAGTACTTGAGTATATTCCCATCAACTAGGTAGAATAATGTTTTTCACACTTGCCTATTGTTATTCGTTAGCGGAGGTAAAAAAACAAGTTTCCCTCATATACCACCACCTGCACCATCCCCAGAACCGGATCCTTCAGGGTACTAGCCCCCCGGCAAACGACGATGTAGCGACGATTAGATTATAGATTGTAGGATTCTCTTGATAAATTTTCCACCTCATCAGGCGTCAGGTAGACCTATTTAAAGTGATTCAGGCTTTAGCGGACTAGAACATTACATGCATGTCATATTTTAGTCTCCTCTAGGCCCATTTTTTTGTAATATGTTAGAGGGCAGTGCTTGAGCTCTGGTGTGCTGAGACTCGAGTAATTGTTGATGACCTTTTTTGTTATCTTTGACCTGGAATTATATGCTCACCAGTAAGAGGCTTTTTCGCTCCTGAGCTCTGTGATTAGATGACATTTGCTTGTCCTACAGAATGTATCAGGTCCAAAAAATATAGACTGCACAATTTTTTGGTAGGCGATCAGCTTCCTCATGCCCTGGAACCCATGCACATAGCGAAGATTGATTTCAGTACTTATTTATCATAAAATGGATAATTTCAAAACATAATGTGAAGTTATTATCCGTTTTTCAACAAAATCTATGAAAGAATACCTATATATACCCATAATTATTTCAACTATAATTCCAGAGTACAGAATAATCAATTCTTTATGTCCCCCTCACCACACTGGATACAAAAACAAAACTATGATATATTTATATGTTCTAGAGCTGTTAAAAATATAGGTGAATGGTAAATTAAGACGAATTAAACTAGTGGAAAGGAGGAATTTGAGTGTGGCAACTACGACGCATACATCTCCATATCCGAGCGCTTTAAGATAAGTTAACCTACTCGCATATCAACGAACTTCACATGAGCTCTATTATAGTAAATTAGATGGTCTTTCAATTTGTGCATGATTTGTTTTCTAGAGTAATACCTGTAGATTATGAATTATCTGCTAAAAACCGTCAATTTTTAACTAGAACTATAGCTCCTCACTTGCAAGTCATATATCCACGAGAAAGTCCGCCAATGGCTCCTAGGTTTCATCTGAAGTCTGGGGTTAAAAATGACCTTTAGATGAGGGTAATCCCTAAAATCTACAATCTAATCGTCGCTATATCATCTTTTGTCGGGGGGTATAGTACCCTGAAGGGTCCGGTTCTGGGGATGATGCAGGTGGAGCAGATCATGTTCACTTCAGGGTACTCTCATCCTCTATCTGGTGGTATGTGAGAGAAACTTGGTTTTTTCCCTCCGCTAACGAATAACGATCGAGGGGCAGGTATGAAAAACATGATTCTACCTAGTTGATGTAAATATACTTCAGTACTGTGACAAATCAAGAATCGAGTTACAGGCTGACAAAAACCTTAAACTCACATTACTCCTCCACATCAGGCATTGTAGTTTGTTTCTTCTAGAAATCCGTAGATTATTAATTATCTTTGAGCGCAGATGAATAACACATTTTTTTGCAAAACATGCAAATTTAGTCTATTTTTAACTTGCTCTAGCTCCTCACGTGTTAGTCCTACGTTCATGAGCAAGAACAATTATATATAGAAAATTTCATCTACCTATCAACTTTTCAAGGGGTGGTCTATTCGCTATTATGTATATTTTCTGAGTTACAGGTGAAAAACTGACAATAGTCCGAAAATTTCCGTTTTTTTTTGCGAATATCTCGGAACGCTCCGGGAAATTTTGTTTGCATATTTAAGATTCTGATTCAGCACCCCCAAAAACGTAATAAACTGCAGAGAAACCGACTACATAAATTTTTTATACGTGCAAATACCATTTTATTGGAGTAATTTCAGATGTGACAATGTTGAAATGTATGGAAGTGGTTGTGTGTAAAGAATCCACTTCGGACAAACATTTATGTGATCGAAACAATCGATAGATTTTTCATTAGAAATATTCAATACTACAAGAAGTTCAATACAATTGAATTTGGTATTTGTTTATGGGTCGATTCCATGTTGATTCTGTATTTTTTCCATGAACTAGTAGTTATCAATTATTGATGTATTAGATTTTTCTTGATTTCTTGGATAGGAAATGCAGAATACAAATATCCAAACGGATATACAGGGTGTTTGTTGAAAAACAAAAATGTTGTATCACTTGGTTGGTTGGATCATGTTGGATAATCAAATTCATTATAAGGGGAAGTAATTAATCTATGCTAAAGTATAATTCTTGAATTTTTTTTTCACAATTTGATCGAGAATTTGATTTGAATAACTAACATTGATATAGAGGGTTACTTAGTTCCTGGCTTACAAAGTATAAGTAGTAAAATTACTTCTTTGCTTAACATCAAAGAAACATTCATGCATTGTGGTGTTGGTTCAACTAGGCAATAGATCTAATGCTTTGGCTGGTTTGATCAAATACCAATTGCAGCATTGAACCCACTACTTTACTCATTTTGCTGCTTAGTTTTTGTCACTTATTATACTTAGATGCAAATATCAAAATATTAGAAGACATAAAAATAGGCAAACTTACATTGACTGTTGGTATAGTATCATGGTTGAACAAGGTATATTGAGACCAATTAGTAGAGAGCAAGAAATTGGACCTGTGTTCACCAATACCATAAATATATTGGGAGGGTAACTTTGAACTTATTTGCAGAAACTGATTAGAATATATTAGATTTAAAAAATTATTGGCATCAAATCTGAAAAAAAATTGGGTTATGTGAAATTTAATAAAAGACCCATAAGAGGACAAGAAGGTGATTGAAGAAACTCACATAGTAGTGTTATCTGTTTTTCTTATAATCCTAAATCCTGGAGTGACAGGATTCAACTCAAAAATGTAGGACCTATTCAAACTTGCTATGTCAACTATAGGGACTTCTGGATATGGAGACTCAAATCTGGGGGTTTTGGGGTCCAAAACCTGGAAGAGTAATAATCATATTAGGCAATGCAATTTGCAGAATCAAGGCTCCTCTTTTTGCAGGTGGTATCTTGATTTTGACTCATCTAAAGATATGACACAACTGAATTCTATGAATCTTTTGAAAGTATTTTGAACAAAGTAATCAAACACAAAACTCTTCATGGTTCTTACTAAATATATGTCACTTCTGGTTAGAAAACTTGTTTGAAAAAATTCAATCTCATTCCTAGTGAGTCATTAATGATGAAATGATGAAAGGAAACTATGAATCTATGTTTTATGTAACATTACAATTCAATATTAACCATTTACCATAATGTTTGATTTTATTCTATTTGTAACCTGATTAAATTCTACAATTTCATGAGCCATTTCTGCTGAATAACTGTTGATCATTGTCTTGCAGCACACTTACCTTGATGTGCAATCTGGTTTCACTATCATATTGCACAACCATCTTAAGTATTTCCACATCATCTGGATATCCACTTTGATAATCTCTTTTCAAAAAGGCTTCCAATCCAAAATGTGTCTCACTTATATTAATGTATTTGTAAGTATTATAATTATTGGGGTAAAAACAATATGGCACATTGAGAGGCACTCCAACATTTGAAGTAGTAGGCATCTGACTTTTTGTGGGTGACCAACAGCAACCTCTAGCTTCACAAGTTTCAGAATTGGCACCATCATCAGGATAGCAATCAAATTTTTCTGAATCCTCAAGTATTTTACAGTGTGCATTATCTGGCTTAGGTGGTATAGGTAGTTGTGGGTATTTTGGAGGGACCCTGATAGTAGTAACTTTCTCAGGTGGTTTTGAAGTATCCTAAAGTAAATGAATGCAAATTCAGGCTCAATGTTATCCATGACAACTCACTGAATCAACTTACAACTTGCTCATATCTGTTATAGTCATATGAAAGTCTTTCATAAGTCACATCAAAACAGTTCAATAAGTAAATAATTGGAAATACAATGAGTAGAACTGATGAAATGATCACCAACAGAACTGTGCAGAGACTGGGGTGCAGTAATTCCTTTTTTATGGTTTTTTGTCTGAATCTAACAAACCTTTCACCCTAGAATGGAAATGAGGAGTCTATGTATTTCATTTGACATTAATCAGGCCTAGTTCAGCAGCAGACTGGCATTTTGTTACACTTCAGTTTGACCCTATTGTCAGACATTGGTCAGACCTGCCACTGAATCTAAGCCAAAAGAAGGATTTAGATCTTACCATTATGCTAGAACTGTTCAATGATGAGTTGCTATCATTATTCATGGATGATTCTTTTGAATCAGGAAACCTATCACTAAAAGATTCATTTTGAAATGAGTTGAAGGATACAGAATCATTTTTCTTGATTTTCTTTGATTTCCTGAATGGTAAATAAAATATGTCAAGTACCCTCATATTATATTATATGAAAAAATGTGAAAGTAATAATGGTTCAATCAATATAATATTTTCACTTCCCATTAATTTGTAGGTACACTAAAAACAGCAAAACATTGTTCACATCACTCATCCAATATAATCTTTTACTCAATATAAAACTATTTCAATAATTTTGTAGAAAATGTTCTCCACTACGTACAACCACACTACTACTCATTCATGTTGATATCAATATGCTGTTTTTATTATTATTTTCAATTTTATTTATGTTATTATATTTGAGTTGACGTTATGGTGTTTATTGTTTATATTTTTCTTTCACTTTCATTCGACACTCGACAGAGACAAAATGACAATGACACTATTGACACTTGACAGAATGAATGTGTAGAGCATGTGTGTAAAACTACGTGTTGTAGAGAGGTGGCAACTATCGATGTTTTAGGGAATTTTCTGTGAGTGAATGCGCATGCGTCCATAATTTATCACGTGATCCACTGTGACCAAAGACCAATCTGACCAAATCTGACAATAAGGTTTGGGTTCAAGGTTAGTAGAAGTTGAGTTTGGGAATGTTTCGTAAACTTTAGAGTCTCGTAGAGGAAGATGTCATTTTTTATATTTTTATTACAACTTTTTTGAAAATGATTCAATAAGCGTTCACTGTTGAGAGCGAGTGTTACTGTGTTATTCACCATTTCATTAGTTTTTTTTTCAGGATCGAAACCTCTGACTGTGGAGCAGTAGAGCACATCTAGCCAAAATCGTTCTTATTGATCGTGGACGTGGACGAATTTTTGGACAAAACAAAGCTATTTCGTGCCATATATGATATGAATATGACATTGAAAACGCGAATCCCCATCTTAATCTGTGTCTATATTTCATAACAGCCAAGTATCGATTCTTGGAATCGATCTAGATCGAAAGAGAAAAAATCGATCCATAAAAAAATCGAAAGGCAAATAATCGATTTTCAGTAAAATCGATCCTCGGTTAGATCATAAAAATTTTTCAACAATATACATGAAGAAGTGTGAAAAAGATCTTGACTCCTGAGAATATGATCATTGAATGATCACAAATTACCAACTTACTTGACAGAACACTAATAATTCCTCATTTTATTTGGATAGCTCTTGTAGTTGAGTGAAAAAACTTATTTCTCATTTCGTTATTCAGTGTGCATTTTTGTTCAATTCGATTTTATGTGAATAAAATCGATTCACCTACAGATCGAACAGTTGAAGATCGATTTTTTCAGACGAAACGATCGATCTTAGAAAAAATCGATTCAAGATCGCCAATCGCCATCCCTAATCCAAGATCCAAATGACATCTTAAAGAAATGAATGAAAGATAACAAAAATCAAAGAAAAGAGGAAAATAATATAACAAAATCAAAATGTCGGAAACTTGGAAAAGAAATTGAAGAATGTAATATGTTTGAACTGGATGGATTGTTGAAGAGATGGACTTAACCACAAAAACTGTATCTAGGAATCAGAAAATTGCTGATATAAAGTACTGGAGATTAGAAATCCATTCCAGCCCATCAGCAGCCCTAGAAGGTAAACATTAGAAGTTATCTCACTTGTATACCACAGTTATATACCCACCTGGTTCTGTAGAATATATGATTGAACTGCTTTAGTAGACTAATTTCAAGTAGATACCTACTTTTATCATTGAAGAACTCAAGAAAGTGTGCCAAAGGTCTGGGAACAAAAAACCATACCATACATTAGATAAATTGACTAATAATTGCTTCATGGTGTTGTAAACTCAGCTGGATTTAAATATTAGACAACATGAAGTATCTAAAATTGATGTTCTTTGGTTATCTTAGAATTTAGAAGAATTCATATGCATCTGGACACTTTCAAATCTAGAATTCATCACAAATTGAAATGGCTATGTGTAATATCATAAGTTCTTCAAAAAGTTTCAAGCATGGGATATCATTTAGAATCAACAATAATTGTTACTAGGAACTCCTCAGCTTCTGAATATCTGGTTTCCAGATTTTCCAACCCATTAAAATTTGATTCCTCACCATTTTAAATTGACTGTAGTCAGGCTATGGCACCTTATGGAACTCTTTGACATTTTGTACCAAATCTTCACATGAAAGTTTTTTAAAATTTTGGAAGAAGTCCATGTTTGCTTGAAGCAGTGGAATGTTTTAATGAGATGAAACCTATGGTTTTCAAGATTTTCATTAAGGAATGAACAGGTTCTCATAAAATATTGAACCTAGTGCCCTGGAAGCATGAGTACACTAGGTATAAAATTCCATATTCTGCCTATCAACTATAGATACTATCACTAGAAGATGCTAAGAAATTTGGCAGATATTCAAAATGCCCTGTGCCCTTGGTGTGTTAACATGATAATTAGAAATATCAAATAAATGAATGGGGCAAACAGTCCATACATATGCCTAAACCATTAAACCTATCAGGTTAGAATTTAATTTTTGTTATTAGTTTGTTCATGGATTCAAAACACCTTCAATCAATAGTATGAGTAGATATGCACCTACCAAATCTCATTTATTCAGATCAGGTTTATTCCTTATTCTTCAGTAGTTAGTAATCTTTTCAAAGTTTCACAGGGATTTATGGCAAATATAAGAATAAGGCACAAGCACATAGGTGTAGATCTCTCAAATTAAAATATTGGAATTCCACATCAAGATGCAGCTCTTACCAATGACATTTCAATGATTAAACATCTAGTCAAATTTCCAATAACTTTAATATTCAACTATGAAATCTACCATCTTTGTTCAATTATTTGAAATCCTCTGGAAATAACAGTTTCTCACTTTTTGTTATTTTCTTATCTTTTGGAACATATCATTCCTCAAGTAGTGAAAAATTATACATTTTGTGTTATAAGTAAAAATATTTACCTATGAAGGATAACATTGGCTTGAACACATTGAGTAAGTATGTAGAAAGTACAAGTAGCTATAGTAGATACAGGTTGAAGAAGTAAGAAATTATAATACTGTCCCATCATTGACTTTGATTTATGATTGAAAAGACTAATGCTTTTGTTACATATTTTTCTGGTTGGTCTACTCAGTCTACTATACCTAGAACCAAATTAGTATTCTGAAATTTCTATAGACATAGATTTTTTTCTATTTATCTATATAAGACCTTCAAATCTGAAATTTCAAAGCTTTATTGTTCACTGACATCACATTGACAATAATCATTGCTCTTTGATTCCAAAAGTATTGATTTACTGATTCCATCTAACTTGCCACAATTAAATAATTAGAATCAGTATCACTTTGTAGATTTGAAGGGGAAACAACTAGTAAACAACTACTCATTATTTTGATTGCATTCTATCAGGAAATTTTTGACTCTAGTCCCAGTATGATACAGCTGTTGAGTTCATTGGAAAAGGCTAAATATGAATTAATTCGTTGGGCAAAAATATATCGAGCCAATTAATATAATAGACATACTAGCAATACATTCAACCATAGAAAATGAGATAAAAAATGGATAATGACCGATTTGAAAGCAGGCCACCCTTATACATTTTTTTATTTATGGAGCGATTTCCACGATTTTTTTTTATATGTAGAGGGGGAAAAGGGGTATTTTGGCGCTAAGTGGCGTACATTTTTTTTAAAGCAGGCCTACTAGTTCACATTCAGAAGCTGAAAAATCCAGAATCCGTATTAGCGATTTTTTTAGAAAAAACTCGCCTACACCACTGGAAGCAGCGCCCCTTGAAATAGATCTGTAGGAAGTTTCATGAAAAAATATTCAACATTAAAGAATCTCATTTCAAACGCCCCCCCCCCTCTCTATATATCAGCTATTAGTTGTGCGATCTTTACCAACCGATATGAATGATAATCAATATGATCAGTTTTTCAGAGACATACATCCTTTTGGGCAGTGCCGTGCGTTTTTATTATAATGAAAAGGGGTACATTTTTTATGAAATATTAGGATTCCATTTACAAGAAAACTGACCGCAGAATATTGTTCTTCATAGTTTCAAACCCCCAAATGTAAATTTTTATATTATTCCTATCAAGAGTTTCAGAAAAACAGGCACATCTGGACCAGAGCTATTGAATGTTCCAAAATTTGCAGTTAATATGAATTTACTATTTTTCCGAGGCTGATGAAAATGATAAAAATGAAGCCAATTCTGTTAGTTGGGAATGAGGTTTTTCTTGCTTATGGAGGTTCGAAAGCATGAGGAAAAATAATATGAAGTTAGTTTTCTTGAAAAAAAAATCCTCATAATTTCATAAAAATCGACCCTTTTTTATTTAAAAAAAAGCACGGCAATGTTCAACAGGATGTTCGTCTCTGAAAAACTGATCATATTGATGGCTTTTCATACCGGTTCCAATTTGGTAAAGATCGCAGAACTAAAATTTGAGATATAAGAGGGGGGGGGGGGTTTGAAATGAGACATGCTGTAGATTCATTAATGTTGAATATTTCTTCATGAAACCTGATTCGGATCTATTTCAGGAGACTCCGATTCCAGTGGTGTATGCGGTTTTTTTTAATCGCTAATATGGATTCTGGGTTTTTCGGCCTCTGAATGTGATCTAGTAGGTCTTGATTAAATGAAAAATGGACGCCGCTAAGCTCCAAAATACACCTTTCCTCCTCTATATTTCATAGGAAAAATCGTGAAAATCGCTCCATAAATACAAATGGGTCACTCTTTATATGAGTATACCATATTTTGAAAAGAGTTGTTTTCCCCTCAAGTAGAATGTAGTTTATAAAATTGAGGTTGAGGTATTCATTCTTTCACAGGTTAGTTGAGGTGAGGTATAATGGTAATGGTGATGGTACTACTACTGGTCACTACGATGGACACTCACGAATCACTCTAACTTTACTAATAATAATATCACTGGTGGTTGGTTTCTCTTTAGCACAAGGTTCAGGTTTTCTTGCATGCCATAACGCCATTACTAGTCAAATGACACACGCACAGAAGAGACTGCGCAAATTCGAGTGCAAAATCTGCGAAAAAAAATTCGTTAGCGGTAATGATCTCCGAAAACATTTACGTACTCATACCGACGAAAGGCCTTACGTTTGCAATGAATGTGGGCAAGGGTTCAGACAGGGTGGATCCCTTAAAAACCACATTGCCTGCAAGCATTCGTCAGGGCTTCAGAGCAAAAACATATTCGTTTGCAACTACTGCAAAAAAGCATTCCCACTCAAAGACAGGCTCAAACTGCACATGCGAACGCACACGGGCGATAGACCATATGAATGCAATAAGTGCAACAAAAAATTTGCTAGAGGGGGTCAACTTGTTCAACACATGCGCATACATACTGGGCAAAAGCCTTACATTTGTCACGTATGCAACTCTACATTCACCTGTTGCGCTAACCTCAAATTTCACATGAACAGACATCTGGAAATACGCGATTTCATATGCGATATTTGTGGAAAGAGATTCTTCAGGCAGGATGCTTTGAAAAAGCATCTCAACTGCTACCACGCAAACCTGAAAGCGTTTCACTGCAATATTTGCAACAAAGAGCTAAAAGGGCATTTGCCACAACACATGAGAATACACAAACAAGATAAACCACATGGCTGTGGACACTGTGGAGCACGATTCACACAAAGGTCTCAGTTGACAGTCCATCAACGAATTCACAGCGGTGAGAAACCTTACAGATGTCAGATTTGCTGGAAGGCATTCGCACATTCCACAGCCTTAAGGCTACACACTCGCAGACATACAGGGGAAAAACCCTTCACTTGTGTACTCTGTGACTCATCTTTCACCCAACTACCCCACTTGAAGAAACATATGCTTGCCATACACAAAAGTGCAAAACCTTATGTGTGCAGATATTGCAAATCTTTTTATAAGACTAAATCGGAGCTAGAAATTCATCATAAGTTATGCGGCAATGTTTTAGAAGATAAGCCTAAAACAAATCCAGAAGGAGATATAACAATGCCAATAGAAAAAATGAGATATTTGCTAGCAATTCTTTTGAAGAAGATATCTGCTCCTGATAGATTAACAGAGTTAGGTTTCAATAAGAAGCTCATAGATGAGGTCTTGGTAGATTCTATAGAAAGTTCTGGTAGAGAGTCTTGTAAGGATATGGATTTGACAGATGCGGAAAAGTTGAAAAGAAATGTGAGAATACTTTTAGAATGGACAGTTCCTAAGATGTATATGGAAAAGTTCACTAAAGAACGTAGGTCTACTGAGGAACTTTTGAAACAGTTGACCTCGTAACATAAAGATGCTTTCTGTATTATCTTGAATCCCAAATAGTAGTGACTTGTCATTTTGAAAGACAAACAAAAAGCTATTACCTCTCCATAATATCGTGTAGCTTCTGCTGGCAGAAGCTCAATTCTCAGATTTCTCTTACACTGTTTTAAAAAACGAATTGAATATGAAAAAAGTAGAAATGTCAGATTGTGGTTATTAGTATTATTATATTTCGAACCCTTCCTTCTCTATTATTGAACCAAGGAAGAAAATTTGTGGGGTTATATCTATATTTTCCTAAAATATTACTTGATTGCATTCACATTCACAAGTGATACTATGCTGCCGGAAATATTCGTGTCAAAAACTAACCTCTAAAAAAGGAGGTTTGTTGATCACGAATCAATTCGGTTTTTGTATTATTGGTAGACTGATGATGTTTAGCAATCGAAAATTATCACTGTAATACAAGGGGAAACCGTGAAAGACGGTCTATTAAAATTAGTTCTCGAAAACAAGAGTGGAATAGTCAAATAGGTACCTACCTAATGAGAGATGTCCATCAACATGAAGAAACAATGTTTTGAAACTGAAATGAGAAGCAGTAATATTGATCATTTATATTTTCCTAACATATTTTGACCTAAAATCTCTCTTTTTGAATGAAATATGAATCGCTGAGATCTGTCAGAGGATAGATGATGTCATATTTTTATCTACTACTATTAGGAGCCAAAAATCAATTATAATCGATTTCTCAGGTAAAACATACTATGAAGAATATAGATGGAACCCTATATTCTTCTCATTTACTCTTATAGCTAAGGGGGGTCCAAGTATAGTGAAGAAGCCTGTACAAACAAGGAAACCTCAATTATTGGTACTTCTACTTTTTCCAGTTTTATAAGTAACATGTTTAATATTTTTTCTGGATTATACAATAACTCGTGAATTTAATTTTGAAGGCCCCTTATAAGAACTACTATCTTTGGGATTCAAGAAACAAGATCGTAATTTGAATAGTAAATTATTTTTTTGTTATTTATGACATAGTGCAATTTTATACTGCCTTTGATGTTCTCGAGATTTTTATAACAATTTAGGTAGGTTTTTTCTTATTCTGCATTATCATCTACAGTTCTATTTCAGATTTATCATATGTCAATTTCTGCACCACAAATAATGGAATGAAAAAATATATATTTTTATATCATTTTAAATCTTCAATATATTAGTTGTAGAATTTCTTCTTAGAAGACTCATATACATTGATTTTTCAGCAGTTTTCACCGTTGACACCTTTTTTTATTGAAAATTTAACTGCCAAATCTACAAATTCATCTTGGGGTGTCCCGTGACTCATCGTCATAGCTTATAGGCATATTCCATGAACAATTTCTAGTCAAAATGGCTTAATATATGTCCAAAAATATATATTTGAGGAGTAATGAGCAATATTAAAGTGAGTGTGTAATGAAGCAAAGATAATGTTGAATAAAGTAATGTCATATTTTATCAATTGAGCATTTTTACATGATTACTTACACAAATGTAATTCAAAATGTCCCCCCGCTGCTTCACCACACTTTTTTCCTCGTCGAATTATTGAAAACGGTGCTCTGCGAAGAGTATCCTCGGTCGTCTCTTATGAATGCAGTCTATTAGTCAAATTGAATTAGCTTATCTCTGGTTTGTAGTTAATTTGAATACAATAAATTTTTCATGGGTCTCCAAAGATAATAGTGGGCAGGTGACCTCGGTGGCTAAATTCCTGTGCCACCTCTCTACTGGTGAACAAAGTTGTTATTTAATTACTCATAAATCCGTAACTATCGAGTTCAAGACAAAAGTGTATATGGCACTTTCGACTTGAAAAAAATTGTTTAAGGAATATGCCCTTAACCCATTAAGGCCCACATTTTTTTTTTCGATAATTATTATGCAATATGAATTTTCGAACCAAATTTGAGACAATCAACACTATTCTGTAGTTTTTTGCCGAATAAATAGATCGCTGGGCGTAGAAATGAGAGTGCATTGCAGTTTTGAAATTTGGCAAAACAGGAAATGCATAGAGTAACGTCACATTTTTTACAAAAAGGACGACTTTTGCACGTTGGATGATGACATCGACGCTGATTCGACCTTTTCTCGAGAATATGGCCCTTTTATTGCAATCTCACACTATCCAACACATGTGCCCTAGAAGTCGATGGTAAGCTAAGTGGCCTTCCTTCCAAAATGCTCCGTGAATGTCCAAGTTTCAAATAGGTTATAGCAATTTTTCGGCTGAAGTCTTTTCTTTTCAGAAAAGAGTTGGCAATTGCCATATCTATGATTGTAGTAAACAAACATCAGCACCATTTCTTTCCTCTGACAGCTATGGAATGTTCCTCCAAGAGCCAATCATGATGATCTACTCCGCCCATATATTGATTATAGTTATTGATGACTTTCGGTTGAGCTATTTGTTGTTTTTTTCTCTTGCGTTTCTGTTCCGTCGTAATACTGCAGCTTCTGACTGTATTGTATCGAAATTCGTAGCCCCAGAAAAAAATTCATTGTCATCCCATTAACCCAGCAGAATTTTGTTTCTACTATCAAACCGATAGTCATAAGTTCCTCGAGGTAACTTTGCTCATTCTTTAGTTAGCTGAACTGGACATTTTGTGGTCCTATTCTTCCTCATTGTTCCTGTCACCCGAAATCACATGTCTCTCAGTTTATCAACCAATGCGTGGCTACTAAAAAATTAAGTTCATATTCACTAAATCCTTAAGTGGCCTTATTTTGAAACACTTGTCATTTTTATTTTCTGCAGCCTTGGTGTTATCGTAGAAATTAAATGTATTGGTCATTCGATTTCAGGATATGCATTCCTGCATACATGTGTTTTACGATAGCTTGTCCTGACCAATTATCTCGCTCCGATGGTAATGTGTGATATCCACTGAATAAAAGAAATCCAATAAAAAATGTTATATCATCTTTTGCAATCGAAAATCCGTGTTTATTTTTTTGAGTGACAACATATCTTATCGTTTCTTCTACAATCATGTCATAAACATCACTGTCAAAAAACTGTTCAAACATCATATGCACTGCAGACTGTTCGTTCACGTTCCGGAAGAAATGGATCATATATCGCATCTGTTTTCTCTCAATTTGGAACCAACTTTTTTGGAACCACCTTCCTTTTTTTCGGGGGTATCAGACGAGCTAAAGGCGAATTGTCTTCCTCATCGCTTTCTTCTATATCTATATCTGAAACGGTAGGCAACTCAGTATCTTCGTCGTCAAGAACTTCTTCATATGTTGGTTCATCAAGCTCTGTAGGAATCGCTTGCTTTTTTTCGGGGGTATCAGACGAGCTAATGGCAACATTTCTTCCTCATTGCTTTCTTCGTAGATTATTTGTATTTGAACTTCAGCAAAACCAGCTATATCTGAAACGGTAGGCAACCCAGTATCTTCGTCGTCAAGAAGTTCTTCATCTGTTAGTTCATCTACCTATGGCGGTAATGCTAATATGTCCGCTTCTATCTGCTCAGAAAAACAATAACACACTGTATCTGCCAATGTTTTGAAAACATTTCCACTCATTATTCGTTCCTGTAAAAAATATATATTTATTTCCGAAACATCCCAGCGATCTATATAAAGATCACCATTTTCTTCAATATGTGATCGAGAAACAATTTTTTTATGACCTATAATCGCACTAAAATGTAACTGGAATTTGTAGTTTACATACCAGAATAATTCTTCCCGAAATCAGTGAAAATATACAGGGTGTCCTATGACTCGATGCCCATAGCTTAAACGCATATTCCTTGAACAATTTTAAGTCGAAAGTGTCTTATAAATTTTTGTCCAAAACTCCATATTTGCGAGGAGTAATGAGCAATATTATATCTAATAGAGTGTGTAATAACGCAAAGAGAATGTTGAATAAAATTATGTAAAATTTTATCCATTTAGAATTTTTTGAGAACTTTTTGAACACAAATTTAATCAAGGTTTTGTTCAAGTTGAAAACGTTGCTCTCTGAAGAGTTTCAGGGTCGTCTCCTATATATGGATGCAGCTGTAGTCATAATTATTTTGAATTACCTCATCTTTGGTTTGTGCAGAGTTTTCATGTATGTTCAGGTGACCTCGGTGGCCAACGAACTGGACACCCTCTTGCAATCTACTGGTGAGCAAGGTTGTTATTTTCAATTGCTCATAACTCCTTAACTATCGAGTTTTCAGACATAAGTGTATAGGGCACTTTCGACTTGAAATTGTTCAAGAAATATGCCCTTAAGCTATGGATAGTCGAGTCACGGGACACCCTGTATATTATATGCACATACACGGAATCTGCTGATAGTTGAGAGTAACTAAACAAACCTTGATACTCTTACAGAACGGTACTGACCATATAGTTACAATAATCCCCACCAGAGCGAACAATCATGGTGGTTGGTGGATGTGTCAAACATTCGGCTACGATTATATCACGTGATATTTTAATTAGATCACGGGGCACCTTGTATATCAGTGAACCAAGACAGGTATTATTGTAAATTATAAGTTGATGTTATTCATTATATTTCTGCAATTTCTTATATCGGGTAATTCATCGTATCTGGCTACATTTCGAATATTTATAACTAATTTTATTTCAGAATTTCAATTAGTCATCATTATGTCAGTTTCTTATCTGATGAGGTAAAATAACTTGTTCCATCTAAAACAAGTCAATTCTCCATTAGATTTTTTGTGCAATTCATATAACAATAAAAAGGTCATAAATATACCGGGAGGCACGAGATGGACATATCCCATGTTTTTGTTTTGTTCAGTTCAAAAACACTTTCAAGAAATGCATATGAATACGTCAATTTGAGTATGCTAGTTGTTGAAATATATCGTTTTAAATGCATAGAAACATCCACAACCTAACCATCCTAGCTTTGAAGTAGCGTTTCACAGAACAGTACGCATTTTTCAAGTTCCGTGGAACTGCGCATGATTCTGATGGTTTCGGACTGTTTGAACATTATAGGGATTCCCTTTCGTGCGCTCCAAGCGATAAAAAAAAATTGAAAAAAAAATAAAAAAAAACTGGTATAAAAATTTTACAAAATTTCAAATTGAGAAATATCAAAGTAGTATTTAAAAAGAAAAGAATTAAGAAGAAATACGAAATATTACAGTAATTGATTTCTTTTTACAAATTGACCAATGACTTGCTTCAGGGGATATTCACCTCCTGTCCCCTTGTATATTTCTGCAGTAGAACTGTGATGAAAATGTTAATTATTATAATGCTTTATAAGCATATAGGTACCTGTACAAACTTTAATTATTAGAGACTTTAGTGGACGATGACTATAAATGAACTTGAAGTAACAAAATGCTATGGATTTCCCTCAATAAATTTAGTGAAACTTTATCAAACAATTCATTATTCTCCAACGTCCACTAAACTCTTTTATTCAATTTCAAAATTAGTTTTGTAGCACAAAAATGCGGTTTTATTTTTACGCTTAGTACCTGTAACCAGTGGCATACCTATTATTATTTATTTGTCGTAATAGAGAATTTTTTTATTCAATATTCATCTGGTTATCGATATAACTTGCCTTAAACCAAAGTATCTTCATTATGTTTCTTTTAAAAATTGGGAATTTCAGTACTGAACTATTTTTTATTTTTGCCAAAGAACGTCTCAAAGAACTATTGTTATACTAGTTTATAGTTTATTCTTGTTAGTGATGCATTGGACAGATAATTGAATATTTTATTTGATCGATATTTCACGCTTTTCTCGAATATTTGTACTATAAATGTGTATTGTATTGTATATGGATAGTACTCTCAGGTGATTTGATTGTCATGTTGGTGCCATTATAATTTTTAGACTGTATTAATTAATTTCCAATTGATTTCCGAAATTTCTATATCATAATATATACATATACAATAATAGGACCAGTTGTTTCATAAACTTACCATTCCTTCATCCCCAGTACTAGTGCAAATTAAGCAAATGATTTGTTTAAAAGGAAGTCATTTATTCATGAATATTGGTTTCTTTGATGAATCAGAGAGATACATATAAAAAAGGCACACATCACAAAAAAATACTTGTATCACAGTAATTAATATTATGAAACGGTAAAATTAACAATGCAATATTGTTGAGTATGTTTTTCTTAGAACATATTTCTGAAATATCCACTCTATAGGTAGCCTTTAACTCTATGAAACCTCGTCAATTGAGAGAATAATACTTACACTATCAAAACTACTTTTCCTTAATCAAATCATTGTAATAAGCAGTCACTGCTATGAGTTTATTGTTGATAAAATCTTGTTCTATTTCCACTTTGCCGCCGGGGCCGGTCTCATTTACCAACTGAAATTGAAACTTAGTTCTCATACAAAATTTGGAGAATTACTTTATGATCATCACAAAGGTATCCAGATAATCAATGAGAAAAGACTTACCACAAAGGTATTACTATTTCTAGGTAAGAATGCTGCGACATTCGGCGTAATTTTTCTTGCAGCTGCTATCAATTGAGAAAATGGAACGGGTTGCAACATTTCTTCGAGATCATATTCGGGTTGGTTTAAATAGCAAGGTCCTCCCCACGGGGGACTCAAAAACACTACGTTGCCTTTCAAACTGCTGGCTAGTTTCAGAAAGTCACCTATTATGAAATCAATTTTGTTCCTCACCCCATATACTTCAGCGTTGTTTTGAGCTATTTCAATTTTTTTCGGATCAATATCTATAGCTATAACTAGAAAACAAAATGGAAAATATATCAGTAGATTATTTATTTTTGAATGGATTAGGTTATTATACTTGTACAGCCACGTCCTCAATATCACCCTGTAGTTTCGTTCCTATTGCTCATTTCAGTGCGTGTTGTTATATATATATAGGCCTTGTCCATCACATACCTACTCACTATCGTTCTTAGGCTCGTTTAGTGTGGTTGTCCGAATTATTGTAAACAATAAAAAGTCAAGATGCCGAGAATGGATAGAAGAAAAGCAAATATTGGACTGGAAAAAATCAAAAGAGAGTTGGGAAATCATTATATTATTATCTATTATGGGAGACTTCATCGTCCGAAAAATCACTAGGAGGATTTGTCATCGATGGCAAAAATACCTTGATTTCGGGTTTGTATAAGGAGAGTCGTCAAACTCTGATACAAACATAGAATATCCCAGGGAACTACACATGATAATATGGATCAATCCATAATTTCAAGAATGGTAGATGCAGGAAAAATCATGACTAATATGCATCATAGTATTTCTATGCAGAGAAAATTCAACCATATTCAGCATGTCAACACGGCAGTACAAAAAATTACATCACAACAGGTATTGGACGATTTTCTGTCGGAATATATTTTGCAGAAAAATGCAAATCGGCAAAACTAATGGAGTCCACAGCAGAAGAAATATTCAAACTACCAGCGTGTCCCGCCCAAGCCAGAAGGGGGGGAGGCGAAGGCCGACGGGAGACGCATTACTCAAGGACAACGAAAGTTGGAAGAGACAACAACAATAGAGGTAGGCTATGCTAGCAGAATAAGTTTGTTATATGAAAACTGGAAAGTGATAACGCAGGATAAATTGATTCTCAGCTGGGTACAAGGATATAAAATCCCTTTCATTGAGCGACCCAAACATATGAAAGAAAGAGACAACATAAATATTCTACTGAATTATCTACTTCCATTATTGAACTGTTAGAAATTGGGGCTATCAACAGAAGTACCCATTGTAAAATGGAGATTTTTTGATGCAAAAAACGAATGGGAAATATAGGTTCATTTTGAGCCCAGACGAGGACAATAGATAAGAAGCGCTGAGTCAAATTTCTTTAAATTATACGCACTGAAATGAGCAACAGGAACGAAACTACAAGGTGATATCTTCGGACGTGGCCATCTTGTATAATTGAGGATTGAACTTCCTTAAGGTAAGGTAAGTCGTTCAATCTCCCAATTTTTGCTGTTTAAGGATTCCTACGAACCAGTGTTTTACCCTTGATTATTTACAGTTACACTAACAAGATGATCCACTTCCATGTAAAATCTAGAAGCCAATTTTGGCCTTGGTTCTTTTATCTCCAAGAGTCCATCTATCTACAAATTGCTGAAATATCCACGAATATCCTTTTTGAAGAAAATCACTAACTGATATTCTGATGCGACATTCCTTCTTGCATAAAAATATCTAAAAATAAACTTCGAATCTGCATTACCGATCTCTACCCCTTCTGAATAGAATTTCTGGGCTAATTGCTGCCATAAGGGGTTCATCTTGTTAGTGTAAATAATGAAGGGTGTTACTAGGATGCGAAATCGAGATATTGTAGGTTACATCATGGTTGGCTGAAAGTTGATTGAGCCGTGTTAGCTGTGAACCAATGTATCATTACCTCGTTTACATGTGAATGCAAATTGTATTGCATTTCCGCCTGCTCCACAAAATGCATCTATGATAACGTCACACTGACATCTTTCGGCAGCATGTTTGGCAACTTTTTCTGGAGTTACAGAATACCAACTTTCTGAACAAAAGAAAATATGATATTAAGCTGAGTGCCGTTAAATGGTGAGTCGATAATTTTACTTGTACGCAAATAATATTTGAATAGGCCTACTCATTTAGATGACAAATCAATATTGTTTCCGTTTCCGTTACCTTCGTCCAACTTTATTCCTTGGTCGAATTTACTGAACAAAGAGAACCTTTTGTGCCAATACTTTCTTAGTTTAACATTTTCCTTGATTTCGGGCGGAAGGGCGGGTTGTTTTCTTTTCCTCTTTCGCTTCTTAGTTATTTGGCTTCCTTCTACACTCTTATCTTCCGGCAAAACAGTCGGTTCATCTTCACAAGAGCTCATTTTGTCATCGGAGCTTTCTGACAAGACGTTGTGACACGTTAGCTAGGAGAAAAAAAAAGTTTGGTTAATGACACATCAAGTGGACAAGACGAAGAATTGACAAAACGCCATAACAATTCATCAGACATATCAGCACTGAAAGAAATCTACTGAAAGGAGAGTGCAACTTTATTTTGAGAGGGATCATAATCTTTTTCGACAAGTAGATCTAACAGAGGAAACTTTTAAGAGTTTGCGTTAGTAGAGGTAAATAGAGAAAATAATATTATTATATAAGTACTACCATTTTCTCTCGGTTTTATCTACAGGCATATATTATAATATTCCTTTGAAACGCACAGTTGTGGTCTCGCCGTAATTTGGTTCACTCTACTTTCAGCAGTAAAGTTGTATCTTGAAATAGCTGTTTCGGCACTTTGGGCGATAAGTCCAAGGAATGCATTCAGCATTTATAGCGAAATTCGATCTAGCAAGTTTTATACGTCTCAGCGTCATGACCACATTCGGTGATCTGTTTCAGTATTTCGACCTAGTACTCGAAGTACTCGAAGTGAAAAAAGGCAGTAAGTTGATAATTTACCATTCTTTATTGAGCGCTAAATTAAATTATCCACATTTCCTCAAATTCTCCAAGTCATTCCAAATATAGGCGACATTTTGCGCCTGAAATCAGAAGAGTTCGCACCTTTTTTCGGACGTTTTAAAATTGCACGAAATTTTAGGCGGATTCTTCGTACGCCTGCAGTAAGAAAATTCTCAAAGCAGTGTTGCACAACAAAACATTATTATCGTTTTTATAAGAAAACTAGGGATCCCCTAAATATTCAAAATTTTCTCTGAGCAAGTAGTGTTTTGTAGAGTAAGTCAATGTTGTTTTCTGATCGATCTCAATATCCACGTTTTTTTTATTAGTTGGCTAGTGTTTTGCTGGTGAATTCCGGTTGATTCACATTATTTTACATACCGGGTGATCCACTCTTAACTCTCAAAAAAATGATTTTACAATTAACAATTAAACACGTCGACTTTTATCTGGAGGGGGAGACACCGTTTGACGCAAATAAAATAATATCAACCCTCTACTCCCCAGAGCAACCACCTCTATAATTTGGATAGGGGATAAGGGTCATGTTATACATCATTACAGAGGTAATTCAATTCTGACACTAGCAGTGCAAGTTTTTTGAATTGCAACAAGCCGTTCTCGCGATATTCGAGTTCAAATGTTGTTTTTTCAATTGTTAATTAATTAATTTACGAAATGGATTATCAAATAGTTATTCACAAAAATTTTCAAAATGACCTCCAATGACTCCCAGACTGGTAGAGTCTATTTGCAAATTCCTCTTGCACGTATGAAAATGTTAATCTAGTTATTGCCTGGCAATCAATCCTTATTCTTCTTTCCAAACCGTCCAGATCATCATTAGTTTTTGCTAATAACGGATTTTAAATGTCTCCAAAGAAGAAAATTATTGGGTGCCAAGTCCAGCAAGCGTGCTGGCCATTCTATTGGTCTCCTACGACCTATACCCATTTGTTTGGGAAATTTCGGATAGCCATTATTTCACCTATGAAATGAGGTGACGCACTATATTGTTGAAAATAATTATTATCTGCCAATAGATTTAAAAAACCAACATCATCGAGGTCCATGAGAGAGTGGCTATCCCAACATTTCCCAAACGAATGGATAGGTCGTATAGAGGACCAATAGAATGGCCAGTACGTTCGCCGAACTTGGCACCCAACGATTTCTTTCTTGGGGGTAATTTAAAATCCATCATTAACAGAACCTAGTGATCTGGACAGTTTGGAAAGAAGAATAAGGATTCAATGCCAGGCAATAACTAGAGATACATTTTCATATTAGATCGGCAGGTAGTGACAGATTTTCGGACGTGATTTCACCCAGGATGCCTTTTGGAGGGTTTCATTATGTATATATTTTGATGTTAAAAAATGACATATGAAAGAATCCTCCCGGGTCAATAAAGGTTATTTTGAACATTTTCGTGAATAAATATTTGATAATTCATTTCTTAGATTCATTTACTAACAATTAAAAAACATAACATTTGAACTCCAATATCTGAAGAACGGCTTGTTGCAATTCAAAATACTTTGCACTGCTAGTGTCAGAATAGAATTACCTTTGCAATGATATATAACATGACCCTTGTTTCCCGTGTCTCCCTCCAAATAAAAATCGACGTGTTTCGTTGTTTTTTCGTAAAATTATTTTTTTGAAAATTATACCCGGTATGAGAGTAATTATTTTATATGGTCAAATTGAAATGGTATAACTGTCATCTTAAGAAAAAGTATGAATGTGTTTCCACTGAGTGGAATTCATTAGCTAACCTTTCAATATTATTATTATTTTATATTATGTGTTCATGTATCACTATTATAAACAGCTATGTTTCTTGGGGTAATAAAAACAATCAATCAATCAATTATATCTAGGTGGCTCATATATTTTTCTTTACTGTGCTTGTTTTAATAGGACATTGGCAGGTGACAACAGTAGATTTGAAACACCATGTATATTGTAGTTTGCCTTCTACTTATTGTGTGTTGTTATGGTGGACTTACCTCTTCAGTATCATCATAACTGGGTATGATATTCCCATCATCATCAAAATAGACATGCTTTGGTTTTTTTGCTTCAGGTCGAATTTTCAGATGCCTATTTTGCAAACGAATGTGTTTCATCTTGTAATCAACCTTTCCAGTCATCATTTCATCAGTTTTTTCCTGGAACTCAATGCCCATAAGGTTGAAAGCAGCTTTTATTCGGTTTCTGTTGCTATTGAAGTTACCAGGTGATTCAGTTTCACTAAAAATTGAAGAAATCAATTGTTTAATTCTTTGTTTTCTTATCAGCTTATTACACATCGATGCTCTTCTTTGAGGTTCTATTACTGTCAGCGTTGCCAAATGCTAAAGGTAAACCCATTGCTATCATTTCACTCTGAACTGTATTACTTTCACCAGTTTCTTCTTCAGAAGTTTTATATTTTGGTTCATCCTCCATGTTCAGACTCTCCATTAGAACATTTAAGGATCCTGGATTAGAGAGGACTTCTTGTGAAGTGGTCGTACCCGAGTTTTTAACACCTTTTAGTTTTGGTTGCTTGATTTGAAGTTTTCGGTGTGAATCAGTTTTTACTGTTAAATCTGTGAGCATAAAATATAGTATTTGTATAAATTTGAGATATTATCTACGATGTGTCCATATATCTTAAAACAATAATTATACTATTATATTATTCTATCCACCTTTTTACATCAACTGAAAGGAGCCCACATTACTTGAACAGTGTGTCCAGTTTTCGATGTTTTTACGCGATATCTCAGTTATCTTTGGAGATAGACTGTTACGCGGTTTTCACGTAACTCCCCAACTAAAAATTGTTCTATCCGTCATTCGGTTGCCCCCTTACGAGCAACCCTCAGACGGAGGCCTTACCTTTTAACGTGTGATCCCCAACACTTTCTTGGGCCATCAGAAAAATTTCTGCAGTCGTTGGGAATCGAACCCACGACCGGCAATCGTATGCGAATTAGAATATTGACACTCTGTCCGCACGGCTACCTGGCCCCGTGTGAATTTTTCCCTCGTAAGCATAATTTCATTGATCCAAAATATTTTGTACTATTCACTTTCTTCCAGGATATGTAGTAATAATTGATTATGCTGAGGATGGACATTTATATGTCCAAAACATGTACCAAGTAATTTGATCTGTTTGATCATATTAAAATGTCGTGGAGATGACTTCGAGTATTATTAGTAGTTACTACTTCACTCCACTTTGAGAAACCATGGACTTCTACCAAAGATTAAGACAGTAATGTGCTACCCCAAACACTCTATTTTTTTTTAAATCGGTTTGGTTAGTGGTAAAACAGTGGTAAACAGTGGTAAAACAGTGTAGTGTATTATCGTGTCATTATCGATATACTCTATCTCCAAAGATAACTGAGAATCGCGCAAAAGCATCGAAAACTGGACAGACTGTACATAAAGTGCTTCAATAAGTTACCTTCCAAATCATATAAGGACTGTCTCTAATACTCAGAAATTTAGAAACCTGAAAATACATTATTAAAAAGAGAAGTGCACAAAAAACTGCAAGGATTGTAACTTTTCAATTATTCTAGATAGAGTTTTGAAAATTGGTGGGTAGAAAGTATGCCAATTTGCTCATTAATTGATGAAACAATTTTTCTTCTATCACTTCCAGTTTCACCGGAAACGACCCCAACTTTGGTTTTTAAATGGGACACCAACCCTGTATTGAATTCCATAATCGGTTAAGGATTATCATGACTAATTCAACGATACCTGGTTTGATAGGGTTATTATTTCAAACGATTACAAAGATATTTGCATTGAAAGTTTCCATATGCTCAATGGGTGTGACTTCACAATATCAAAACTTTTTTCTCTATCACACTCATTGAGCATATGGAAACTTAGAACGCGAATATCTGCGTAATCGTTTGAAATAACCCTATCAAACCCGGTATCGGTGAATTCGTTATGACAATACCTAACCGATTATGGAATACAATACAGGGCGCCATTTAAAAATCAAAAGTTGGGGCGTTTCCAGAAAAACCGGACGTGATAGAACAAACATTGTTTCATCAAAATTAATGAGCAATTTGGTATACTAGACGCCCACCAATCTTCAAAACCCTATCTCGAATAATTCAAAAGTTACAGTCCCCGTTTTTTGTGCACTTCTCTGTATATAGAACCATGTAGTGTGTGAATACTCGAATTAATTTGAGTATTCTGAAACTGGATGAAGCCACCGAGGTAATCTCATAAGCAATTCTCGGAAGATCTCAAAAGAATTTTTTGGGAACTTTGGGTCCACCTAGCAGCAAAAGAAAACCACTTTGACATTTTTTTCCAGAATTGTCCTCACACATTTGGCTAGATCGTATTGAGATTGAAAAAAAAACAATAAGTTACCTATGATCGTTATAGAAACAAGAAACTTTTCGTACTGCTGTAAATATTCGTCTTCGTAGTGTTTTTTCCACAACAAATTCCACTGATTTTGGTAATCCTCTTCCGATTCCTCGGAACTCACGGAACTATTCACCGAACTTACGGAGGAAAAACTATCAGAACTGGAAGTGCTGTTGCTCAAGTTGATAGAGGAGACTGTCATACGAGTGACGTTTGTCATAGAATCAATTGTTTTCAGGGAACTACTACACCTAAAACAAACATGACATTCGCACCAAACAAGAAATTCGAAGATATGAAGTTTTCCACTTGAATACATACAATTCATAGGAGAAAAAATGTACAATTTGAAATAGTAAACCGAGTAGTAAACCAATGTAGAGCTTATGTAGATATCATAAAAAATACATATTATTATCTCTTTCACCACTGGGGTATCATGGAAATACAGCATTGGTTGAATTCTTTAATTGGAAAAAGGTTTTTGCTTATGATGCTGAATAAAACTGAAATTTCGAAAAATGATTCACAAGAGAGAAAATGGACATTTATTTTCCATAATTTGACAATAATACTATTACTCACTGACATAACTATCTAGACTGCTATTTGTCATATCCCAGCAACTCGCAAATCCATCCAAATTGCTTGTCATAAAACACTTTTTTTCAGTGTGCAGAAGATCCAAATTGTCATTCATGTCTTTGATATATCCAGTAACCATTTTGCTAGTATGCGACAGCTTACAGACATTCAGTGAAGTGAATTAATGTGTTTTGCTTTGTTGTTTTCGGATATATTAAGTACTTTGTTCTTTCGTGTAGGAATTTGTCATTCGACAATTCCAAAAGTGTTTCTTTTCTCAGAAGTGAGTCGGTAAAATATATTTGTATAATTCATAAGGTGTTTTACGGAAACTTACTTGGGTTGATCGGATCTGAATCGGATCCCTAACCAGAACGTTCGGTTACCTAAACCGAGTCACCTACCTCTGTTCGGAAACTTGAGTGTGGCTAACTCGATCACAGACTCGGGTTGATTTTTCGTGACCCTACTCAAAAGCAGGGTCGCCAGAGTCGCAAAGGACACCGCATGCGCATTACCAATTTATACGAAATTTATGTCAATCAAAACACGCGGGAGTTTACTACTCCACGACAACACTATAATAATAAAATAGTTTGCATGTTGGTAAACATTTCGATCGGTGATATAAATTTTCTTTTCAATCTCCATGTGATTTGATTTAGTTAAATGCATTGAGAAGAAAAGTTGGGTAGGTGTGTCGTTTGTGGTATTATGAACCAAGAAAGTAATGTGCGACAATACATATATGAGACATGTTAGCCAATCACCAGGTGAATATAAATATTTGTAACCATATCAAATAAGTACATGAATATAATGTGAACATTTTCGTCTATCGAATTAACGAAACCACAGAAAAAAGATTAAATTCTGTGTTCCTAACCTGACACGTTCGTAAACGTTGAACACGAGTAGGTGATCCGAATTTTTTGTCACGTGACCTCTCTGGTAACAACCCAGAGTAAGTTTCCGAAAACACCTATTAGAAGATCAGTAGAGCAAGTGAGAAAATGAATTATTTCATATTTTAAATATTTACCTCTGCATAATTTACGAGCAGAACTCGACTTCAACGATACGAGAAATTAATCGTTGAAGGTTATTAAAAGACCACTGGACCCTAGTCAATTAGAGCACACCCCACAAGAAGGATATGTTTAGCACATTTTATCCGGAACATAAACATCATGTTTAATTGTGTTTTCATATTTCCTCCTCAAATTCGTAGGGTAACTTCATTAATGTGACTGCAATTATTCCTACTCATGATGTAGGTTCAACTGGAATAATTACAAAACTTTTGACACTTATCCAATGAAAAATTGATAAAATGTCTTAATGTTGTTGTTGTTGTGATATTTTTTGTAATCCTTCGAAGTAACATTCTCAATTATCGATATTTGGAAGCTTTTTTCCCCCTAATCCTATTTCTCGTGATACGACTTACAGTTCCCTTAATGTGCTTGACACTGGTGTTAAGACGTTTTTGTATTATATATATTAAGGAACTCTAATACGACTTTGTGGCTCGGAGTCACTTAACATGAGAGGTCCTGAATGCGCATGCTTCATGATGTCCAGTTCAATCTCTTGAATGGATGAGCTTTTGCAATATGGCATTTAGCGGTCTACATAGTATTTCATGTCGGTTTGACTATTACCTCGAACCCAGTAATCGTTCAACTTCAGTTTCTCCGTCTACGCTGATAGGTGACAGAGGGTTCCACCCTTCAGAGACGTCAGTACAAATTTTCTCGTCACTGCCAGATAGATTTCTAAACAATAAGTGTTTTTTGGCGTGTTCTTTATTTTCAGATTGTTTTTCTGCTAGTTGGCAATCAGAGTTGAACGTTTCAACTTCAATATCTTCAAAATTGAAACTGGTAGGGTTTTTTCGTGTTTGTTCCTCCAGTACTAGAAAGCGCAAGAAAAATAAATATTTATTGGTAGTTTCTTGTTTGTCTAAAATAGTATATTACATAACTTGTGCGAGTGCGGAAACGAAACGAGCGCACGAAATGCACTTTCCAACGAATTTTGTACTCTATTTTTCCTACGATCATAAATATTTTTCAAATTATATGCATCATAAGTGTTGATGAGATCTAAGTAGGTATCAAGTTTCTAATCATATTCGATCACATGAAGATATATAATTATTATTATGATTTGATTTATCTTTAATAGTAACTTAACATCATTAACTCAAAATTAATTTAACATCAACTCGACAAAATTAACATTACTTTATAATAAATTGATATTAACAACTCAAAAATAAATTTGTCATTAAGTCAACATTAAATTAACATTAACTGCAAAATAACTAGGTACTGACAAGTCTTATTGTAAGAAGATTCAGTGATTGTAAGTAGTTAAATAATTTGATAATTCAGTATTATGAGACCAAACAAAAACCTCGTGAGCATGCGGGAATATTTCCACACTGTTCGTTTATACTTTCTAAGCAACGACACAGTGTGTGTTATATGCTGCTTCCATAGATGGCTGTAGGAAAAAATAATTTCAAACCAGTTACCTGTCAAACTATTTTCTTCTTCGCACTTTTTCGAATTAAAACTAAAATACTCGGGGTTGATGTAGGCACTGTATTTATCTATCCAGGATTCCCAAATTAGTTTCTCGCCGTGGACAGACCAGAATTTATTCCAATCCTCGTCGGTGGTCTGACACGATCGTTCGGTCAGATCTGTGCCGCTGTCGCTCTGATGAATTTTGGAAACCGAAGAAACGTCTTTGGTTTCCTTGAAACTGTCGTGTTCGTCGGTCGATAGATTGTCGGTATGTGAGGCGCTGCAATAGCAGCTGACAGTCTCTTGTTCGATCTGGAATAGGATCAACTAACTCTCGAGGCTCCATACATTAGTTAAACACTTTACACCATACCAAGGTGAGATTACTATTTTTTTCCACTCATTATGGTGAGTTTGTTATCATGATATGATTTGTTCATTGACAGTAAGTTGATTTTACCAAAGTACAGGGTTTCTATAGATAGTATAGATGATCGTACCATCGTACAGGCAGTTTACAGGCATTGAAGCGACCGAACATGTTATAGTTCCATCTCCATAAGTGGAAAGCGGCAAATCGATAAAATATATCAACGGTCACTAGGATGCTACGATCATTTATAGAAACCCTGTAGTATTTGCTATTATTAATGATCGCATGTGAGTAAGCTAGGTATTTACATCCCTAGGAAAGTAAGTCACAATTTTCAGTTTCATGAGATTTCATCAAACAACTATAATCTTATTATACACTGTCAATAAAGTGACTTCCCCCTAATTAACTTTTGTACAGCTGGGATTGTTTCTTTCATTTTCTTTTTGCTCCAATGATAGTTCATTGTCGATCTAAATGGAGAAGCTAGTTTGCTAGTTAGTAGGCGAGAGGTATAATATTATTGTCTGTTCATTGACCCAAAATTTGTCAGCCTGTCATTGGCGCTACTGTATAGGACTGTCAATAGCTAATTTGTTTCAATGTCAGTGATACTGTTTTAGGTTGAAGTTGTCTTCTATTTTTTTCCAAACAGTAATCAACCAGCCAACCACAGACCACAGATATTGATAAAAAAAAATTTGTAATGATTGGTACCTGACAGTCATGATGGAAACTGACAGTTTTGACGACTTGATTGTTTCTCCCATTTAGCCGACAATGGTCAGGCGAAGCAAACGAGACTCCTGGAGATGCTACGGTGAAGGTATCAACAGTTTACCTGAGGCAGCCAGGTTTCACAAGGTTCTCGCAAACACTTCAAGGGTTAGTTCGGGGCTGCTGCGTCCTTCCGGTGGCATTTTCGCTGACGTGAAGGAATCGCTCAGACACTTAGTATCCTCCCACTTTCCCGACTCTCTGGAGGTACTTGGTGGTAACACCTTCAGCTGAGGCAGACAATCCACTCAGAGATTTCGCCGCGGTCAAGGAGGTGGTCACACACGAGAAGGTCGTATGGACCATCGAGTCTCTTCTACCCTACAAATCGGCCATAGAAGATGGTATCTTCCCTGCTCTCCTTCAAAAGAGCATGGACAAGATCTCTACCTTCCTGGTAAGGATTTTCAGGGCCTGCATAGCACTAGCTTACATCCCAGTATTCTGGAGAGCAGTGCGGGTCGTGTTTATTCGTATGCCGGGCAGAATCGACTACTCCCTTGTCAAATCTTTTCGTTCAATTAGCCTCACATCCTTTCTCCTGAAGGATCTCGAGAAACTAGTGGACCGATACATCCGTGACGGCGTACTGTCTACCAACCCTCTGCACCGACATCAGACTCCTACCAGACAGTTCAGTCGGGGTCTATTCTTGGATATAGGAGGGGCTTTTGACAATGCCTCCTTCGATTCAATGTGTAACGCCGCTCACAAGCACGGAATCATCGTCCTATCTCTGCTGCCTAGTCGTTGATGATCTTCTTCACCTTCTCTCGCGTGAAGGCCTATATGCACAGGCCTTTGCGGATGACATCGCAGTTCATGTTGAGGGCCAGTTTGAGCAGACGGTATATGACCTTACTCAGCGAGCACTCAATCTTATATATCACTGGTGCGAATGGCAAAACCTTGTACTTAACCCTGCGAAAACTGCAATCCTTCACCAGGAGACCTACAGCACGATTCGCGGGGCTTCTGACCATTGCCGGAGCCACCCTATCTACCTAAGTACCTAGGAGTCATCTTAGACACCAAACTACTATGGAGAGAACACTTGGAGATCCGCATGAAAAAGGCCACTGCAGCATTTTGGGTTTGCAAGTGAGCCTTCAGTACCACGTGGGGCCTCCAACCGAAAGTCTTACATTGGATCTATACGACCATGATAAGACTTATTATCCCGCACGCATCAAGTGTTGGGTGGCCAAGGACCAGGCGTGCGGGCGAAGCGGTATATTTGGAGCACATGTAACGACTCGCGTGCGTATGCATTACGGGTGCAATGAGAACGGCACCCACGGCAGCCCTTGAGGCACTCGTGGGGCTACCATCATTGCACTTAGTGATCAAGCATGAAGCAATGAAAGCGGATTACAGACTCAACTGTGCTAATCAGTGGACTGGACATCACTGTAGCATTGGTCATGCCAAGTTCTGGACAGAAGCCACCTTAGCCTGTCCTGTTCTAATCATGGTGCAAGATCGCATCACGCCGCATCATGAATTCCTCGCCTCTGTCAGATTTACCCTTCATGATAGAGACATGTTCAAGTGCTACATTTTGATTCTAATAAATAATATGTATCTTTCAAAATTACGTATGAACGCCATTTTGGAAGATTCCTTAAAATTAGATAGGTGATAGGGGCTCCAGTGATACCTCTTTTGGAACGTCTTTCAACTCTCTATTGAAAACATCAGAATTTCAGATAAAATTATTCATCCTAACAAAATGGCGGATGATAACATTTGAAATCTAATACCAGTATCCTTCTGACTAGATGGCTAATTTATTAACTTGCTCATCCTGTACATACCTAATGCAATTATTATTGAATGTTTGCTAAACTACTAAATAAAATTTCTGAATATTATTTGGTTACTTACAGATTTTAATGATTCATTTACACTTTTCTGAAGATTGGTTTCGTCTTCAATGGGGTCAGAATGTTCCTCATTTAATTTTTCGTCATCCGAGAGGCTTTGCTCAATTGATAAGCTACGATAGTTGGGAAACTTTGTTCTGAAATATAAATCCAATATTGTGCTATTATTGGAGTCATTTGGCATTCGAAATCTTAGTACACCATCAAATTTATGTTTGAAACATGATAATAGCAAAAAACTGGATTTCCAAACAAACGTCCATATAGATTATTTGAACGGGTTTTATCATTGGGAGTTGTGCAGTATTTCCAATGTTGATTGGAGCAGATCTAGCAAAAACTTACGCCGCGCGTTCCCGATCGGTTTGAAAATCAAACAGACTGGCTACAGGTGGTAGACATTCCTTGCTGGAGACGCTACATCTGACTTTGGAAGAGCATACTAGATAGTTGAATTATTATAATCTTGAACATATTTTTTAAATATTTTACATACAAACATACACATTTATTTTTAAAATTTCGAAATATGCATTTTCTTCAAACACAACCAATAATAGAACATGTTGTCTGAAGCCAAGTCAAACAGTAAAACAAACTGGAAACAATATCAATAAAACCTTTTGTTTCATAAATATGATAATTAGTAGTCACTGGATGGTATTAGTTTTCAGTTACTAATTAGACTAAAATGTTAATGTGCATTCATCAAACTGAATGCCCCAATTCTGACAAAAAAACATAAAACAAAAATTCAAAAAGTAAAGAATGCACATGTCTATATCAGTTTTTCAATAAGAAAACTGAAGATGTATCTAATTATAGTGAGGAATTAGGAAATATTTGCATTGATGGTTGTCAAAAACATAATATATTAAAATATCCTACAAACATATGATCACAATAAATGACTAAAGTTCAAAATTAGAAATATTGAAGTTCAATAGCTCATTCCTAGCTTGAAAGTACCCTGTATCAGTCAAATCATACGGATCAGGTACAAATGGTGGTGTCACAGACATCAAATTCTCCCAATCAATGTGCTTAAATGCATCCATTTTCATAACCTCATTTGCACCAGCCCTCTTCTCCCAATCATCAACCAGAAGTGCTTCAACAGCCTCTACAATCTCTTTGGAAAGCTCCTCGTCATCTGTGGGCCACTCAATATTATGTTCCAAAATGTTCTTGAACACAAGTTGTGGGGAAGAATCATTGAAAGGGGGAATACCAGTTACAAACTCATATAAAACACATCCTAGAGCCCACCAGTCAACAGAGTGGTTGTGTCCTTTCCTCAACAGTAATTCTGGGGCCAAATAATCCGGCGTGCCTAAAATACGATGATCTGAACTCCAATCACCTCTTCTGACTGATTTAGGAGTACGGTATGGAGTCCTAGGTGTTTTTGGAGTAGTTGCTCCATCAATAGGGCTCACAATATTGCCCTCTACTTTAGCACTGTCATTATTATTTACATTCTGAGGTAGCTCAAACCTTGTGGCTTTTATTTTATTAGTTTTTTGGGAAGAAACTGGGGTGGAAAATGTAACACCTTTGGGGGAGGAATTGGGATCCACTCGTAAAATCTCCATTTCTCCTGTCAAACCTGTCTTTACATATGCCTTTCTAGGTCTGTTAGGAGAGGGAGATCTATGTTTTCTCTTTTTATCTCTCTCATTACGCATTTTATTATAGAGTTCACATCTACTAGGTATTTTTCTGCTTACTGGAGAGGCTGTACAAGAAGTATTTTCTGAATTGTCTGCTAAAGCACTATTACAGGTGAAATATGAACTGTCTGATGATTTGATGGGTGTGTTTATTTCACCAGCTGACAAGAATGTAATTCCTGATAGGGCTGAACAATTTTGTAGCTTTGAGTTGTTAATTCCACTTTTGTCTTTCAAACCAAATGATTCTAGTCTCTTGGATCCTGAATCCAATAAATAACCACTGTGATTTGCAGCACTAACATATTTTGAATTACCTGACCCAAAACTCAAATGTGATGTCAAACTTAATAATTGTCCTGGTGTTCTTGTGCACAAATTTGGAGTACAGTTTTCAAAATCTGATATTTCTAAATCTCTGTGAATCTGAACCTTTGAGAGACCAAAATCTGTTAATTTAACATGTCCTTCCTTTGAAAGCAACATATTATCAGGTTTGATGTCTCTGTGGATAATATTATGTTTGTGTAGATATTGTAGAGCTAGGCAGACTTCAGCTATGTAGAATGTTGCCATTGGTTCATCAAAAAATCCATATACACTTAGGAGAGATTTTAAATCACCACCAACCATATAATCCATAACCAGGTAAATAGATGAAGCAGTTTGTAGAGAATAGAAGAGCTGTACACAGAAAGGACTTTTAGTTAGTGCTAGTGCATTCCTCTCATTTACTACTTGTGATAACCAATGTGATTTTGGCTGCCAAAGCTGGCTGCTAAAATTTCCGAACTTACCCGACAGACTATACCAGTGGCGGGCGGCCATTCTTTCATGATTCAATTACTTTCTACTTCTACTTTAATTGAAATTGCATCAATATACAACATACTTTTTTTTCATACATCCCATCAGACTTTTATAATAATACTTAGTAGGATACGTTACTATTGAAGCCTAAAATCGTGTAATAGCGAAATAATTACTTCCAAATGGGTCCAGCGACTTGTACAGGGTGAATCAGCTTTTTTCGAAATAATTTTTTTTACCGTATTTCGCATCAGACTTCCGTGATTAAATATGGTAGGTTACGTTACTATTGAAGCCTAGAATAGTGTGATAGCAAAATAATCACTTCCAAATGGGTCCAGCGACTTGTACAGGGTGAATTAGCTCTTTTCAAAATCTTTTTTTTTTACCATATTTCGCATCAGACTTCCGTGATGAAATATGGTAGAATACGTTACTATTGAAGCCTAAAATCGTGTGATAGTGAAATAATTACTTCCAAATGGGTCTAGCGACTTGTACAGGGTGAATTAGCTTTTTTCAAAATCATTCTTTTTACCAAATTTCGCATCAGACTTCCGTGATGAAATATGGTAGAATACGTTACTATTGAAGCCTTGAATCGTGTGATAGCGAAATAATTACTTCCAAATGGGTCCAGCGACTTGTACAGGGTGAATCAGCTTTTTTCGAAATAATTTTTTTTACCGTATTTCGCATCAGACTTCCGTGATTAAATATGGTAGGTTACGTTACTATTGAAGCCTAGAATAGTGTGATAGCGGAATAATCACTTCCAAATGGGTCCTGCGACTTGTACAGAGTGAATTAGCTTTTTTCAAAATCATTTTTTTTACCATATTTCGCATCAGACTTCCGTGATGAAATATGGTAGAATACGTTACTATTGAAGCCTAAAATCGTGTGATAGCGAAATAATTACTTCCAAATGGGTCTAGCGACTTGTACAGGGTGAATTAGCTTTTTTCAAAATCATTTTTTTTCATCAAATTTCGCATCAGACTTCCGTGATGAAATATGGTAGGATACGTTACTATTGAAGCCTAAAATCGTGTGATAGCGAAATAATTACTTCCAAATGGGTCCAGCGACGTGTACAGGGTGAATCAGCTTTTTTCGAAATCATTTTTTTTACCATATTTCGCATCAGACTTCCGTGATGAAATATGGTAGGATACGTTACCATTCATGCCTAAAATCGTGTGATAGCGAAATAATTACTTCCAAATGGGTCCAGCGACTTGTACAGGGTGAATCAGCTTTTTTCGAAATCATTTTTTTTACCATATTTCGCATCAGACTTCCGTGATGAAATATGGTAGGATACGTTACCATTCATGCCTAAAATCGTGTGATAGCGAAATAATTACTTCCAAATGGGTCCAGCGACTTGTACAGGGTGAATCAGCTTTTTTCGAAATCATTTTTTCTACCATATTTCGCATCAGACTTCCGTGATGAAATATGGTAGGATACGTTACTATTGAAGCCTAAAATCGTGTGATAGCGAAATAATCACTTCCAAATGGCTCCAGCGACTTGTACAGGGTGAATCAGCTTTTTTCGAAATCATTTTTCTTACCATATTTCGCATCAGACTTCCGTGATGAAATATGGTAGGATACGTTACTATTAAAGCCTTAAATCGTGTGATAGCGAAATAATCACTTCCAAATGGGTCCAGCGACTTGTACAGGGTGAATCAGCTTTTTTCGAAATCATTTTTTTTACCATATTTCGCATCAGACTTCCGTGATGAAATATGGTAGGATACGTTACTATTGAAGCCTAAAATCGTGTGATAGCGAAATAATTACTTCCAAATGGGTCTAGCGACTTGTACAGGGTGAATCAGCTTTTTTTGAAATAATTTTTTTTACCGAATTTCGCATCAGACTTCCGTGATTGAATATGGTAGGTTACGTTACTATTGAAGCCTAGAATAGTGTGATAGCAAAATAATCACTTCCAAATGGGTCCAGCGACTTGTACAGGGTGAATTAGCTCTTTTCAAAATCATTTTTTTTACCATATTTCGCATCAGACTTCCGTGATGAAATATGGTAGAATACGTTACTATTGGAGCCTAAAATCGTGTGATAGTGAAATAATTACTTCCAAATGGGTCTAGCGACTTGTACAGGGTGAATTAGCTTTTTTCGAAATAATTTTTTTTACCGTATTTCGCATCAGACTTCCGTGATGAAATATGGTAGGATACGTTACTATTGAAGCCTAAAATCGTGTGATAGCGAAATAATCACTTCCAAATGGGTCCAGCGACTTGTACAGGGTGAATCAGCTTTTTTCGAAATCATTTTTTTTACCATATTTCGCATCAGACTTCCGTGATGAAATATGGTAGGATACGTTACTATTGAAGCCTAAAATCGTGTGATAGCGAAATAATTACTTCCAAATGGGTCCAGCGACTTGTACAGGGTGAATCAGCTTTTTTCGAAATATTTTTTTTTACCGTATTTCGCATCAGACTTCCGTGATTAAATATGGTAGGTTACGTTACTATTGAAGCCTAAAATCGTGTGTCGTGAGAACGACAATGTGCCAAAATGATACAGCTCACCCTTTGTGAATTGCACAGTTGAAACAAAACACTCCGTTCATAAAATGTCGAAAACGGTTCGACTTGAAGTTATGAAGTTCACAGTGATAGTGGAAAGAATTTACCCTATTGTCTCATCGCTGATGTCACTAGAGTGGGGGCGTTAATTGCACTGATTCGCTGAAAATTGTAAACAAAAAAGGAAAGGATGGCGGCGAATTTCGAAAAGATTTATTTTATATACAACATTTATAAATCCGCTGTACCTATCACTCTTATATCATCTTAATAATTAAATTCCATGGAAAGATAGCCATTGAATGTTTGATTGTAAATAAAATAAGCTACTATTTCAATAGATTTTCTGTCTGTGTCCGTTCGTCTGCTATTTACAGGGTGTTTGACAACTTATATATCCGACAAATTTCAAGTATATGAGAAGTCGGTTACACACAAAAAAAAAATTTCCATCTTTTATAGAAAGGAAAGTGTTCACTTTTTCTGTTAGACTTTTATTATTACATGTTTTATGTGTAATTACATATGACTTATTCTTATATCATAGATCTAAATACACACGACCTTATATGTAACAGCACTTTATTATCGATACCTGTATCTGGTGGAAATTTGTCGGATGAGTTGTTTAGGAACTAAGAGTAGCATGCTGTACAAGTCGCTGGACCCATTTGGAAGTAATTATTTCGCTATCACACGATTTTAGGCTTCAATAGTAACGTATCCTACCATATTTCATCACGGAAGTCTGATGCGAAATATGGTAAAAAAAATGATTTCGAAAAAAGCTGATTCACCCTGTACAAGTCGCTGGACCCATTTGGAAGTAATTATTTCGCTATCACACGATTTTAGGCTTCAATAGTAACGTATTCTACCATATTTCATCACGGAAGTCTGATGCGAAATATGGTAAAAAAAATGATTTTGAAAAGAGCTAATTCACCCTGTACAAGTCGCTGGACCCATTTGGAAGTGATTATTTTGCTATCACACTATTCTAGGCTTCAATAGTAACGTAACCTACCATATTTAATCACGGAAGTCTGATGCGAAATACGGTAAAAAAAATTATTTCGAAAAAAGCTGATTCACCCTGTACAAGTCGCTGGACCCATTTGGAAGTAATTATTTCGCTATCACACGATTTTAGGCTTCAATAGTAACGTATCCTACCATATTTCATCACGGAAGTCTGATGCGAAATATGGTAAAAAAAATGATTTCGAAAAAAGCTGATTCACCCTGTACAAGTCGCTGGACCCATTTGGAAGTAATTATTTCGCTATCACACGATTTTAGGCTTCAATAGTAACGTATTCTACCATATTTCATCACGGAAGTCTGATGCGAAATTTGGTAAAAAAAAATGATTGTGAAAAAAGCTAATTCACCCTGTACAAGTCGCTGGACCCATTTGGAAGTGATTATTTCGCTATCACACTATTCTAGGCTTCAATAGTAACGTAACCTACCATATTTAATCACGGAAGTCTGATGCGAAATATGGTAAAAAAAATTATTTCGAAAAAAGCTGATTCACCCTGTACAAGTCGCTGGACCCATTTGGAAGTAATTATTTCGCTATCACACGATTTTAGGCTTCAATAGTAACGTATCCTACCATATTTCATCACGGAAGTCTGATGCGAAATATGGTAAAAAAAATGATTTCGAAAAAAGCTGATTCACCCTGTACAAGTCGCTGGACCCATTTGGAAGTAATTATTTCGCTATCACACAATTTTAGGCTTCAATAGTAACGTATTCTACCATATTTCATCACGGAAGTCTGATGCGAAATATGGTAAAAAAAATGATTTTGAAAAAAGCTAATTCACCCTGTACAAGTCGCTGGACCCATTTGGAAGTGATTATTTCGCTATCACACTATTCTAGGCTTCAATAGTAACGTAACCTACCATATTTAATCACGGAAGTCTGATGCGAAATACGGTAAAAAAAATTATTTCGAAAAAAGCTGATTCACCCTGTACAAGTCGCTGGACCCATTTGGAAGTAATTATTTCGCTATCACACGATTTTAGGCTTCAATAGTAACGTATCCTACCATATTTAATCACGGAAGTCTGATGCGAAATACGGTAAAAAAAATTATTTCGAAAAAAGCTGATTCACCCTGTACAAGTCGCTGGACCCATTTGGAAGTAATTATTTCGCTATCACACGATTTTAGGCTTCAATAGTAACGTAACCTACCATATTTAATCACGGAAGTCTGATGCGAAATATGGTAAAAAAAATGATTTCGAAAAAAGCTGATTCACCCTGTACAAGTCGCTGGACCCATTTGGAAGTAATTATTTCGCTATCACACGATTCAAGGCTTCAATAGTAACGTATTCTACCATATTTCATCACGGAAGTCTGATGCGAAATTTGGTGAAAAAATGATTTTGAAAAAAGCTAATTCACCCTGTACAAGTCGCTAGACGCATTTGGAAGTAATTATCTCGCTATCACACGATTTTAGGCTTCAATAGTAACGTATTCTACCATATTTCATCACGGAAGTCTGATGCGAAATATGGTAAAAAAAAATGATTTTGAAAAAAGCTAATTCACCCTGTACAAGTCGCTGGACCCATTTGGAAGTGATTATTTCGCTATCACACTATTCTAGGCTTCAATAGTAACGTAACCTACCATATTTAATCACGGAAGTCTGATGCGAAATAGGGTAAAAAAAATTATTTCGAAAAAAGCTTATTCACCCTGTACAAGTCGCTGGACCCATTTGGAAGTAATTATTTCACTACCATACGATTCAAGTCTTCAAAAGTAACGTAACCTACTATATTTAATCACGGAAGTCTGATGCGAAATATGGTAAAAAAAATGATTTTGAAAAAAGCTAATTCACCCTGTACAAGTCGCTGGACCCATTTGGAAGTAATTATTTCGCTATCATACGATTCTAGGCTTCAACAGTAAAGGACCCTACTAAGTATTATTATAAAAGTCTGATGGGAAGTATGAAAAAAAAGTATGTTGTATAGTGATGCAATTTCAATTAAAGTAGAAGTAGAAAGTAATTGAATCATGAAAGAATGGCCGCCCGCCACTGGTATAGTCTGTCGGGTAAGTTCGGAAATTTTAGCAGCCAGCTTTGGCAGCCAAAATCACATTGGTCTTGTGATACCATGTTCTTATTGATCATTTCAGTTTTTTTCATCACTTTTATTGCATACATCACTTCCGTGTTGTTCTTTTTGTATCCTAAGAAAACTTTACCAAATGCACCACGACTTATTGGTTTAATAATTACAAAATCGTTTATATCAGGTCGTTTTGTTATATTATTCGCCTTTTCTAGCTCTTCCGACATTTGTTCACTGGCCATTATGAATAAATATACTTTTTAAAATGAAGAAACAATAAACTTTGCTTTGATTGGAATAAATCCTCCAGTTGTTGGTTCAGAATTGATTATTGATTATGACATATGACAATTCCAAATTTTCTCACCTTATGAAAACTCTGCTGCAAATACATGTTATTTCTTCTAAATAGTCATGCTTTTTCAAGTGAATTTCAGCCAGAACGTCCCATTGAGATTCACACATATTCAGCGGACACTTTTCGTAACTAGTAATTTATAATTTGATATTTAATTTTATAATTTTACACATTCCTCCCCTAAAATATAAAAACAAACCTAAGTACCAAGAACAAAAATTCATGTTGTCATATCTGTCGTCCGTCAAAGAAAATTGTTACCCTTCTCCACAGAACTAAATACTAAATACTGTGCTCAACTGTGCTTTAGTTCTGTGGTTGGCTCACGTCCACCGACCACCGACTCATCACCTCATCACTCAGCTAGACTGCTAGCAAAGGATAGTTAACCTACTATTCTTTGATAGTAGATTAATGTAGACTGGAAACGCTTCTGCTCAACACGCAAGAATCCCCAAGCTGTTGTTCATGACTTTGACGTGGTTTAGACGTGGTATCGAAATCAACCTTTGTCCTTTGTATCCATTCTTTTGATAGGCGGCGGCAAGGCGGATGGCGTTGTCTCAAGTGTTATTCATGTCAGTGATCGGCATATAAAAATATTATATCAAATTAAGTGGTGATATTAATTTTTTCGTTTTATTTTCGCCAATCCTAGAAAATATGAAGTGGTTTGTTCTTTGCTGTAAGAATTCCATGATCAATAATACTAAACGAATTTTTTTATCGGTGAGTTTGTGGGTATATTTTATAATTTATTATTTTATATAGTCCTGTCTTGGACTTAATTAGGTGGGTACTGATATATAACAGGACACATATATAACAAATCATATGTTCTGAAAAAGAAGGTACAAAATGAAAGAATTTTTCTTACCTAATTTGATTAAATTTTCTCATTCCGGTGAAAAATGTGGATGTAATACCTTTGTACCCAGCGAATATTTTAGTTCCATTACTAATGTCAGCCAAGTTCAATTTCATCATATCATCTTGCATGAATTTATCAAGCTGCCCCGGGATTTCAAGTTTTACGGTTTACGGACATTGGGGTATCTGTCAAGAATGTTAAGTAGGGTAGATACCAGTGTTATGTTAACACCATGATACTAAAACTGGTTTTAGTATCATGTGTTAACACTGGTATTTGACTGGAGCCAAATATTAGATGACGGTGCGGGAACTGTCTGCAGGCACTCGTAACCAGCCACTCGTCAGCAGTCATCAGTGTCAGTTGTCCCTAGTTTCAGATATCAGATGTCATGTCTCATTCAAGACTCATGACAGTCATGACTCATGTCACTCATGTCAGGCCACGACGGATCTGACGGAAGTGCACCCATTGAGCAATTGAGAAAATTCGTATTTTCTTCTAAAATCAACGTCAGCGGGGAAAATAGAGAAGAAAAACTAGAAGTAGTGATTCCTGAGGTATGAAATGAATAAGTGCCTTCGATCATCTATTACATAAGCTATTATTTTCAGCTTCTACAAGCCACCTATTCCTTCTACACCTGGCCTTCTGCTCCTGTGTTAGCGTGGTTTCTCTGGGAAAACCGACAGGAGCTGCCAGGAAAATACGTTGTAGAACTCGGTTCAGGAACTGCTCTACCAGGGATAGTAGCTGCAAAATTGGGAGCAAGAGTCACACTCAGTGAATCTGCTACTCTACCAAAGTCTTTAGCTCATACCAAAAGGTGTTGTCAACAGAATAAGTTGGTTATCAATCAGGATATAAGGGTTATTGGACTGACTTGGGGTTTATTTTTGAGTAATTTGGAATCAATTGGACCAGTAGATATTATATTAGGTTCAGATTGTTTCTTTGAGCCTGCAAACTTTGAAGACATCTTAGTTACTGTGGCATATCTTTTAGAGTCAAACATAGATGCTAAGTTCCTTTGCACATATCAAGAACGCAGCTCTGACTGGTCCATTGAACACTTATTATCTAAGTGGGGTTTACAGTGTGTAGTTCATGATATCAATAATTTGGGGGTCAGTGTTGGTTTGAATATTCATGATTTGATAGGTGATCATAGCATTCATTTACTGGAAATTACTAGAAAATCTTGAATACAAGTTATGGCCTCTAATGCTGTTCGCAATCTGTACAAATTGTATGTTGGAAATTTGCCATGGACTGTGGGTCACAGGGAATTGAAACAATACTTCAGTAAATTTGGTCACCTAAATCAAGCTTTAGTTGTTTTTGACAAAAAAACAGGGTTATCAAAAAACTATGGTTTCATCACTTTTAGTACCAGAGAAGGTTTGGAAAATGCCACCAAGGAACAATTGCATAAACTAGAAGGAAATACTATCAAACTGCAGCCTGCTAATAATACAAACTAATGAAAATGGCTAGTAGTGTAGATAACTTTAGTGATTTGCAAGAATTAGGTATTGATATTAATGAACCTTATGATAAACAGACCCAAGAATTTTTTCAAGCTGCTGATCATTTGCAGAAATTATTACCCACTGTAGATAATCAAACTCTGCTTACCTTGTATGGGTATTACAAACAAGGTACAGAGGGACCTTGCATGACCCCAAAACCAAGCTGGTATGACATGCGTGCCAAGTCAAAATGGGAAGCTTGGAAAAAATTAGAAAATATGCCACAAGGTGATGCCAAAATTTTGTACACAGAAACTATAAAAAAAATAGATCCAACCTTCAACAAATCTTCAAATGAAAATTCAATCCACCAACAAGGGGTCAGAGTTTCTGCCATGAAAACTGAAGAAATTTCCACTTGTGACTTTACTATAGTAGATCACATAAAAAAGGGCAACTTTAAAGAAGTTCAAAATTACTTGAAAATGAATTCAGCTTCTATAAATAACTTGGATAGTGAGGGTTTGGCTCTAGTACATTGGGCAACTGATTGTGGAGACCTGAACATACTCAAAATGTTGATAAATTCAGGTGCTGATATAAATTCAGTGGATGAAGATGGACAGACTGCATTGCACTATGCAGCTAGTTGTGGACATGCTGATTTGGTACAGTTTTTGGTAGAGAATGGGGCTGAATTTAAATCACTTGATAATGAAGGAAATAGTGCATTGGATGTAGCTGCAGATGATGGAATAAGACATTTACTGCTTAAGTAATTCTTGGTCACAATTTTGTAAAATGTTAGATTATTAAATGTTAATATTTCATCTGCTTATCCTTATTCCTTTTTCAATATTGATATTTTTTTCTGATAAAGCAATGGTTTACCCAGTGTCACCCACTCATGGTTTACCCCCCTTTTTCCCATTTGTTTTTCTAGCTATATTCCTGAAATTTGGATCATGGAATATGTTCACTAAAGGGCAATTTTTCACATAATCCTATTGTTTTTTTTATATAACTTTATATTTTCTAATGATTATGAAGATATTTGCCTTAAAAGTTTCCATATGATCAATGAGTGTGGAAGATATGGAAGTTTCTATATTGCCATCACACCCATTGGACACTTCCAATGCAAATATCTTCATAATGATATGAAATAACCCAATCAAACCCAGTATTGTTGAAGTCCTTATTAATGAAAAAATATTCATAAAATGTGAGTAAGTGTCCTCTAGTGAGCATATTCAATGTTCCAAATTTCAGAAATATAGCTCAAAAAACAGGAGTCTGTGTCACCTGGTTTTTGAATTCAATTATTCAGTAACTGAATATTCATTTATTTAATAACCAAATATTGAAAGGAAATAGTTTTTTATCATTAGCTCAAATTGGAGCAAACACTTCAGGAGGTAGGTATGTACCAATTCAAAGAATGTATGCAAGATATTAAAATTTTAGCTCATTTTTATCTAAAAATGTTTGGAACATTTAACATTTCATCTTATTTGAATTTCTCAACTTTTCCTTCTCATCTTTTGATTACACAAATTGTTATTGATAAATACATCAACATTAATTTGAATAGCAATTTGTTACTTGAACTTTGAGAAATATTTGTTTTGAATGGAATTTTGGTTTATTTTGCTTAAAATTATAAAATTTGTGTTTCATATCATTTTTTCCAATAAGAGAAGTGGATTCATACTCATTGTCATCATTATCCAAAATGTAACCTAAATATTCTTAATAATATGCAGGAAAGTATTTGATTAATGTTTTGGCTAGATATGAAAAAAATAATTACAATAAATAACTATAAATTGCAAGGACAGATTATTGATATTCCATCACAGAATATTCCACAGTAGATAATTCTTGAAAAAGAATTTTGAATCCATGAAAATAATGAATCAAGAGAAAATAATATATAACACATATCTATTTTTTTATTTTTTATACCAAAATACATTAAAAAAATAAATATAAAAAATTGAACATACATGGACAGTTTAAAAACAACATAAGAAATCATGTTAAAAAAGTTAATACTGCAAAATATTAAATTAAAAAGACATTAGAATACTTCACATACTCTTTCTCTTGATTCTTCTTCCTTTCCTATAACCCTTCCCAAACCACCCAGCTTGAATTTTGCCTTTAATTTGTTCTTTATCATCTTCCAAATCATCATCAGTAGAATAATTACAACATAAACATACTAATTCCTTTTCCCTTTTTTCAATCTTACTATACTTGAATTCTTGCTTGACAAATACTGGTTCAGACTTGGTATAAAATAAACATTTTGAGGAATTAAATTCTGATTTGCAAAAATCACACATTGCTTCAATTTTCACATATTCTTGTTTGGAAGGAATGAAATAATCCTGAGAGGGATTGATAATACTGTGTAAGCCAGAATACAAGAAACTAGTTTGATAAGGATACAAAAAAATGTCTAGTTCACTATAATTGAAATAAGACTTGAAAAAATATTTATCCTGAACACTGTTGGGTGTATCACTAGTAATGTCTTCATTTTGTGAAGGAAGACAACTATTGCTAATAGTATCACAGTTTACAGAAGTTGATTTTGTCTCATGGAGATCAGAACAGTCTTTATTTTGTACTAAATTGACATATTCCCCCTTCAAAAATGGCTGGGTAGTTGTATGTAGCTCTAGTTCATGCAAATCAGAGGCATGGGCATACAAAGGATCCCTCATTCTCCTATAGCTGGGCACAGGAATACCCAATATTTCCATTACTATTTTCATAACTTTGTCACACTTGCCATTTACTTTGACATTAGCAAAATCATCTTTGGGGGTCCACTGTAAATTGACTATATAAAGATTAGGTCTTTTTTTGATTGGCTTGTCCATCTGCCATAGCCAAGGGTATTTCTTCAGCACTTTTAGACTGGACCCAAAACAAAAAATGGTTGTAGCTTGATTTGCATTCTTACAGGCCCCTGTCCAGTTCAAGGGCCACTGTAAGTTGCCACGTTCACCAAAATGCACTATTGTATCTACTAATGGGCCATTGCAGATGTAACATTTTCTATAAGTCTTATGGGAGTATCTAGCAGTATTTTCTGTGACATCAAAACATCTCCAGTATTCCCTGTGAGGTTTACAATGTTTGCAGACTTCTATATACATGTTGCCATGTAGCTCAGATAGAGCTGTACGAGGTAAACCTGAACGTAAGTGGAGACCATCACAGTTTTGAGAGACCACATATTTTAGGATTTTCTTGTGGTAGAGTTCTGCTAAAGCCATATGGGTATAGGTTGGTTCTGCAAGGCTCAAATCATGGTTGCTAAAAAATTATTGTTCTATTACTATCTCACTGTCATCTCCATAATTTCATAACAATAACAACTATAAGACTAAGATTGATAATAGCATTAGTTCATAGAGATGAATAAATCAATCTTGGTGAATTTCTAGTACTAGTTGTAGTGTTCTACAAATATTTTTACATCCATATATAATATTCAGTAACCACAAAAAATGATAGGCTGAAGAGTCCACAAAATTACATAATTTAAGCCAGGCTAGAGGGAGATATAAATGTGAAAATTCATAATTTAGCTTACCCTATTTCTTTTCCTTGCTGAAGTCTAGTCCATATTCCATTTGAACCTCTATAATCTGGTATCTTGGCTGCAGTACTGATTCCAGCTCCTGTATAAACAACTAGATGCTGTGATTGAGCTATTGCTTGGGCCAAAATATGACATTTTTCAATCAAAACATCATCTGGATCTTCCAATTCTTCTAGCCTACGTTTAGCCTCATCTCTTCTTTTCCATCTATCTTGGAGTTCATTAACCATTTCCTGGGACTCCATTAAAGTTTGATTATCTTCCAAAGTTCTATCAGATTCCAGTTTTTGGAGAATAGCTGCCACCTGAAAATGGAAAATGAGAGAATGTACAGCTGAATTTACAAAATTTGGTTACCTTTTTGAGGGACGCATTTCTTTCATCTTTGGCACAAATTTTTCTCGGGGATTTCACAACCTGTCTACGGGGTAGTTTACATCTCTTAGCACAAGTTTCTTCGATTTCTGCAGTATTCAACTTTTCATCGCAGTTCCAATCATCTCCCATTGTTTTGTTTTCATTGAATTCCATGAAAAATTAAAACCCCTTCCAATTCTGAATGATTTTGTTTCTTTTTTCTTCACATCTTCAGCTTCACATCATCACAATAACAATCACGAACACATCACATCTTTAAACTATTCATATCACAGAATGCCTGGGTATTATGTTCCGTAAATCAACTTGGTTATTTTGGTTAGTAGTTTTCCGTTCCGTAAATATGAAATGTTTGGTTGGTTCCTGAAAAAAAGGTGATTCAAGGAACGCGGTTGCTGTTGCTGAAAAGCGGTAGATTCACTGTCACCAGAACGACCGTCGATTTTCTCTGGTAAGTTCGGTAAGTTTGAGTTGACGTTGACGTGTTTTGGTTTTTGGTTTGATTCTTCGATTCACAAGTTCACAACAATCTCACCGAACTTACCTATAATCTACGGTCGTTCTTGTGACAGTGAATCTACTGCTTTTTCAGCAATCGAGTTTTGTAAATAACACTTTTTTCAGGAACCAACCGAACATTTCATATTTACGGAACGGAAAACTACTAACCGAAATAACCAAGTTATTTACGGAACATACCCATAGTGGGTGACGTCACTTGACCTCGATCTTTGAAGTTTGAACGTTTGAACAGTTTGAAGATTCAGCGATCGGCGTTCTCAACTTCTCATTCAAATTCTTAATTATTCTCTGAATACCATTCAGATTTGTGTCACCATAAGTACCATTACCCTAATTTGCTTGCCTTTTATTGCCTTATAATTAGACTGAGGAACAGCCTCAGGGTTTGAGAATTTTCAATAGTTCAATAGTGCGAGAAAGTTCAAATTGAAATGCTTTCTTTCATTTTCAATGTGCAATGTAGGGATGTGAATGAATATATTTTCTTGGAAGTCATCAGATTATTATGGTAATTGCTGAATACAAACAATATAAACTGACATTGCTTGCTGAGACCATAAGATGTTCAAATCAAAACGAAGAAGAACCAGTGGTGCAATGGATTCCAAACCAGCAAAAAAAGAATCCATAGAGGCTATCATAGTAGATAGTGGAGCATATAGTATCAAAGCTGGCCTATCATCCATTAAAAAACCTAATGTGATACCAAACTGTATCATGAAAGCAAAATCAGAAAGAAAACGACTATTCCTAGGTAATCAAATAAATGATTGTAGAGACTGTTCTGGTCTGTACTTCCTTCTACCTTGTGAAAAAGGATATATCACCAAATGGGATGTTCAGAAACCTGTCTGGGACTATGTCTTCAGCCATAATGTATGCCCTATCAATGAAAAACCAGTCATCATGACCCAACCTTTGTTCAATTTCAAATCTATTCAAGATTGTATGGATGAAATTTTTTTTGAGGAGTATGAGGTACCATCTATGTTCAGATTGAACCCTACAGATTTAGGTAGATTAAAGTATATAGAAGACAATAACTTTACACAAGATGTACCCTGTATCATTGTTGATACTGGATACAGCTTCACAAACATTATTCCTTATATTAATGGAAACAAGTATTTGAGAGGCATTAGAAGATTAAATGTTGGTGGAAAGCTACTGACAAATCATATGAAAGATATAATTTCATATAGGCAGTACAATGTCATGGAAGAAACTTTTGTCATTAATCAAGTAAAAGAAGACACATGTTATGTAGCAAAAAATATATTAGAAGAGCTCAAAGTGGCTGCTAAATCTGGAAGTGAAAATACAATTGTGAAAAATTATGTGTTACCAGATTTCAATAATATAAGAAGGGGTTACATTCAAGACAGTAGTGATCTTTCTAGAAAAGAATATGAAGATAATTGCCAGATATTGAGGTTGAACAATGAAAGATTCATTGTACCAGAAATATTGTTTCACCCATCTGATATTGGTATGAAATGTATGGGCATTGCAGAAGCAGTGGTAAAATCAATATATTCATGTCCAAATGAATACCAAGAAGAGTTATGTAAGCACATAATTCTCATTGGAGGCAACTGTAATTTTCCTGGCTTCAAAGAAAGAATGTATAATGAGTTGAGATCACAGCTACCACACTCATGGCAAGTTCATGTTTTCCAGCCAAAAAATCCTGTTTCATATAACTGGGAGGGAGGTAGCTCTTTACTAAAAGTACCTGACTTCAAAACATACATGGTCACAAAAGCAGAATATGAAGAATTGGGTTCTACAATCATCCAGCAAAGATTCAACACTTGGATGATTGATAATTCTGAAATTAAAGAAGAAACTAGAGAGAAAGAAGAAATATTGAGTTATCTTGATAATTTGAAGGATAAGAGTGTTTTTGGAAAGCAGGAACCAGGTGAAAATGTTTCCAAAACTGATAGTGATGAATCTGATACAAATATCCAAACTAGTGATGGTAATATGAATAATACTGGTCAAAATGTCTCTGATGAAAACAATCAAGATAGTTTGTGTCATAATTCTGAAACTGATATAGGAAGTAAATTGAAGAAAACACAACTGAAAACTAATGAAAATGCTACAGAAACTCTTGATGAGTTTTACTTAGAGGAAGAAGAATGTGAGGATTTGAGAAACTCAGTTGATCTTTTTCCCTTGGGAAATGGATCATATTTATAATATCATGTATGTGTATAATAATTTCTTCCAAATTTAAATGTTTTAAAATATTCTGGAATTATTATTATGGGAAATCAATATTCCTGAAGTACCTATCTACTATAGGTATGTATACTTAAGATTTGTTTTGATGAAAATATTTGGAAATCTAACCGTTTTCCACTGGAGTGAAATTATGCACTACCTATAGGCATATCATATGGGAAACACTTGTAATAATAATTTATTTCAAAATTCGACTTGAGCAGTTGAGCATTGAGTTCTGCTATAAAAATATGAAAAATGGACTACTTGATGGTCGGGGAAATAATTTATTTCAAAATTCGACTTGGGCATTGAGTTTTGCTATAAAAAAATATGAGAAATGGACTACTCTGGGTCAGGGACTTTCGTTTTTCCAATTTTACATAATTATGTGCCTGGAATTTGAACATTCTATTGAAACTTTTAGTTTTGTGATATTCTTTCAATATCTAAAAAATGTCTGTAAGTTTAAAAAAATAACATGCATCAACAAAACTCTTTCATTCTAATAGATTTATCATGCTAGGTACACTTTCAATATCACTAAATTATGGATAAAAATAGTATTTCTTTCAGAATATGATAATCCCTGCTTCAAATTTGTGTTATGTCTGATTCAAAGTTGATGTGTGATGAATTGTCCATCATTCAGGACTTTCAGGAGCGAAATTTATTTGAATAGATTTTTTGATATATATATCACAAGTGAATAAAATAATTTCATGAATGACATTGTTCATCAAAACTTTCAAGCCGTAGGCGAGAAGTTTTGAATCAATGATCATGCAATTGCATGAGCGAAATATTAGCAGTAAGGATGAGTATGTTGATCTACGAATATTTCCAGGAAAACTGGAAAAATAGCATCACCAGTCGTGAGATGTATTCCTATGAATATTTCATATTTCATGATTGATACAAATTGATACAAATACAATGATACAATATAAACGAGCGTCTCGCGAGAGCTGCGCACACTTCATCCATAATTCTGACTTCCTACATAATTGATGTAATAAACGTCGAAGATTTTATCGATAAAAATCGAGGTTGGTTGGGCGTTGGGCACGTGTGGATCAAGCCATTGTAGAGCAAGTCCGATAAATTTCAGTAAACAAAAATATCGCTGGAATGCAGGAGAATCCGTGAAAATGGTTGATTCTCATCGGTTCTCGAGAACAAGACATTTCAATGAGGATTTTGTGGCCTGGAAATTGAACGAAAAAAATTGCCTTCAAGTCCGTAGTACGAGTAATTTTGTCTGGCAGTTTTTTGAGTTTAATTTCTTAAAGGCAACAAAACTCCAATTTCAAATCCTAAGTTTCCTTCGACCCAAAAAATACTTGAGTGTAGTTCGGTAAGACCACAGTATACACCCTCATAAGGGTGTATACTGTGGTAAGACAATTTAATGAATGCGTGAATCACATTTTTGTTAATAGTTTCTTTATTTCTCCACTTCAGATCGCGCCATTTGCACAGATTATATACTATTCTAAAAATGCAGGATTGAGAAAGTTTGACATTTGCTCCATCAGAGATTCGTTCACCGACTGGTTGTCATGGTTCCGAAAGTTTGGTTCCGTTTTGTCGCTGGAAAACTTAGGGCAAAGTTTTTTCGCTTTCATTGTATGACAAAATCACAGCGGTTTATAGGATTTTTTATACATGAGTTAAATTGTCAGTACTAATGATGCCAAAGTCAAATCTATCAAAATATCATCAAACTACGCATAAGGTACCTATATAGTGTAAAATTGGAATGGTAACATCTTTTCTTGGTAAACTTCTTTGATATTCGAGTCAATTTTCATTGATCAATTTGAAAAATGCAACTAGCTTTTTTGTAGCAAAAGTCACGTGACTTCGACCGAGTAGGCCATTTTTCATCTTTATTGAAGCAAAACTGCAATAATATGATGCATGAAAACGTTGGTCCATTGCAGCTCGATGACTTCGTGATATTTTCATGATAAATAAAGACAAACAACATTCAGTGCGGAAAATTTCAGAGCTATAGTGCAATAGCTATTTACCTAATAACAAGTGCCGCGGAAAGTAGTACTTTTCCGCACGCGACAACAGTTGCATGAACGAACGCGGAGTGGAGTTCGGGCAAGTCGTCAAGAGCGGAAAAGACATTTTCCGCAAGAGTTACTTACATACTAGTGTTTTTGTCCATATTATTTATGAAAAGAAAGGTTTTTAATAAACAATATTGTATAATGATGCAACAAAATGACACAAGACAGAATAGTTACATGGATCATTTAGTTAGTCCTTAATATCCTTATTTTCAATAATACAAAAATTGTGCGAAAAAGTAACTTTTCAGCACTAGTACGGTAAAGTAACTTTTCCGCACGATATTTTGATGCACTGAAAAATAATGAAATAGATTTGTTTTTCATCGATATAATAAGAAACGTATTTGAAGAACATTTGAATAACAATAACTAAAACATTAACGATGGTAAATATTGAAATTGAAAGTGCAATTTATGTTTGTTGCATGCTGTAATATAGCAGTTGCCGCAACATCTTGAAGAACGTCGTTTCTTATTTGAATTTGATTGGTTAGTGTTTCCATCAATTATTTCCGTCGTTTTTGATAAATACCTACTAGATTCGAGTGCCATTCCTGTGAATATCGCATCAGACCAGTGGATTCGGCCATTGTCTGCTAAATATGGAAAAAAATCTAGTGAGCTGGACAATGATTCGGGTTAATTATTATTAACAGAGGTGCCTATGTCTTTATTGACTAGTGTTTCATAAAATGACGAAAACATACCTTGGTAATAAAAACACACTTTACGCTTTCAAAAGGTTCTATAGATAGCGGTGAAAAATTTAGTATAATTGTTTAACGAGCACGGAATGATAGTGATTTCCTACGAGAATGAAGTTTGCAGCATGATCCGTAGAGAGGGAAACTAGCATTCTGTGCGAGTTATACACTATTATTTTTTTACGGCTGTAACAAATAACAGTGACATTCATTTCTTGACCATTGTCGTTCTAGATGACAACCTAGTTATGTAGTTAGTAGACGAGAGTTGAGAGTTATAATATTACACCTCCTCGCACTTGGTCGCCTATTAGGTTTTCATTTAGATCGACGATGATTAGACAGAGCTGTCATTGCTTGAAATTTCACATATTCTCTGGGTGATGAGATTTTTCTGAAAAAAAAACATGAATATAACACAATAGTCATTGTGAATTTGTGATATCTCCTCATGCGGAAATTAAATTGATGACATACAAAGTACCTCATTGATGTATCAAACCCAGTAAAATGAGAGCGATTTTGTGTTATAGCCGTAGAAAAATGTCATCGGATGCTTTCGATAAAAATTATTCGTAGCCTGAGTAATGGCGGCTAAATATCTAGACGCTTTAGTGCGGATTCCATATGCCATTAACCATTACTAACCATAACGGGTCCCTTGAACCATTACTGAGATGTTTACCATTACTAATCTTGAGTGACAAATGACTTGACAGAACGGAAGTCGTCATTTTCATATGACAGTAAACAAGTTAAAAAAAAGGGAAATATCTTCAAGCTCATAGCATAGCTCATCCATTTGAGAAGAAACAAATACCTATAAACCTATATAAGAAAAGTCATCAATAAAATGACGTTAGAAACAATTCCCAGAGACTTAAGGGGCCTTCGAGCATGTCTTGTTTGTTCACTAATAAAATCTTTCGAGCAGTTCGAAAATGAAGGATGTGACAATTGTGATGAATTCTTGCATATGAAAAGCAACCATGATAATGTATATGATTGTACGAGTTCCAATTTTGATGGAATGATATCTCTAATGAGCCCTGAGGATAGTTGGGTGGCCAAATGGCAGAGAGTCAACAGATTCTGTAGAGGAGTTTATGCTATATCTGTTTCTGGAAGGTTGCCTAATAGCATAATTAGAGATATGAAGACTAGAGGTATTGTTTACAAAAGCAGAGACACCAGTCAGAGATAGTGCATATTTCTTGTTTGCTAATAGTATGATTATTCCAAAATGATTCACCATTAAGTCTTCAATGGCATTTCATCAATTATTTGTCCACTCTTTCAGATTTCCAAACTATAAATAAATAAATTTAATGTACAGGTATGTTTTCATTTCATTAATTCATCCATAGGAGAATACAAAGTCAAAGAATTTGAAATAGTATAGAAATAGCCACAGAAATAACTTATCACATATCATCAAGCTCAAAGTTTGGAGGAGAAATTTGAATTATATTTTTAGGTAAATGGTCCTTGATGATGAACCTCTTATCATTGGGTTCCAAGATAGTTTTGAGATATCCAAACCAATATAATATCATGCCAGAACCAAACCTAGAAATGATGAAATACAAAATTAAGTTTGCTATTACAAGATTTCAAATTGTTGAGGTACCCACCTGTTCCAATAACTCAGATACTGATTTTTCATATAATCCCTATGAATATCTTCATCCCCAAATAGAGCCTTGCTTTCTATCCAGTTGACAACAAATCCATCAATTATTATGGGTACATCTAGCTTACAGTCTGGTGTTTTGTCATAACCATGTTTTCTTAGATGTTCCTCATCTCTGAAACCCAGACCAAGGTTCATTACTTCTTTATACAGCTTTATTTCATACTGTTGGCCTAGGGAACTGAAAGTCAAATATTGTAATCCAATTACTTATTGTTTTCTAAATATCAGTTAGTACATACCTTCTCATGGACTCTGTCAAAGGGCTATAAATGTTATCATAAAGTGTACACTGTAATGCAAGAAAATGTAGTTTTTATCACCATCAAGGATTATTAGTGAACACCTACTAAAAAAACTTCAGCAGCTAAATGCATATCAGGAATGAGGGTTGTATCACGTAAATATATGTTGATATTGGATAGAGGCACATCTTCACAACAATGTTCCTTCTCAAAATATTGGTTCAAAATGACTTTTGCTAACAAACAAGGTGATGTATCAAACTTTTCTGCCATTCGGACTATAGTACCTAATTTATCACAGTTTTCAATGGATTTTTGATAAATTTCCCAAAACTTTTGTTGATTCATTTGTGATCTCGGATGATTGATTTTCATCCTATTTCTAATTTCCAATGCCAGAATACTGTATAAAGTGTCATAGCTCTGACTGAAATAATAAAAGGAAAATATTTCTACATGTTATTACTCCAGAAAAATGATACCATACTTTGGATATGTTTTCAGTAAAAGCTTCATACAATTTTGAGAAAGGCCTTGGTATTCTTTGATGCTTGCAACTATATTTTTATATACTACAGCATCCATGCTCTTGAAACTTATATTAACGGTGCAAAGACTGCAAGGAAGCAAAATGGCAAATTGTAAAGTCAAAATCAAATCAAATTGTCAAAATACTCCAAATAATGATAGAATCTTCTTCCCTTCAGTTTGAATGGCCTTAGCTGCCTGGGCTATCTGGCCAAATAATGATAGAAAGATAGAATAGGTTATTGAGAGATCTACTCTTTTCGGTGGCTTTCTGCCTGTAATTCGACGGTTCGTCCACGAGTGAACACTGACCAAGTGAACAAGAGGCACAAGGTTCTTCTTATTTACTGGCGTTCGTCTCTTGACACAACCGTACCCTGTGTGCTGCTCTGGATTTGTGTTCTGTGTCTTCTGTCTAGCTGTCAGCTCAGCTGTCTGGATAATGAATGCAACGTTTCGTTTCTGTGGTTTCGTAACCATTTTTCTTGATATTCTGAAACTTGGCAGCATTTGTTAGCAGCCCTGTTTCAGCAAAAATAAATGTTTCCCTAGCAGTCTTACAACATTTAAAAGGTAAAAATCTCAAATATCCCAAATAACATAATTTGAATTTATCGAAAACGTATTTCACAAAATGCTTCTTGCTATCAAAATATGTATGGGTTCGCCTCAATTCAGTGGTTTCAAAGAAAGTGCCGTCGTTTTATTATGGAAAAGACCTTTTACTCGGCTTTTTATAGAATGTTATTATAATGTTACCTCTACCTTTTTTCTTATAGAATAATGTCTATTGAGACTTACTCATGCCAGATATGCACTGTGGAAGGTCTTAGGGACAATCATTGTGTCCTAATTTTCAACAATGAAGTAAGTTATTCAATTCTTTATGAAATTAGCTTTAATTATATTTTGTACTTTAGTTCAGATCTAGTTCTAATGAAGATATAGCAACACTTATTAAGAAGCTCTTGTCCAGAGATTTGACAGAAGACCCAAGTATCACACAAGTTATTTGCAAGAAATGTTTCACTCTTATTATTGAACTAGAAGAGCTGCAAAATAGGGTAGCTGAAATAAAGAATGAAATTCTGATGGAAACTGGTAAAATTGAAGATGAAGGTAGTGATAATGAGATCAAGCTGGATGTGACTGAGGATATAGGGAGTAAAGAGAGTGCTACCAAGACATTGTTATTCATTCCATCATCTGATGAAGATTCCTCCCAGGTATGTTTCAAAATGATCAGGGCATTATTCACAATTTGCTGAGCCATTTTAACTTCTTATTAGTTTTCTCTAGTAGCTCAAAACAAACAGAAATTATTGAAAAATAATTTGCATTTCACATTATTTTGTTCTGATGATTTTGTTGCAATTTATTTTACTATAAGAAAGCTACTTCAGATGTGCTTCAAATACAGGTATCCTCTCAAAAGCAAGTTTTTGATGATGCTGAAATCGAGGCTGAAATGAATATAGTTGAAATGAAAACTGGACTGGAAACTGAGACAGCTGAGCAAGAAGAAACTCTTAATGAATTCCAACATTTCCCTGCAGAAGAAGTAGATATGTTAGATTCAGGAGCTGTGGAACATTCATCTGATTCTGACTATGAACCACCAAGAAGTATGTTTGTGAAAGTTCAGTCACTTGCTGAGAAAAATATAAGTAAGTGTATTTTTCCACATTTCCCTAAACTGTCTGGTGTTATTTGCATTTATTAGATCCACATTATCATACCTTACTAATTCCAGTTGCTGATAATGTGAAGGTTAAAATTGAACCCCCACCTATTGAAGATACTATTACAACTCCAACTATATCCAATGACAAGAAACCAAATATTCTCAAGAAAAAAATCTTCACTCCTGCTCCTACCATAGAATTAATTACAGAGGAGAAAAAACCTGAAACAATAATGGACTTTCCTGCTGTCCAAAGAGATGGTAATATGTATACTTGTCTGTTATGTGAAGGTGATGAAACTGTGGCAGGTGAAGCCAAAGCTATTATGGCTCATGTCAAAGAAGCACATCAGGTAAAATATTATTGATTCATTCTAAAAATTCATTGATCATAGACCAGGGAGAGGGTTTTCAAAAAAATTCATTCATATTTATGAATTTCCCTTTCAACATTTTCACAGGCAAAAGATTACACTAACCTTAGGACTATTTTAGAATGGAATTATAATTAATCAAATTGATATACATTAAATCCTGAATCCTTCTAGATTGATAATAATGACTCACAGATGACTCCCAAAAAAATATTTAACATCATGATTTCAAATCTATGTAGTTATATTGTACATACCTAACAGTTTTTAATGTTGAGGAAATGAAATTTTTTGCTTGTTGAGAACAATCTTTGAGTGTAGCTTTTTGTCATTAGGTGAGGTTGTACATTTGTGATGTATGTGGGCAAGATTTTTTAAGAAGAAATCATTTATCAGCCCATTTGGATGAGCACATAGAACAGGAAGATGGGGATTTCCAGTGTGAGGTGTGCAATAGAATTTTCAGTAATTTGAGGTTATTCAGGATTCACAAGTAAGTAGTAGGAATGGATTATTGAAATCAATTGATATTAATCATGATTGAATCAGCAGATATTTTTGTTAAAATTGAAGTCCTAGTGGTGTCATATGAAACATTTTATTTTATGAAAATTTTAAAAAGAAAAAAGTCAAGTGATTCAAATAAATATGTTCTATTTACTCTATTTACTCAGTATGTGTATTGCAATGAATTAGGCAACTCTGTACTCATCTTAGAACATTATAGTTATGATGATTTGAACAGATATGACAGATATTATGGAGGGAAGTCAACTGTTAAGGTTCTGGTCTGGTATCCTCTTCTGTGCTTGTGCTAATTTTCCTTGGGTTTGAATATTATTATTTATTTATTTATTAGAAACAAACAGGTAGTGATACCTAATTACATGTTCCTTTCATAACTAGCCTATATTATGTTAACATTACAAATGAAAATATACGTACCTATCCCAATCCTATGTTTTTGAATAACAATGACAAAGCTGTATCATTTGTGTTTTCAATACATGTTGAAGAACAAAAAATTGTGAAAAATATTGATAATATTAATAATAATAACAATAATAATAATAATGAAATAGAGATACCCAGAAGTTAAATATATAATTGCTATCCCAATTAAACGTCTATAATTGGCGACTCTGCCATACCATCAAAGACACTACACTGATGTCCAAGCATGCAAAGTAGCATCATTTTGAAGTTCCTTCAATTTGAAACAAAAAAAAAAAAAAATTTGAATTGAGTTAATTGAGCATCACGTTCCCGAGTTTGGTAGAAAAGCAATATTTTATATCATTCGTGTATAGATATAGACGAAATGCGAGGAATATATACCTATATACTGAATACATTCAGATATCCATGTATCACATAATACAGATATATATACATATGGGATATATATATGGGAAATACTATGTCATATAGAGAATAATTACTGATTTCATGTACATAAGAAAAAGAAATGGAATTATAGTAACGAGATGAAAACAAAAAGAAAACAAAAAAAAACAGACTCAATACCCTGTAGTGTAAGATATTCTTATATCAATAATCTACTAATCTAATTAGAAACGGCAATCGATCGTATCTGTCTCCTGAAGTCTGATTCTGTTTTTGAAAATATATCTAAATTATCAGATTCTCTTACATTGTACAAATTGAAAAGAATACATAATCTGTTTACTATTGACGGTCGAGCATCTACATGGAATGTAACCTTTCTCGGTCTAAGCCGAGGGGGAGGAATATGAAAGTTGATAGCTGACAGCAAATATGGAGAGCATATTTTGTTATTTATTATTTTATATAAGGTTATCAAATTATGTTCCTCCCTTCTATATTCCAGTTTCACAATAGAAAACTCTGTTCGAATGAACTGAAAACTTCGAAAGCCGGGACTCTGCTTGTGTCTTTTGTAATATAAATATTTCAGAAACTTATTCTGAACAGTCTCGATGTTTTGTTTCAAATTAGTATGAGATGGATTCCATATTGAGGAGCCGAACTCCAAACGACTTCTCACGAACGAATTATATAGGTGCATTACCACATCAATATTATTAAATTCATATGTTGTTCTCTTGATGAATCCTAACATTTTGTATGATTTCGTAATCATTTCTGTTATATGTTTTTTGAAAGTCAAATCAGGAGTGAACCAAATCCCTAAATCTTTAATTTCCACACACCTTTCGATTATGGTATTGTTCATCGAATAGTCAAGAAGCATTGGGCTTTTGGATTTTGTGAATGTCATCACTCGACACTTCTCAATGTTGAAGGGCAGTTTGTTATCTATGGACCAGTTATAAATAACATCAATATCGTTTCTTAGTGCAAGGTGATCATCAATATTTTTTATAGCTCTGAATATTTTGAGATCATCGGCATAGAGAAGGCAGTCTGAATTTATATTTTTAGCAATATCATTAATAAATATCAAAAAGAGTAGAGGTCCCAGGTTGGACCCTTGTGGTACGCCAGACTTTGCAAGGAATAGTTTGGATTTTTCTCCGGAATACTTCACGAACTGAAGCCTGTTCATCAAATAAGAGGCAAAGAATGTTAACATATGATCACTAAGTCCAAATGAGTGTAATTTTGACAGAAGTATATCGTGATTCACTCTGTCAAAGGCTTTGGCAAAGTCGGTGTACACAACGTCCACCTGAGATCCTCGTCCAAGCAACTCACTAGAAACCTTATCAACAAATGTAACTAAATTCGTTGATATGGATCTTTGTTTGAAAAAACCATGTTGTTCCTGGCATACTAGGTTTTTGACATGGGAAAACATTTTATCATGTAAGATAAATTCAAAGAGTTTTGCGATACAATTCAAAATGGCAACAGGTCTATAATTTTCTACTAATTTCCTACTGCCTCTCTTATGTATAGGACTTATTTTAGACTCCTTGAATTTGGATGGAAAAATGCCTGATCTCAAAGATTTCTGAAATATTACCAATAATGGATATATAAGCGTGTCGCTACATGCTTTAAAAATGTAACATGGGATTCCATCAGGTCCTGCGGACTTTTTTGGCTTCAGTTTTTTCATGGCTGCTTCGATGTCTGCGACTGATACTTTGGTATAATGAAAGCAAGGTTGACCCATTCTATCACCCATTTTACTTTTAATTGAATAATCGATTTATTAATCATTGCTTCTTCCATCTAAAACTTAGTCATATTAAATATGGAATTTATATCAGAACTATTTTCAAAATCTCTCACCTGTCATCTCTCCATTGAGACATGAAGGTGACTTAGAAGAAAGGTAGATGATGGTCCCACCACTACCCCTACTAGAATGTTGGCTACTCAACAGTTTCTCTCAATGAAAATTCAACTACTAATATATGAATAATTAACTCAACTTGATTCATCAAATTATGTGCCTTTGGAAAAAAGAAATTTGAAAAATTATTTCAGAATTCACAAAATGCAAGAATGGGAAATTGCTGGGTTCTGGTCTGTGTCATTCTTCCATTGGGCTTGTATCAATTCATAGCACGGTTCTTCTTCGACCTATCCAAGGCTCGAATTTTGGATTGATTGAGAATTGAAATCATGAAAGTCACAGGGAATGAGAAAATGAAAAATATATGAAAACTGTTTTCAAATTCCCTTGCTGAAACGCGACATATTCCTGTATTACTCAAAAAATAAACGGAACCTAACCCATCAGGCTCCTACCCCGGTTGCAACGAGGGTTTATCGATGCCAAGGGTTGATACTCTACCCTCGTAAGGGTACCTGTCGTGTCTCCATTGAGACGTAAAAGTGACTATCGGAAAATTTTCTATGATATATCGCCTTCCATAACAAATATAAAATTTGGAAGAAATATTCGAATTGAATTGAATTAAATTCGTAAGTAGGAATGGAAAACTTATCACCGGCCGCTGGTTTCTGGTCTGGTTTCCTCTTTTGTACAATTTTTTCGTCGAATTATAACTCGTCGCTTCTTGGATCTAAAACATAGTTGGTATTATAATTATCTCGAATAAAAAAAATATCGAGAATTGAAACCATGAAAGTTACATGGAATAATAAACTGAAATATATGTGAAATCCTTTTTCAAATTCCGTTGCTGAAACGCGACATACTTCTTTTATTACTCAATAAATTAACGCAACAGTTAGCCACTAATTTTCTTCTAAATGAGGAACACTGTATATACCTGTATTTACCTAATAAGCCTAGCGCTCATGCTGAAAACCTCATTATCGTGGTTAATCACTATCATTCCGTGCTCGTTAAACAATATGCTTTTATTGAACAACAATGTTCAAATGACTATCAACCGAAGTCCTTCTACCAACAACTTTCATAAGAAATATATAAATTCTGAAGAAATGTTCGAAATAAATTGAATTTCAGTAAGTGAGTGAATATGAAAAGAAACATCATGATGAGATATGAAATAGGAATACGTAAAGGAACTCGCCACTGTGGAGGATACAATTTCTCCTCTAATCCTGAATTACTTTTCTTCAGCAGTCCTGTAACAAAATAATTGAATTATTATCGACATAATTATTCAAGACCGAGTACAAGACAGTTCTTTCAATCGTTGATATATCGAAAAAACTCGAATTTAGGAGTAAAAATTCGAGCCATCCAAATTTCATTGTGATATACCAAGTGGTTCAAAAATTAGAAGGGGTAATGGACTTTAAACGGGCACAGCATACGGGAATACATAAGTAGGATATATCACACTGTATACATGAATAATGGGCCTCAAAAATACTGTCATTCAGCAAAATAATAGTTTTTTCATAACGACACTAGTGTCAATATGAATGAATATCATTGAAATTAGTGTTTATATGTCCAAAATGTAAAATGAAAATAAATTGCAACAATACATTTTGCCTACGCATTTTGAGTATCAGTATGATGGTCACTACATAGTGCGATACGAAATGTCAAATTGACATTTGGATCAATACGGAATTATTGATAATTTTTCAAATGCTATCAGAGGTTACGACACCAATTGAATCGACCGTACACAACGAAATCTTGTATGCGACTGATGAATGGCTGGCTTGATTCATTATCCTGATGACTAATTACTTACGTTACATTCCTAAGCGATAAATTCATGAACGATAAAATTTCATATATGACTAAAATTGATATAGAAAAATAGTTTTACAGGGGGTAAAAAGAAAACAAATATATTTACAATAAAAAAAACAGGATCATTTTAAGTATATAGGGTGAGTCAATAGTGTGTTCTCTTTCGCATTTGCCAAACCGTCAGAAATATAGACAAAATTAAAATACAACAGTACTATCACCTAAAATCATTTTCATATATATAGGGTGTACGAATTCCAAGATATCGACTGATGATGAGTTTTTCAAATGGGACACCCTGTTTTCAATTGCATTTTCGAATGCACTGTCAAAATTGCTACACAGCTGTATTTTGTTTTCTTTATTTGAATCCACGGTTGCCAAGTTAGTCA